TCGTAGATACGGCTATCAACTGGCTCCGAGCAAACGGGAAGGAGGAGAAGATCCATATCCTCGTTAACAACGCAGGTGTGGAACTTGCAAAGTCCTTAGGCGACATCACACCCAGGGATTTCGCCTCGGTATACGATGTGAATGTCCGCGGGACGCTGCTCATGACTCAGGCCGTCTTGCCCTACCTGACGACCAATGGCCGCATCATCAATCTCTCGTCGGTAGGCGCTCGGGCGGCGTTCGCAAACCTCTCTGTATACTGTTCGTCGAAAGCGGCGATCGAGGGGCTGACGAGGTGCTGGGCTGCCGAACTCGGACACAATGGCACGACAGTTAACGCCGTCAGCCCCGGGCCTGTCCAATCTCAGATGCTGGATAACATCCCGCAGGAGCTGGTGGAGGCGCAGAAGAAGGCGACGCCGATAGAGCATCGTGTCGGAACTACGGAGGAAGTGGCGGACATTGTGGCGTGGCTGGCAAGCAAGGAGAGTAGGTGGGTTACAGGGCAGACAATTAATGCAAGCGGTGGTTGGGCTGTGTACTGAATGATGAATATGCGAAGAACTATTACATGTAATAGCCTGAGAGATAGAAGCAGGTAAAAAAAATGCAGAATGCAGTGTTGGAACCATTTAATTTGGAATTAATTAGTAACTGGACTAGTTATCTACGGCTTTCTGTCCGAGGCTATCTCTTGTGCCATTTATGTTTACTTCGTAGTTAAGTAAACATTTTGTAAACAATTGAGCCATGAATTCGAAACACTCAGCATTGGTTCAACCAGATGGAGGTTGAACAGTCCCAAGACGACAGTGTAATAGCCGTTGACAGCAACCGATCTGCTACTAACCATACTGTTTATAATGTCTCGATCACGTTTGCGGGTATATGATGGTAGTGCCTTAAATGGTAGTATGCCTTGAAATTCACTCGGGCTTGGTTGGAGACGGCATTACAGGTATAATAACTAATATTCATCTCTTCCCACCATGTGTATCATTTATTTGTCTGTTACTAAATCTATTCTCTTTCGTCCTATCGGCTCCGAAATCCCCCGAATTCCTTTACCTTCTTGGTATCCAAAGGTCCCGCTAGTAAGCCCTCCTCAGTAAGCCTCTTCCCTAGCGCGACACAATGCTCCGTCCTGAAAAGCTCATCAAATGATTCTTGCGTAACATCTACTTAAGGTTAGCATTATTTTCCTTCGTCTCGTCTTATCCCTCATCATCCTTCTAGGTTGTGAGGCCACGATTAGGAGGTCGACCACGACTGTAAGAGTCGAGCGCGACTGAGGCGTCGAACATGACTGGGGGGTCGACTATGACTGGGGGTCGGCCACGACTAGAGTGCCTGGAGAGAAAGCCAATAAGATGTCACCAATATGGGACTGAAACGGAAGAGTGGGTCGAGAGAGACAGCCGTATATAAAGCACTTCTTGTCGGCGAAGCACAATCTATCACATCATCATAGACTCACTAGATTGTACTTTTGACAACGCCTCAGCTGAAACAACCGGTCTCTTAGCATATGCACGAACCAGCTTTCGTTGGGTGGGGTTCTCTTGACAGGGGAAAGAAACGGTCAATAAATGATGGTTTTATTGACTAAGAGACGGACGGGGAAGGAGAGAAGCTCCAACCCCTCAGGGACTATCTGACTACTCTCAGGACCATCCAGGGTCATGTGACCAACCAGGTCACGTGATCTCGACAGGTTCTGATGATCTTTAGTCATTGCTAGTCGGAGTTGACACTGGGACACCACAATAACCTGTTTTTACGGTATGCCGCAGTCAAGTCATACAGAAGTGACACAGGTAGTATCAATCATAAAACCAGGATACTCGCCATTTTTCACCAAAGTCGTCATTCTAGTGCTAATTCCTATTGCTTGAATGCGATGGCGCTATTTATCGTTAGCATCCTACATGATTGGCTGGGGATCCTAGTTACGGTATCTGTGAGCTGTAACAGCCCGACCAATCCTCTAAGGCGACAAGGAGAGTATATAACAGCCCCTATGACAATCTTTCCCTTCCTGTTAAAGCAAAAACTAGGTTCGTGATCCCTTTTCCACTTCGTCTACTATACCATGGGTCTCTAAGGGAGCAAAGTGATCCTCGACACGCTCGAAAAAGCCTACACAGACGCCGAGAACAATCGAAAAGATAATATCCACGCAGTGCTTTCCGAACCAGAGGTATGTTTAGCATATGTAATCCGGCAATATAGACTAAATCGATCAGTTTGTTAAGTCTCTTCGACGCTTATGGGCTTCTATCTCCCTAAAGGCCAAAAGAAACTAATTCGTCATCCGGATCATGAACCCCCAAGAAGCTGCCAGAAAAGTTCAAAGGAATCGACAGGTCAACGATAGTAGTTTCTCGGAGTTTCTTGGCCAATGTAGATCTCTGGAAGAATAATCCGTTATCGTTTTTTACAGAGGACGGCAATGTCCTTTAGCTTACAAGGGTTTTATAAGTTCCTGCCAAAGTACCGTCTTTTTATCACCTTTTTATTTAGACATTAAACAGTCTTTATTTTACTATACGCACTTGAATCTTACGCTTTAAATGCATTTTATAAATATATATTTTTAGTTCATGCCTAGTAGGGAAGCCATCTAGAGAACAGGTATCAGAAACAAAAAAAGCTTCTCCGGCACCCGCTCATATCATTCCTGAATACGCACTTGATTGGTACAAACAGACTCAGTGTGTATGATCTAAACCGCAAAGAACCACCCTTGCTGCTCTTTCAATCGGGGAAGAAGTTAGAGGACAACTCTCTTTCGTACTCAAAAAATCTTGATCTTAAGTTCAAGAGCTATGCGAGAACAAACCATACCGAATCTTTGGGATAGATATCCACAGTTGGACAAAAACTAGATATTGGAAATAAACAGCATGCTACCATCTATCCGCTCAATACCGACTAGATCTCAAATGTATCACACTTTTTTTATGTTACCAAATGGTGGATAAAATTTATAGTATGTTTACGCAGCTTCATGAGATACTATGAGAATGAGTCGAAGGAGAAATGACACACCCGACGGTGGCGGACAGCCTTTTGTCGAAGAGCTTTCTCCAGCTGAAGGTATACTTGTATTGAAGAAGGTTGTTTGTGTATGTGGCTGTCTAGTGTATGGGATTTTCCAAGTTCATATCTTCAATGGTTATACAATGAAGATTGAAATTATGTACACATGAACGATTGTGATTATCAGTGTGCAGTCTTTGGTCTCGAGGAATAGATACTGCACGGAACCTATTGCTCTTGTGCGATTCTATGTTTTGATACAGTCTCAAGCTCTTTTCGTAGAGTCTTCCATGATTCAATTCCCCTCATTGCAGCAGTCTCCGGTTGACTGCTGCTATCCCGCATACCGCGGTCAAAGATCTCCATCGACACCCACCCTTCAAAACCTATTGCAAGGATCCAAGCCTCGGAAATCTCGGTGATAGGCAGATAGGCGCCATAGTCGTGCTCAAAAGGAAATGGTCGTGCATGTTTGGACCAAGTAAACTGTGGCGCCTCCCCTTCGATAAACCACGGGTGATCTTCGGAGAATGGAGGATCGAATCTTTCGCCATCAGACAGCTGGAGAAAAAATATCTTCTCAACGGGGCAACCGGCAACAAAGCGGTTGAGTGATTCGCGAAGGGCTTTATCGGAGTCAGGGAAGCGACCTGACGCGGCGAAAAGGTCACCCCATAGCTTTGTAGCTTCATGAAAAGTGTCTAAACATAGACCAAAGTTTGGTCGATCGACATCATTGACATATTGCAAAGCGACTTCCCATGTAGAACAGTGTGTACCCCATGACAGATACTCATATGCAATTGATACGACCGGCTGCTCCGCGCTTCCGATATCAGCCAACTGCTTTAGCTCACTGATGACCACGTCTTTGTCGCCGATAGCGTCTGGTTTGTAATTTGACGGAATCTGCAAATATGACGCGCGAAGGACTCTAGCGACACCAATCCAATGCCTGGCCTTCTGTAATCTGTCACTTAGAGGCGATCGGTCTCCTTCGTAATTCTCGAAAGGTGCCAAAGACAGAATGTCCAAGTTGAGGTTTTGGCATAACACGCGGATCTTCTCAGCGCCCTCGAGAATCGAAATGTTTAGAGCTTGAGAAAACGCTTCCAACTCGAAATAGACAATTTCAATGCCTTCGTATCCGGCTTCTGCCGCAGCCTGAATTTTGTGGTCCAGGTGATGAGAAGGGTGTTGGCCCAGAGATAAGCTGGCGATAGCTAATTTATTCAAGAGCATGGTGTGGGTGTCTGGGCAGCAGTAATGACAAAAGTTCGGCTGGCCAAATAGGAGAAGCAATCAGGGCTTTTGTTAAAGGCTCATGCAATATATAACAGGAGCGAACGCGGGGTGAATTCGGATTCCGTTCTCCGCACGCCACATGAGACCGAGACTATCGGGTCTTTCGACTACGTGATTCTCAAAGTGAAGTCATATAAGACGTGAATATTAAGACTAATATTTTGTTATATTCATCTGACAGGGTACAGGTATTCTCCTACGTATGGTAATGCAAATTATGAAACAGGTTCTTTCACTTTTGCTCACGTTGGAGGTTTCCCATTAATGCGCAGAGTAGAGTTGTCCTATAATAGTCATTGAGATGAGCTGCAGATATTTCAATCACGGGCCTGGGATTTCTCATTCGTTTGTCAGCAGAAACTATTGAGATTGTTATTCCCCGGACACGATTCTCCGTCTCCATCGGAGGTGTGAGCACAACCGCAGAACTATATCGCATTTTCCGAAAGTCAGAAATGACGCAGTCTTCTCAAACCCACTCAGAATACCTTGAAATGGTTGCTGCTGGAAAGCGTTTTCCGCATCCTGTTATACTTTCAAGGATGATGGATCCTATAAATCCAGCGAAATGTTCGAGGCGAGCTCTATCGTTGAATCATCACTTATCTCTCCAGCTTCGTTCCATATTCTGTTGGCAATCAAGTCTTCTCAAGATGGTATCCGCCGCCCTTCATTCAGCTTCAACCAATATTGAAGCCACTTCGGACAATATCGACGCCGTCAATGTCCTCAAGACAAACGCAAAGCAGGCTGCAAAGGAACTGTACGATGAGTCCGAATTTGACAAAGCTAAGGACAAGACAACTTTCCGCCAGTTCAACGATGCTTGCGACCAAGTCAAGAATTTCTATGCTCAGCAGCACACCCTGCAAACTGTGGCCTTCAACTTGAAGGCCCGTCATGACTTCCACAATAAAACCCGCGCACACATGACTGTTTGGGAAGCAATGGAGAAATTGAACACATTCGTTGACGAATGTGACCCCGACACCCAAGAATCCCAAGTGACACACCTGCTCCAGTCCGCTGAAGCTATCCGCAAAGAGGAAAGCCGCGCTGGATGCAACTTGTTGGGTTGATCCATGATCTTGGCAAGCTCCTTTTCTTCTTCGGTGCTCAGGGCCAATGGGATGTTGTGGGAGACACCTTCCCCGTCGGTTGTGCGTTCGATGATAGAATCATCTTCGGGACTGAGTCTTTCAAGAATAATGAGGATTTCGAGAATGAAATCTACAGAACCAAGTTCGGCATCTACTCTCCTGGCTGTGGACTTGATAACGTCATGCTCGCTTGGGGACATGATGAATACCTTTATCATATCGTCAAGGATCAGTCGACCATTCCCGATGAGGGACTCGCTATGATTCGGTACCACTCGTTTTATCCGTGGCATCGCGAGAATGCCTATCATGAGTTTATGAATGAGCATGATAAGAAGATGCTTGAAGCTGTGCGGGCTTTCAATCCCTATGATTTGTACTCCAAAAGTGATGAGGTGCCAAACGTTGAAGAGTTGAAGGTGAGATTTCATTTCTAGATAATATCTCCTTCTACAGGCGTTTGCTAACATGATTCTAGCCTTACTACCTTGAACTCATTGATGAGTATTTCCCAACAAAGGTTCTGAAATGGTGATAGTCCCCTCCATGGACTTGTTTCTAGGGTTGGAGTGTTCATGTGTATATGAAATTGATACAAAGTATTGTGGCCGCTGGAATGACCAACATGGCATCCCATTTGTGCCTTTAGTTCGCTCGTTAGAACCAATCATCTTTCTTGGCAGTATACTGTTCATAGATAACACTCCCTGGTGTTTCTGGCTCTCATATAGCATTTGAAAACCAATCAGACAGGATAAAGTAGCCGTAACTGCCCGATGTTCACGAGTTGTTTCTGTAGTTTCGAGAAAACACCCGTCTATTGGAAAAGAGCTAGAGGGGAGAGATTTGTTTCTGAGGTCGTTTCATCTTAACCTCTATTTGGCAAACTACAAGTACGCAGAGATCAACTTCTGGGACCACATGGAATTCTCAATACGCCCCAATTGACTATTCAGTAGTCTGTTAGGTAAGACGAAGTGATGAAATCTTATGGTGAGTTGACTCAAAAGGTTGTCTCTACTACCCCAAGCTTTTGCATGTCAAAGTACGGCAGGGGCCGTCGGAAATTATATTCCTGTGCGACTGCAATGTGGCCATGATGGGAAATGAAACATATTCTACTGGCCTATACAGCATCAAATAGGCTCCTATCCACTTCTGTGGGGAATATGCCCCAGTTGCGGCCCAATAGGGGATAGCACCGGAATACGAGGTCCTTATTGTTGGGGCATTTTTATCGGTTGTATCGTTCTGTCACCCTGATACGCACTACTCATGCTGTAGGGTTAGGCTTTGTTACTGGGCTGCCACCCACAGTGAGAGTACATGCCTGGCAGGCACCCTCAAAGGCGCATCATAATCAGTGCGGGCAGCAGTGGATCTGCAAAAGTACTAGTGGCGATATCGCAATGAGTGGCGCTCGGTTCGGAGACCTTAACACTGCCCTGACCGTTGAGTAATATTCAAGTTCCAATTTGTTGACCGTACCAACAAAAGCCATCTCGAGGGCAAGGGAGTCCCGAGATGCTACTGAGGATGTCTATGACGACCCTGCAACCTAAGATTCTCGGCAATGGACTGATTGAACTTTTCAAACACCGACATTATGAAGCAATTTGAGGTTCTACGCTAGGACATAATTATCTCGGATAAAAAGCTGAACTCTTCTGTGCTCTCTGTGCACCTGATGAAATCCATAGGTCAAGTCTATATTGGACAAGAAGAGGTACAATCTAGTTTTTCCTGGTTCTTCCGTCAAAGTAAATCTTCTCGCCGCTAATAAGACTTTGCTGCAACGCTTGCCCGATAGAAACCGCTTTGACGGAGCTTTGCAAGCTTATCGGAGGTGGGATGTTATCCAAGCAGCATGCCGTGAACTCGTAAGCCTCGGTGATGAACGCTTCCCGGAACCTCTCATAGTAATGTTGTGGCAGCGCACGTCTGGCCCCCTGTGAGTCATGAATTTCGACGTGATTCTTTCTCACTTGCATATTCACCCTCACAGAACCTTTCTCGCAGATGATTTCCGAGGTGTCCTCTTGTCCAGCGGCCATCATACGCGAACAGTACAAAGCCGCTATCTTTCCACCTTCAAACTCAACAGTCGCGATTGCATTGTCCCGGTCATTGCTTGCCTCTAGCCCTGGATGAACGGCACAAACACCAACTGCCTGCAGGCTTTTGATCCCACGGTTCTCGCCCAGGAACCAAAGCATGAGGTCGATGTCGTGAATGGAACAGTCCACGAAAATACCACCACTTGTCTTCGCGTACTCAACGAAGAATCCAGATGAATCATGCAGATCTGCTGTTTGAGATCGGAAAAGTACCGGTGATCCCAATTCGCCCTTCTCCACTTTTTCATGGGCTTCACGATATGACGCATCGAAACGACGAGAGAAGCCGCACATCACAATTTGCTGCGGGTACGTTTTGAGGGACTGCTCGTACGCGGAGACCACAGATTGGGCCTATTCCATATTATGTCAACATCAAATATTCACAAGGATAAGTGGCAAATCAACATACCACTTCAATATCAATGCTCAATGGCTTCTCGCAAAGAACATGAAGGCCTTTCTTGATTGCTTTCAGAGCTTGCTCTGCGTGCACGGCAGTGATACTCGCAATCACGACAGCTTCCAAATCAGCTTTTGCAAGCATTTCATCATAGTCCTGGAAGATTTGCACCCCTTGAAGGTTCTCCGCTGCCCATTCACGCTCGTTGTGATCAGGAGTACTCGCAGCCACCACGTTTGCGCGAGCAGTGAACTCATGGAAGTTGATCGCATGGCGCTTGCCTGTTTATGATTAGATATACTGCCAATCCCACGAGGGTGGTGATGCGTACCCATTCGGCCAAGGCCTGCGATACCGACACGCAGTTTTTGGGTGACCATTATTGCAGACAGAAAATCAAGGACGAAGGAAGTATCTCAATGGCTTGAGGGGATAGAAACGGCGAGGACGGTGTCAAGGCTATATACTTAATGAAGCGCACTTGTCCGGCGGGGTTCTGGTGTGGGACCTTTAGCTAAAGATTTCGGATTTCGATGTCCGATGTGAATCTAAATGCTACGAATAGACTGATCACGAGTACCTGGCTCCAAAAATCCTGAGCTATACCAGTTCAGCGGGGGAATAGACCCGAGGTATGTAGAAATCGGAATGAAAGGACAATTGGCAGAGCTATGTACTCCTTGTTACTTAGGGTTTAGGCTAAGTCAATCCAGCAAATGCCGGGCTACTTAATTTATATTAGATTTATATTAGCCCGGTGAGATGCAAAAGTGTGAAAGCAGTTTAATCTAAAGAGAAACTTCCCGGGAATCCATTCACCGAAAGTCTTTGCCACGCTGGGGCGGCCGAGCCGGGATTATGACCGATTGGATTTGCAGAATGGGTGAACTCCACAATCACGGGGTAGTCTGCATACCCCGGATTTTTCGATTTCATTTACGTTATGCACACGCTGTTTCCATCTTGACAGGTTACAACAAAATAATGAGCTCTATGAAACAGTCTGTGAAGCGACGACATGCCACCATGGCGTGCGCCTCGTGTCGAGAGAGCAAAGTAAAGGTATTCCCTGCCACAGCTTTTACTCTTCGGTAAATTAAATCAAACGATAACAGTGTGATGGCAAAGTACCATGTTGCTCTCATTGCGCAAGCAAAAACAAAGAATGTCGCTATCAAGTTTATGATAAGAGAAAGTGAGATTACTTACACTAACCCTACGATCATGACGGGGCCATTTTGAGACTAAGATTTCACCATGATGAAGGTTACCTCTTCGCGTCGCAATAGAGCTGCTGACTTGCCGAGTCGATCAATTGTGTCAATATATTCATGAAAACGGTCTTCAGCCCCCGAAAATGGCGGATGATATGGATGCTACACTGCAAAAAGTTCTCGATACCCTTGGAATGACAGAGCAAGCAGTCAGGCCAATAACACCTCCGAATAATGCAACCCTGAAGCCTCCAAGTATGGTGAAGCATGGTGAGTATTCTTTACCTGCTTCTACTATAGCATCATTTGATATCTCAGAGGGATCCGGGGACAGGAACTTGGACCAGCAACATGCTACCAGTCTGCCTGTACCTGAGCAGGGTCACTGTTTACCACATTCAGGCATTTCAGGCATGTCGTCAATTCCACAACATAATAACTCTTCCATCGTTGCGCTCGAAAGTGATCAGTCGGTCTTGACAGAAGACAGTCCAGGCAGTATACTCAACTCCTGGATTTTTGACCTAGACTTCGGTACGCACATTACACCCTCTGCATCCGACATGCAACAACAACAACAACAACAACAACCCCTCTTGGGATCCTCGCCGAATGATGAACTTGCTATGCCACCAACGGGCCAGGTAGAATTCATCGAACCTGTTTATACCGAAAGTGGCTCTACCCTTTTCAAGCAACCGACCAGCACATCAGACATTGAAGGCCTGGTTGATGAAATCTCCGACCGAGTTGGTACCTTAAAAATTGGCCCTGGAGGAAAGACACGCTTTTACGGCCCGACATCCACATTCTGTTTGACGGAAATGCCATTCTTAGATAATTATGAAGCCAATCAGCCAAAGCCCATCTATCATTCTGAATCGGAGGAAGATATTCCTACGGCTCTAGAAGATCATCTTCTCAATCTTTATTTCAGCTGGCAGGACCCGTCATTCCATATCGTTGATCGGGATATCTATGAAGAAGCAAAAGAAAAGTGGGGCAACCTGGAAGAAACTCCTTACTACTCAGAGGCACTGCGGAATGCAATGTGAGTCATTTCTATTGCCAATGCTATACAGAGCATCCATCCTGACAATTCCAAAAAGGTGTGCGCTTGGTAGCGCTTTTGAATCTAGATACCATCCAACTTTTATCACTTTCCCGAAAACGCTTGTTGAGTTCTTTGGCGATCGTGCGAAGTCAATACTTGAAACGGAATTAGATTCCCCTTGTGTCGCAACCATTCAAGCAATGGTCATTCTGAGTAGCCATGAGATTGGAAACGGAAATAATGCGAGAGGGTGGCTATACAGCGGTAAGTCCAACATGAAAACTGAATGATTTCATTCCAGACTTACCTCCTGCTTAAGGATCGGCATTGAGGTTGGCATTCGATCTTGCTTTGCACCTTGACATGTCTAGCTATGTGTCCGCAGGAATCATCTCAACGCGTGATGCAGAACTTCGCAGGACTGTCTTCTGGACTGCATACATTGTTGACCAGTTTGTCATCGCCTTCCCACCTACGTGCACTTTGAGTACGTCGTTGGTTGACTATTGTGTAGCCAATTAGGATTCCATCTAGGCAGGCCTTTTCGCACCAGCATGGAGGACGTGACCATTGGAAAGCCCCGACAATGTACAGGTCCCAGAGGGCAGTGCCGATGGACCCCCTACGAGCCATCCTCTGTCAGCCACGACTCTGGCTTGCTGGACAGCAAAGACGCAATCAGCCAACAACTAGTTTCCCTCTGTGAGCTGATGGCTCCATGCGGGTATATCCTGTAACGAACTTCTTCCGATATCACGACCTACCCAGATTGACATTTCAAACAGATACGGTACATCCAGTATCTCGAAAGAGATTCTTCAAGAGCTCAATGCCAAAATTGTCGCCGAGCTCCGCAAGTGGAAAGCTACCCTTCCGCTTAATTTACAGATTAATCTTGACGACTACACCTCGCCATACCTTCCGCATGTGCTGCTTCTCCAGTACGTACCTTGCTTTCTTGCTATATTTCTCTTTCCCGCAATCTAATAGCACCAAAGCATGCAATACCACCAGAACATAATCTACGCCCACAGACCATGGATATCTAAAAGCCACCTACAACCGCAACCACCAAGAGGACCCGGATACACACACGCGCGCGAAATGTGCATCCAATCCGCGATCGCAATCTCCAAAATCCTCAACATGTATGATTCACGCTACACGCTACGCCGAATCAACGTACAAGCAGTCTCCATCACATCCTCCGCCGTTCTTTTCCTCCTTTTCGCCGCTGTCTCGAATTACCCCTCCTACTCTCGAGGCAATATCTCACTGTATCTAACGACATGTTTCAGAGCCTTGGATGAATTCACTCTTTCTTGGAAAAGCGCCCAGAGAGCAAAAGATCTTCTACTCGGTTTACAGCGTCAATGGGATCTACGGACAGGGTCCAATAAGCCGACACAGCGGGCTGACGGGGTATTGTATACTCCGCGGAAACGGTCGAAGACTTCTAGCGGGCTTTATCGGATGGTGCCTGTTTCCCATGATCTGGCTTTGCAGGTAAATCTTGATTTGGATTGTATGCTTAGGACAGAGGTGGAAGCTCTTTCTGGAAGCTATCGTCAGGATATCTTTGATATGGCGCCTGGTACTGGTGGTTGTTTGGATGGTCACAGCAGCGGGTAAACCAGTGTATTATTTGGGGCCCTTGGAATATGACAAATCGTGTACGGAGTATGCTATATACCATCTATAGTTTTGTTATGCACAACCAATTCTCAACTTTGGCATCTAGTATCATATCTCTTTCGATCCTACAATATTTTATTAGAATCAGCTTCACAATCAACAAAGCGGAAATATCACTTACTTCGGTGCAACTGCCATGTATACCCCCATCTATAGAAACCATTGGCGACATCGATAGCACAGAACCAGTGGCGATGTTGGTGATAACCCAGAAGGTCAAGAAAAGCGAGCTCCATGGGAATTCTAGAATCATCGCCATATTCATGCATGGGAACCCGAGCGATGCCATGCCGACCCAGTTAAGCATCCAGAAGACTACGGACGGACCGTGGCCGTAGGCATTGAGATTGTTGGCTGACAGCGTATCTGGAACGCCAACGAGATAAACGAGTAGAACAGCGACAGGAGTAAGCCGTGATACTGGAGAAAATACGCCAAACGCGACCTTCAACGGCGGGTGGTCGTCAAGCTTCATGCACTGAGCATGAATCGGCATCAGGAATGGAAGTTGAAGAAATGTGGTGATGATATGATCAACAAAATTGATGGCAGTTTGGCAGTATGGATCTGTTTTGGGTTAAATGGAATGCCATGCTCTTATTATTCGGCAAAATTAATAACTATTGAAATGGGGATGGCTCGATGACAGTCTGATATAGCAGACGGGTCGATATCAATAGAAAGAAGACAACCAACCACTCCCATGCCCACCGTAGGCATAGAGAGGAGTCTCAGGAAGCGACTAAAGTACTGATCTTGAAGCTATATCATGAATGAAGAACCTGGTGGAAAAACTGTAGTTATATTGATGATGCTAGGATGCTCTCCCTCGAAGGAGAAGACTGCAAGAAAGCTTCCTGAAGCATTTGTGATACCTCAGGCCACGAATACGCTACTGTCACGGGTTCCACCACTACACTATTCTTTTGCACAATTTGCTTCAGCGCTCACGAGGCCATGAGACCCTGAAGGTAACTCCCACGATGCGAAGCGTATTAGTGATTCCAAAGCAAGCATGTTACTCAATTGCTTATACTGGTCAAGAACTGCAAATATGAACCCATTTGATGAATTGACAAAATCCTTTCTGCACCATGAGGCTTGCATATGGGTGGTCCACTTCACGCAACGAAGGTATTTCCGGCTCGGTGAGAGGCCGTTTCCTAATTTAACATTATTACAGACAAGAGCTGGTTACGGGGTGACGGATAAGTATTTGGGTTCCCCGCACTGCCACGTACGTCATTTTGCCGCCCCGGAACGCCCCTTTATCTACACCCGTTATTAGGGTTGCGCTGATTGGAGGGCCGCCTATTTAATGTTTTTGGGGTGGCGTTTTCTTGATTGGTCAACGATCTCGGGGCCTCGCAGCAGGCGCTGGGATTCAAAACTCGCTCCACAGAGGGATTCCAGATTACCCCAGAACGGAAAGCATGAATGGACAGGAGCCCACAAATGTGGTGTGGCTTCGTGGATAGACGGATTATTCGAACTATAGGACCCCCAGGAAAGATCATTATTGCACCCAGAGCTTGCGATCCCGTGTTAGCATGAAGTGAAGTCCAAAGTTTGGCGAAAAAGCTACTGGAGCTCTGGCACCTAATAAAACCCCAGAATCCTTTCCCCCGTACCCCGTATTCTCTTCTATTATATCCTTTTCTTCACTCGAGGTCCTCTCTGAAAATGCAGCCTGACCATCGCCGATTCGGTTTCCAGGCACATGTGATGGTCTCTCCACTGCGTGGAAGTCTCCAAAGGCGTTATGGTCTGCAGCATCAGATGACTCTAGCCATAATTCTCTGTTGCTAGTATATCTCACTGGTGTCAGGAAAGAAAGGATTCTGCAATGGCCCCCGAACCTTCCTCCTTGAGTCAGGTACCACAAGGGCTTGTTGGGGGCTACGAAGGGGACAGCACCGTTATCAAGGTGATCATGGGCGTCTTGGTTGCCATCGTGTTGTACAATGCAGTCGAACTCACGGTCCTCATCCTCATGACATTTCGTCGCTACCAGGGTCTCTACTTTTGGTCTCTGACGCTTTCCGCGACTGTCGGGCTTATAGCCAGTGGCATCGGTAATCTTCTACACTTCTTCGACATTGGGCCGTTGAGTTTGGCCCTTGCACTATCTAATATAGGGTTCTACTTCCTGGTTCCCGCCCAATCCGTGGTTCTATACTCGCGACTCCACTTGGTCCTTTTCAATCAGCGACTCTTACGTTTTCTCCTCCGCGCAGTGATCCTCAGCGGTATCGTCTTTGCCATCCTAGTGACGATTATGTCATTCGGCTCAGCCTTCAAGCAGACCGGCCCGTGGAATGCAGGTTATAAAGTCGTGGAGCGGCTGCAAGTGACCTGGTTCTGTGTGCAAGAGTTCGTTATCTCCATGCTCTACATCCGGGAGACTATCAAGCTACTCCAGCTTCACCCTGCGAGTAACAAGCGTCGAAAAAATACCATGTACCAGCTGTTGGCCATCAATATCCTTGTCATCGTCATGGATATCCTCGTTGTCGCGATCGAGTTCATCGGCTTGTATTATATGCAAGTCTTGTTGAAGGACACCATTTACAGCATTAAACTCAAACTTGAATTTGCTGTACTTGGAAAATTAACTACAATTGTGGAGGCTGGTCATACTGAATATCTTTTGTAATATAATTACGGATCTATATCTTTCTGGTTCACGGCAATTGGGGTCCGTACCGGTTTTCGGATGAGACTAGTTCGTATTTATTAATCGACCTATAGGAGAGGAAAATCATTGATAAGTGCTACAGAAAGATCGTGTAAGCCCGAAAGGGAGAATCTGGGTATTTAGAGAAAGCCTGGCCGTAGTGTATTTTGACTTCTATGTAGCCTCATCGTTTCATTCCCCACTGGCCTGGATAATTAGCTTGACTTTACTCTCCTGACACGCTACATGCCATTTGAGGTATGATGTCTCCTCTTGGCTGGAACACTTGGCTTTGGTATATCTCCCATTATCTTACTAGACTGCTATGAGGCTATTGTAATACCAAAGTCCCTGTTACCGATATATCGAAGTCTAAGTGCGGGGTAGGGAAATGTTTAATCCGAACTATAACTATCCACGGTCATTTGTTGGTTCTACTGAAAAGGGCCACTATCAATGCGCGCATTTGAATTTATGGGGCCCGAGCAGAAGATCCGTATATGTATTCAGAGGAATGACACCAAATAGCGCAATGTACTGGTGGAGCCTTGTTGGCGAAAGAGATGCCGTTCAATTGTGATTTTAGGCTCTATGGATGAACCAATCGCTGGCATTACCTGAGTGGGTCTATTTCGATTGGGACTAGCCAAAGCTTGCGGGAAACGACATCCGATATGGATGCATATCCCACGTTGTCTCCAGACCCCAGATGTTCATATCATTTTACGGGGTGGAATGTGGGTTTCACCTATGAGAGAAACTCTATTTCATCCAATATAAATATCGGTATCTTGTACGAGTGGTCCAAATTGATATTGCCTCACAACTTTTACAGTAGTAGATGCACTACCGAAGCACTACTAAATCAACATGTTTTTTCAAAATGCACAAGGCAAATGGCTTCAATACAGAATTACTGCAGCATGCGGTGCCGGCTTTCTTCTCTTCGGCTACGATCAAGGTGTTTTCGGGGGACTTCTAGACAATAAGCCCTTCCTAGAGACCTTTGGAAATCCATCTGTGACCATCCAAGGTCAGATTGTTGCTACCTATGATATCGGCTGTATTATGGGCACTCTGTTGTCTATGTTCGCTGGAGACAAGCTTGGTCGCAGGCGGTCAATTCTGATCGGTTGTTATATCCTCATTGTTGGTGCTATCCTACAAACAGCCTCATATTCCCTCGCGCAAATGATAGTCGGCCGTGTTGTTGCTGGCGTTGGAAATGGAATGAATACTATCGCGATTCCTATCTGGCAGTCAGAGACCGCACGCGCGGAGGATCGGGGCAAGTTGATCGTTGCTCAGCTGGTGACAAATATTTTCGGCATCGTCATCACGAACGTGAGTTGCATTCACTGGTATCTGAGAACGACACTAATTTAGCGCAGTGGATGAACTACGGCTTCACCTTTATCCCTCACTCCCCAGTGAGCTGGCGATTCCCTCTCGGCTTCCAGTGCTTCTTCGCAATCGTTACCATCCTCTTTGTTCTTATCGCACCGGAATCACCGCGTTGGCTTGTCATGAAACACCGCGCCAATGAAGCCCGCGAAATCCTAGCCCGACTCCTCGCAAAATCCACCGATGACTCGGAAGTGGTAGATGGAATACAAACATTGGAGATTGCTGTGAACCATGAGCACGAAGTCCAGCAAACGAAGCCTTTTCAGGAGATCTTCAAGAGGAAGAGCAAGCAGCAGACAATGCGCAGAATTCTTTTGGGAGCTGGGACTGCCTTCTTCCAACAGGTCGGCGGGACCAATGTTATTGCATACTATCTGCCTGTGGTTTTGACGCGGTCAGTAGGGTTGGATAACAGAATGGCTTTGATTCTTTCAGCCGTCGACTCGATGTCACTGATGTTCTGGGGCTCTGTTGCAGCGTTGCTTATCGACCGAATCGGCCGAAAGAGACTGATGCTTTTTGGAGCTGCGGGCAGCAGTCTCTGCTTTGCGCTTGTTGCTGTTGGGTTGCGGTACGGCGGGCCTAGCAACAAGGGTATGTCCATCATGGCGGTTGTGTTTATCTTCGTCTACTATGTCTTCTACGGCGTGTCGCTCCTATCGATCCCTTACATCTATCCGGCGGAAATCAACTCCCAGCAAATGCGAAATATTGGAACTTCATTCGCCACCACTACGAATTGGTTGTTCGTATATGTTATCGTTGTTGCTACTCCTACTGCCATCGCGAACATCCAGTGGAAGTATTACATGCTTTTTGCGATTTTCAACTTCTGTTTCCTGCCAATCATTTGGTATTTCTATGTTGAGACTGCGAACCTTTCACTTGAGCAAATCGATCGGCTCTTTGAGATTAAGCATGACTCGGGAAATGCGATTAGCTGGACGGAGGCGACCATGATTGCCCGGACCGAGGTTATTTCTGATTTGGCGCGCACTGAGAAGAAGGACAACAGCGACTCTAAGCATTACGAGAATGTGGCTTAAATTTGAGATATTCTTACAATGTACGAAGAGCACGGTTAACTCCCTTGTTCTCTTGGCTAAAGTTCGTTGGTGGGCGGTATGGAAAGCGGTCAGGCTAAAGTTGGATCCCGAAGTACTCGAGGTCATATACTTAAACAACACCATTGAAGACCCTTTCAATAGTGGCCTATTGGTCTATTAGTTCAATCAATCAATCACCTCATAGTTGGTTCCTTGGGTACTAGCGCGTACGGATATCCTAAAGGCGGTCACCTACGAATGCGTGTCAGCAGGCTCCGAGAAGAAGGCAATGGAGCCAATGATGAATGCGGTAAAAACCAGGCTTTAGCCTTAAATAAAAAGCGTGCCAAATATGCAATGCTGCGCTAGTGGCAAAGTCTAGTGCAAAAATCACACTTGCAGCGACACTCGGATCATAGTTATAAAGAGCAAACCCATCATCATCTGTCATTGCAGAGCTGCATGCTCTCTAGATCAGGAGGAAAAGTGGCTGGGGTTTCAGTCATTGCGAATCAAGTCCAAACGGTCACTTATAGGAAATTCCAAGAGGGAATAAATGAAATATTGGACGAAGACTTCACGAGCCAAAACTCGGACCAAGAGAGGAGATTCGCCACTACATTTGGCTGCAAGGCACGGCTCCTTGAAATTGTGGAAATCTTGTAAAGGTTAGGAAGTGACATTGAAGAAGCAAGTTGGTATAGAAGGATACCATTTTACGAAGAATTACTAAATGTCTATCTTGAAGTGGTGAGGTTTCTGTACGAACGTGGGGGAGATGCCGACATTCATATAAGCGGATATAAATGCTAGCAAGCAAAAGATGAATAGAGAACCCCATTTTGCAGGCTTAGTATCTTTCAAGTTAAAATGGAGTCAAACCTCAATGGGATTCACGACTGTAAGTACGGTACCACCAGTACTGAGATTAATAAAGACAGTAGTACTGCTCAGCCATTCTTTTTAAAGGGCCTACTTACTTAGCCTACTTGATTGGCTTTCTTCTTGACTTTGGCTTTCTTTTTGGCCGGCTGTCAATCAATCAATCAATCAAAGTTCTATTAACCTGTTGGAGCCCAACTAGTATCATAATGGCTATGTAGGCGCTTCTATCCGGTGAAGCAAGAACTCGTGTCCCGTACGCCTAATTATGCTCTAGTACAAAAAGTGAGGTTGGTTCTCAAAGAGTGGAAGCACCAGCCCGTACATATAAGCCAAGCCCATGAAACCCGCAAATGCGTCGAAAAAGCCTAGTACAAATGAAAGTTCAATTCCCGTAGCCATTGAATACAAAAATGAATGCGTGGATACACCGTCCACCTCTCTAAGTCCTCTCCTCATAAGATATATATACGCCTCCGTATCAAAAACCCTGCCTAGTAAGCACTAGGCAAGATCAGACCCGGTTCCCTAATATCCTCACTTTAGCCTCGATTGCTATTCAATGTTATTTAGTACCTAGTTAGGCAACGTGTATTCGAATAGCTAGCTAAGGCTCTCTCCTTCCTTAGTCGTGTCAGTAAGAATTGGGTAGTGCCTAGCGTCTTCGGGACTCTGCTCTGTAACCTCTAGATTTAGGTCTCTGGCCTTATCATCGGACTCTTCCTAGTTAGCGTGTTAGAACTGAGCAAGAAGACCGGTTTAGTGTATAAATTTAGCAACGTAGCGGGTTGCTAACGGGTTTGAGACAATGCTATCATAATTCGATATATCGAATGGTCTAATTGCTCGATCTAACTAGTTAAATAACGTTTTCTTAATACGTCGAAGGTCTTATATTAAAGCAAGACGTGCTTCGGCGTCTAAGATAAGCCTTCTCTATAGGGGCATTTATCCGATTCCACTTTATTGATCTTATATAAGAAATGCTGGAGTGTAATGCGTGTCGAGCGTATTTATATCACTCGATGATCGTACTATGCGTTTTGGAGATGGCGGCTCGCTAGTGGTGGCGGTTCGGTAGTGAATTACGTTAGCATCCAAAGGGTTGTAGGGTTGTGTTTGTATCAATCCCCTAAGTCTATAGTGTCTCCGATACAAATAGGGGGTAAATAATGATTGGAATTATAACTAGTAGAATTTTAAACCTTATCCGGCTAGACTGAATATCGCGACCGGCCTCGAGTAAATAATCTTTGACCCAGCCTGTCACCACTTTTTTCTCCCATAGTTAACAGCAAAACCCTAATGCGGATCGACTCCATCCCTAATACCCCCATATGGGATTGTCCTAACATTCCGTCAACCAATAAGTAATATTGACAACTCGGTTCTTTATAATACTAGCGAAAAATACAATTTATGTGTTCAAGATAATGCAAACAAGACAAATAACAGGATAAGCACTTTTTCCGGTCACCATAGTAGAGTCCAAGACATTGTGACAGCTTCATGTGCCTTAAGCATCAACCATAGCCTCTTCTCTCTTCGTTCCTTCTCCCTCCATCCTTATCTCTCTATCGTATTCACTGCTTTCACTATGCTACTCGGCTTTCAAAATTTACCCCCGGAGGTTCATCAAATAATTCTACAGGCTCTGTGCAAAGAACATGAGCCCAGTGTCCGGGCCTTTGCTGGCGCCAGTCGAATATGTCATGCCCTGGCTTTGCCCTATCTCTATCAGACTCTCAATATCCCCGCGCCTGAAAGCCAGGAACTCGGGGACCGTGTTGAATATATTGCTCAGATCCTTCAACGAAATTCAAGCTTTCGATACGTGAAACAACTCGTGGTTGGCGGAGAGCCGACATCGAGAGAAGCAGCAAGTTACGGTGAAGAGGTGGAAGAACCCACCGATCCGGATCGAACTGCAGTCTTTGGAAACAACCTGCATGGATCCCTGGATCGCTTTAACAGCCGCAAGAGTCTCTATCGGTGGGCGGCGACGCAACATCCACCGGAGGCAGATTCCCCACACATTGACGCCTGGCAGCCCCTGACCGATTTGATCCAACGACTGCCCAGGCTACTGGATCTGATTTTTCTATGCCGTCATCAATTTCCCTCTTGTCTGCTGGAGGCACTTCACCGCCATCATCCACAATGCAAGCTTCACATCCACAACTTCTTTCTACGGAGTTTGAAGAGCCCTGTACTGCATCCATACGAGTTCCAATTAGCCACTTCTCCATGCCTTTTCAGCCTAAAGGGGGAGTACGAAGATTCCTTTTGGGAAGGCTATCCAGAGCCACGCAGGCTACCACTACGAGAACCTCTACCAGATGGTGCCTACCTCAATGAAGCTATCATGCACATGGTGTCTGGATTTGCTCCCAATCTGAAAGAGGTCACTCTCTTTCGCCCGCCCGGTAGCGGTACGCCTGCAAAATCCCCTCTGCCACCTTGGCGAGGATTTAGTCAGAAGGAAACGAACCCAGCAAAAGACTCAAAGCGTGGCGCCTTAAGATACCTTCAACTCGATAATACACTTCTCATCAAGAAAGACGATATCAAGCATTGGGCGGCTTGTACCGACTTCTCAGCTCTAGAAGTGTTCAAGCTTAAATCAACAGTTACAACCGATCTTCTACACTATCTGGCCACCGAAGTCGATTTCGCGCGTTTGAAAACACTGGTCCTAACTCCCAATGAGATTGAGAATAATGCGTACCAGCAAATCAAGATCTTCCTCCAGAGACTGCGGCCATTGTCTTCTTTGGAGTTAAAGGGTTGGATGGTCAGCTCTGTATTGGATGGCATCATGAATGCCCACGGAGCCAGCTTAATTGAATTAAAGCTGGCAGAAAGTCAGGGCTATGAATCGGTCGGGTCCATCAAGAAGAATCACCTATCGGCAATTGCGCAAAACTGCCCTTCGCTCCAATACCTAGATCTGACTTTGGACCGCACAGGAGGAGATTCCGAGGAAGTCGCTCTGTACAGGATACTAGGGGCCTTGCCACAGCTAAAATGTGTCTCCTTGACATTGCACGTTTCGAAGACCTGGGACTGCATAGACGGTCCCGGGGAAACGGACGATCTGGTCGACACGCGCTTTGACGATGAGTTCGATCAACAAGTGCAATGGGCCGTTCGCCGAGCCGCCGGTGGTTCTGAAGCGTGCAATGGCGCAATTCGGGAGCGGCTTGTTAACTGCGCGCTTGACTCAGCCCTTGGGCGCGCCATCTTCGGTGCGATCTCAGCGGGCAAGCCTGAAGGCTCTGCCTCATTGGAGAAACTGTGTATAAAGACGACCTCTGTGGGAGAGTTTGGGGACGTCGGATGTCCGACAGAATTGGGCCCGATCCTGGAACGCCTGAGCCAGCCTCTGCGGGTTACAAGGTGTGTTCGCAATGGTTGTCGGAATGAGTTGGTAGTGGAAAAAGAGCCCAGTGATGAATTGCCATCTGAGTTCCCTAGGTGGCTTGAAATCATCTGGCGTCGCGTTTGGCCTGAGAAGATGGCAAATAAATGGTGGAATGACTGGCATAGTTTGCCTCTTACATAGGTGGATGCTTAATGATCTGTCTATTTTGCCAACGAATATATCCTCTTCGCGTTCTTTACATGGGTTTATGTTTTATATCAAACCATCACGTCTCTTTCTAATGTACATTATTGTGCTCGATACAGCCGTGGAGCTGTCATCGCAGAATGATGATGTTTGACTGGTCTGTCACTTTCCAATGTTTTATGCTCTGGTGCCCACAAATACATGTACCCATTCAGGTACAAATGGGAATCAGCTTGCGTATATGCCCATATTGATATGCAGGCGGGTTTATCTATACCTAGAAATGCTCAAATTCTACCCATGCAATTAATTGTCTTTACTGTGTGATTTAACTTACACTAACGCTAACGAGGTAACCAGACATCAATTTTGAGACAGGATACTCCAGAGAATCCCGCTACCTTATCATACCAACAAATCCATGAAGACCACTGAATTAATTAACATGAATGGACAAACATAAATAAATTTGTCGACGGGATGCACTCTCCTAGGGCTACCTCTGAGAATACTTCACATGTACCCTATCCCTGACCACTTTTCCCCGTACTGATAATTTCAACCGCGATCCCTCCCGCTGTTATAAGTGACGTCGAAGCTCCCACAGCTCAATAAATCTCATACTCTTGTCACAAATACTAATAATTAGAGCTCTCAGGCAACTTGAAATTTGATTGCCAAATGGGAATGTATTCAATGGAGACTTCAGGAAAAGCGAAAACTAGCCATAGTCCCAGAGAGGTCACGATAATTTTTTTATCTCATCATCCCGAACTTCTTTTCAGCGAGATCGCGATTCGGACTATTGCGCTCTTACCTATGCTGTGGTCTCCGCTATGTTGTGCGTGGCGTCTTTTTCATTATCGACCCTGTCGGGTGTAACTGGCAGCGCCTCTCGCCCTTCCGTCTGTTCTATTGAAACAGGCTTGCTAGATTTGTCCATGTTTGATGGAGAGACCTGGTCTTTGTGGCGGTGGGAGTGTCTCTTGATATAAACAGAAATTGACCTTTTATAGCCAATTGAGCAAGCCCAATGCAGGGACATACTGCTCTGTGCCATGTTGGAGGCGGGCAGTTGGAGTACCTCCACTTTCAACGTCAGTCTCATTGTGTGAAGGCTATACGAGTCTCGTTATGAATCACAGGAAGATGATGTTTCGGTGAACTGATCGGCTTGGTAAGGAAAAGAAGCACATCACCCTTCTCACCTTCGGTCGCGCGACTGTAAAGCGGCTCTCGCCTATACTAACTAGACTAGCTATCCTAATCAAAGGATACATATCCCTTTCACACTAACTGTAGTACATACGACCACAGGGTGTGGAGAACAGGGCTTCCCGTCCGCTCAGCCGTACTTAAGCCACACGCCGGTAAGTTAGTAGTTAGGTGGGTGACCACTAGCGAATCCTTACTGTTGTATGTTTTTGTCGTTTTGTTAAAAGAAAAGCGCTAAAATAGAATCTTGACAAGGTAACATCAGCATGAAGCTGGAGTGAGAGAACTGAGCGATTATAACACTATTGTATTAGACCCGCTGGCAACCCGCTACGTTGCCCAATTCATGCATCGAACCGGCCTACTTGCCCAGTTTCAACATGCTGAGCAAGAAGAATCCGATGATGAACCACACAAAGACCTCGAGGTTATGGAGCAGAGTCCCGAAGACGCTAGGTACTCACCATCGCTTGCCAACACCGTCGCGAGGGTGGAGAGAACCTCGATGAGCTATTCGAATACACGCTTCCGGACTGGGCGATCCCTGAACGGCCTAAAATAACAATGAACAGCAATCGAGGCTGAAGTGAGGATGTCGGAGAACGGGGTCTGATCTAGCTGCAGCAGGAATTGGCTAGCATCGGGATCGGGAGGTGTTTACATGAACTATGAGAGAAGAGAGGACTTGGAGAGGTGGACGGTACATCCACGCGCTCATTTTGCATTCAATGCCGGCTGGCATTGAATTTCTCATTTGTACTGCGGGTTCTATGGGTTCTGGGTTTGATTCACATGTAATGGGTTGGTGCTTCCACTCTTTGAGAATCAGCCTCACTTTTTGTACTGGAGCATGATCAGGCGTATGGACACGAGTTCTTGCTTCACCGGATAGAAGCGCCTGCATAGCCATTACGATACTAGTTAGGCTCCAACAGGTTAATAGAACCTTGATTGATTGATTGATTGACAAGGTAACATCCTCTCACGAGACCGTAATGGGCTTGCTTTCATTCCCTTCCATATGCCTTTTTCAACTAATGCCCAGGTTAGTACCAATAGAGAGAAATAGGAAACAATGCCAGAGTGCGAGGTCTCTATTCATTTCCCTCATCTTTGACTATATGGACCACCAACGGATTCTCAGCTTACGAACTCCTACATTTGGCTCCCATTGCCGCACCACTCTCGATTGTCCAGAACTGCAGATCTTTATTCAAAATTGTATTATCTTGGCTAATTCCTAATCTGTCGCAATACTGACTGGTTCAGGTGGACTTTTGTCACATCTTCAATACCTGACAAATGCAACGTCAACTGAAGATCTCCCAAGATACTCTTCAACACGTGTCGGACCCCAGTCTCACCACCGATTGCCAACCCATACACATATGGTCGACCAAGCAAAACCATCTTGGCTCCCAGAGCCAAAGCATTTACAACATCCGCGCCGCATCTCACTCCGGAATCAAACAAAATCTCGAGATCGTCTCCCACCTCATTCGCAATGTCGGGCAACACATCCAGTGATCCAATACCTCCATCCTGCTGACGGCCCCCGTGGTTCGAAACCACGATACCCTGAACACCAAACTCACGCGCCTTCTTCGCATCCGCAACTGTCTGAATACCCTTTAACACAATCGGGCCATCCCAATGATTGCGCAAATATCGAATATCTTTCCATCCGTGGCTAGTGCCCGGGAAGATGATATGCGCCCATTCAGCTGCCGCCTTGGAGATATCCTCTTCAATTGACATGCCGTGTTTGGTCCGGAAATATTCCTGGAAGACCGAATCCGAGAAACCAAGCTCAACCCCGATATTGTCGGCGCGAAGGAAAGGGTTATATCCGTGATCAAGATCGCTGGGTCGCCACCCAAGTATATACGTATCAAGCGTCACAACAAGAACCTTGTACCCAGAATCCTTGGCTCTCTTTAACAAGCTAGCAGTGATGTCCATGTGATCATTGGAAGGCCAATAGAGCTGATACCAACGTGCCCCAGGACCGTTGGCATCCGCTACATTCTCAATACTCGTTGACGCAGCCGTACTCATGATATATGTGACATTTTCGGCGTCAGCAGCCTTTGCGGTAGCGACCTCGCCGTCAGGGTGAAAGATCGTCTGCACCCCAACTGGTGCAATGGCAATGGGGTAGTCGTACTCTTCGCCGAACAGGGTTGTCTTGAGGTTTGGGAAATCAGCCTCCACCAAGCGCGAGGGCAGTATTCCCCATTTCTTGAATGCTTCTCTATTGTTGTCGTCCGTTTGGCGGGTGCCAGCCGAGCCCCAGACGTAGCCGAAACTATCAGCTGAGAGGCGTTCTTTTGCGAGGGATTCCCAGTTTGTAGGATCGAACGAGATTTGGGACCTTTCATTGTTCAGACCTGCTGCGTATATACCATTTTCATAGGTGTATGGTGTGGGATTGGCTGGTGTATCCATTTTTGATGGATGACAGAGGGCGCCGGGGTATACAGTATCTGGCTGAATTGAATACGAAATGTGTCGGAGATTTCGGGATTTCTGGTTCTTTGGACGTCTTGGGCTTTTATCTGACAATGATCAAATCAAACAGGGGCGGGCCAGGCGAGGAGTGCTTTGTAACTACAGTATACGAAGGACTTGAACCGTACAGAGCACTCGGCCGTAACAGATTCAGTGACGTCACATTATGGGTATTAAAGCCGGAAGAAAGCTTGAACTATAATGAATTTCATTTCCGGTCAATAGTTGTCTCAGCTCCTCTGTGAAAGAAGAGGTTGCGCAAGACTATACTGAGATTTCTACAAAATGTGACGAACAAGTGCACAAATATATTATTAAAAGAGGTTCAAAATCTCCTAGTTCAGATACACGACGTTTTTCCCTATGAAGCACGGGATCTTTAGGAACATTATCCGAGAAACAGGTTCTGGTTTGACTGTGGAGTTGCAACGTTTATTTTCGCGCAGCCCTGTTTTCCGAGATCCACTCGGTTTCTCCACTCGGGATGCCGAAACAAAAGAGGCCTTGAAACCTTGTGGGTCTTATACGCGGAGTGTTGTCCAAGATCTATCGAAGATCCGAAACTTGTCCAAGGCACAATGACCCACAATGTGATATCACTCTGTTCCATTTCCCACGACAAGATCACATCCCACCTCCCAACATCAAAATGAATCTTGATGGAAGAGTCACCCTCAAAGACCGAGTATGCCAGATCACATGGGGGTGGTACTCGTTGTCCATGGCTACTGGAGGCATCGCTGTCCTCCTCTACCGGACACCTCACCAATTTACCGGACTTGAGATCATCGGCAAAATTATCTATATTTTCAACCTCTTCCTCTTTCTCGCGATCACATCGTGCATGATTCTCCGATTCCTGGCCAAGCCAAGCGCTCTGAAGCAGTCATTCCAAAGCAGTCATGAAACCTACTTTGCACCGACATGCCTACTATCTATCGCAACCATCATCCTTGGAGCCGAAAGTTACGGAAATAGCTCCTGTGGCCCCTGGCTGCAAGTAGCCCTACGAATCGTCTTTTGGATCTACGTCGCGCTCTCCACACTCCTCGCTATATTCCACAACTGGTATTTATACTATTTGGCCATGGCCAAGCAGCAACCATTCCCAATAGTGCAACTACTGCCCTCTTTCCCAGCCATGCTGTCTGGCACTATCGCATCGTCTATTGCGGGCAGTCAACCACGAGAACAAGCACTGCCAATTCTCATTGGCGGCGTCACATTACAAGGCTTCGGCTTCATAATGTCTCTGCTCATATACGGGGAATACCAGTACTTTCTCGCCAGGCATGGTCTGCCAGAACCGTCCAAGCGACCTCAGATGTTCATTGCTGTCGGGCCGTGCAGCTTCACTGCTCTTGCGTTAATTGGAATGGCGAAGGAGGCGGTGGAAATCTTCTCTTTACGATATATCATTTCCTACGCTGATCCTGAGTCCGTTGGGAGTGTCGCCGTCAGCACTGGTGATATTGCCATGGTGATTGCCTCTTTCTTCGCCATCTTTGTTTGGACTATGGCGTTCTTTCACTTTTGTATCGCTCTTATTAGTGTTTTGGCCTCGGCTGGAATCTTTGGAGGGAGGGAGCCCCTGGCACGTCAGTTGTGTATTGGTCGATGGTATTCCCCAACACAGGGTTTATTATAGCGACGATTAGTATCGGGCAGGTGTTGCAGTCTGAAGGTATTCTCTGGGTTTCGTCCGTTATGACTGTATTGCAAGTCGCAATGTGGTTGGGTGTGGGCGGTGCTACCATACTTGGGATTGCGAGACGTCAGATATTATGGCCAGAAGATGACAAGAGAAGTGCCTAAAATAGAGGACGACTCCATTAAGAACTGAGAAACCAATTCAAATTATGCAAGGATAGGCGCAAAAGCTAAGTTTGTTCAGAGTCTAGAACACATGACACAACATGAATGTATTCCAACCGCCGTCTATGTCTGGTTGCTGGGGCACACATAGACTGCCTAGGTACAATTGGACTATGAACTGTCATCAAAACGCACACCGACACTGCGGGTATATGCAATTCATTGATCTCATCTTCATGCAGAGACATTACCAAAAAGCCGACTACGGCCATCCTTCCATGGGCAGAGGCACACCTTCCCACTCAGTCCCATTAACAAACTGACCCGCCATATCCTGATCATCCCCAGAACCACCAAGCATGTCATCAGCAAATCCCCAACCCATAGACTCAAGCTCTCGGACGAAGAAATCGCGCTCTTCTTCCATCATCGATGTACCCTCATTGCCACCCATGACATCCTTGTACTGGCGCAGATGCCACCAGTGGGTTAGACCGCGCAAAGCTTGTTCCAGGGGTAATGCCTCTTCGACCTCGGCATCGACGTCTGAACCGGCGAGCCAGTCGTCGCGGAGCTCGGGGCGGCAGTAGAGATAGATAGCGGTGATGACGCGCATGTTACCCTGTCTCCATTTCCGGCCACAGTACGGGACCTGTGATTTAAACAGCTTGAGGGTGTAGTTGCGGAGATGCGGGTCTGGGATCTTGAGGCCCTTGCGGAGGATGTTGCTGGACTTGTACTGCACAAGCAGGAGACAGCGGTGTGCCTTATTGCGTGTGATCTTTTGCATCACGTGCAGATAGTTGATGGAGGAGAAGAAATTGCGAAAGGAGAAGATCGTGATTGGCTCCTTGGGGGAGGCGCTGTTGGGTAGCCGAGTTCGTCGACTTCAGGGCGGGTGTGGCTATTGAATATATCGGCGACTGAATCTTCCTCGGACAGCCCGCGCATCAGGTTGGGGCGATGCCGAGAGATTGGAGGTGGCATGGCCTCGTCTTCGCTCTCGGTGTCTCCGCCCGAGTTATCATCGCTATCCTGGGCGTCTGTGTTACTCGCGCAGAAGTGGAAGAACCTGGTACATGTTAGGGACTGCCGCGCTGGTTGATGGTGATCGGGCAACTTACGACAAGTCTTCACGATCATTCTTTTGTGCAACGACCTGATCGACGTCTTGGTGGGCGAACATCTTGAGGATCAGAGGGAGATAGTTGGAGTCGAGTAGAAGCTGGGTCATATATTCGAATTTCAAAATATCTTTAGAGGTCAGTTATGTGTTTGGGAGTCAATTAGGCCGAGGAAACTCACGAGATCTCTTGAACCACTTCAAAAGAAGCACCAGAATTCCAGAGACTGCCTTTCCGGTGATCTCGCGAAGTCTGATATTATCAAGTTCATCGATAGACGCGTCAGAGAAGAGATCATGTGAGCCGTTCATTCCATTGCTGGATCGTATGTTAGATCCCATCCAAACCCTGCTGGGGTTCATCGACCTCACCTTATGTTCTGGCTGTTGTAGCTGCCGGCTTGGCTGACCACCGAACTGACATTCGTCAAAATAATCTTCAAGAAAACTATCGTGATAGATTGAAGATAGGACAAGGTTTGGCCCTGCATGTTGTTAGATCATGTCATATTCAGCAGGTAATATCACGCACGTAGAAATGCTCAACAGCATCCAGGCGCCGCTGGATATCAGGATCATCTGTCTCCTTCTGCTCGGATTTAGCATCAGGCGTCTCTTCGCCTTCTGAGAGATCCAAATGTTCAAAATCATCCGATAGATCGGCGTCAGGGAAGTGGGCAGCATCCTCAGCATTCCAACCACGATCGTATATCATGAAATTTTCGCGTTCCTGCCAAAGTTGTCTGATAGCACGAGTCATCTTCACGTGCGTGGAGAAGAGCCTTCCAGCTTCAATGATCGATGCAGGAACATCACTGCCTTCCCAACGCTTGCCAACCAACGTATCCTGACGTTCTGTGGTGCCTTTCCCGCCGATACTGTTACTTGAGTCATCCAATGGAGGGTACATAAAAGGGAAGTTTTGGTTGGTTTGGTAATTCTGTTTCTTTCCGGCTTTGCCTCCTGGGCCGACAGGCGACGGTGGTGGGGATGGTGCCGGGGTTGCGATGTGAACAGACTGCTGGAGAATAGAGCCATTGCCGCCAGCAACTGATGGACCAACGCCACAGAATATGCCATTCGATGAGTTCATCTTGATCGCGTTGTGTGGAAGAGGAGGGAGAATAGAGTTGTTGTCCAATTCCAAAGGAACCGCGAGTGGGGGAGGGTTGTAAGCCGGGTATTTCGATGTGATTTCTTGGCGGAAGACGTGGTAGTCCAAGGGAGAGGCGTGGAGGAATGGAGTCCGGCGCTTGGTATCATCTCTATTGGCTGAATGGAAAGGCTCCAGAACGTCTTTGGCTCGCTTTAGGTCATCAACCCCTCCGAAAACAAGGAGGAGCGATTTCCAGAGCAAAAGAAGAATTCTGGTAAGCGGGATATTGGCAGATTCATCCCAACGTAGTCGGGCGATGATTTCAACAATAGAGACCAGCAGATTCGGGTTTGAGTCAATCAATGTATCGCGAATGGGACTGCACCCAGTGCAACACGCCTCTTGCCGGCGGCCCACTTCCACGACAAAGTACAAACTTGTGAGGAGCAGATTTGCTTCACGCTCCGGGGCAGTGATGTCACCGGGATTGAGTCGCTCGTGCTCCATGCCATTGACGTCCGTCCCAAGGTTGGAGCGAGTTTTGTCGAAGAGTCGACACATGTATTCAATCAGGGCTGTCACTCCAGAACATTGCTGGAGGAGGGAGACATTGTCTTCGATCCAATCGATCTGCAAAGATTTCCATGGAGGAGCTTCAGTCGACGTGTGAGATCTCTCCGGTGATGGGTAACCCGGAGCCACCTTTCCACCAGTGATGCCCCAAATTCCAGTCAGCAGGTAACAGATGGTTTCAAGTGCTTCCAGTCGTACTGCGACATCGTCATGCTGCAGGCCGCCGAGTATCTGAGATACAAATGTGCGGCGAACATCTTGTGATACGTCAAGCCAAGATGTCAGCGTGGCTATCTTGCTTTGCTGACGAAAGACATTCCATTTCTGGTTGAAGGTGGCCTTGGTCCCCATGAGCATGACACGATCGAAGTCATTATACTGGAACCACTCTTCCAGTTCATCGGGAAAAGGCTGGGCATCGGCGTATTCAAATGCATAAGCTGGCTGCTCAATCTTGGGCATATCATGCACGAGTCTGCGCAGCTGGGATAGACTCAATGAGTCCGTGGGCTGGCCTGGGTTCTCCTGAACCGGAGCCGGAGGTGGTGGCTGCAAAGGTGGCGGAGGAGCAGAGCTCTCACGGCGGAGTTCTGGCCTTTTCGTGGGCTTTTCGGGTGCAGACGGCGTCATCTCTGCGGTGGGTGCGGCCTGAGACGCCTGTTCCTGGCGAAGCCCCTCAGCCACCTCCTCCATGAGCTGATCATCTGAGACGGGCGAGATATCAGTCCCAGTTTGGTCGATCTCATCGGCCTTGACAATGTGGTGCTCTTCCATTGTGGAGTCACGGGTATCAGATGGGCCGTCCATCCCGGGAGGTCTGGCGACTCTGGGTTTCTGAAAGGCAACTCTTGTGGATCGCCAGATCGGGTGTATTTACACTCCAGGCATCAGCCAAGCCAGTGACGAGTGATATGTGTAGAGTTCAGCTCGCCTCATACAAGTAAATCATTACACATTCCAATTCGTCACGTCCAAAGCAAGCGATGCGAATTTGAGTTGCGGTGTTGATTTCTGGGAGGGTGGCACGTGACCTGGCGCAATGTTTACACGCCACAGGCACTATCGGACGCTCCACGAGAGATTCCATAGGAGCTCGAATGCTCCCTCGCGTGCTTGAAATTCTGGAAAGTTCAAGTTATGAAGTATTCTATAAATCGCCTTAGGAAACCCCCTACATCCCTAGAAACACCTCTATAAAATGGCAAATTTGTGGCGGTGAGAAAGGCGGTAACTTCACCTGCTCGTCTCTTGCATCTCACGCGAACATTGGGACTTCGAGATTGGATTTAAATTAATAGCTATGTATGCGACAAATGCGACAAATGTACAGGCTGATGCGCGTTCTTTCTACAAAATCGGGGTATACACAAGATGAATCGAGCTCTGTCCTTAGGCCGTCTTCTTTTCACTACCGCGACGCTTCAATCTCCGAGCTTCCCATCGTTGCCAGCCGGCCTCGGCCAGGTCTTCACTTACCACGAGATCACGAATCCTCACAAACCGAGACACGGTCAATTCCATGGCCCATTCAATCCAGCCGGAGCTTCGTAGCACGCTGGTGAACATGAACCAGACACAAGCACAGGTGAAACCGGCGGCACAGCCAGCCAGGACTTGTCTCGGGGTGTGGTAGTTGAGGTAGATACGACTGGCAGAGACACCGGCGGCGCCCATGCAAAGGGCTAGCATGACTAGGACGCGGAGGAGGACGGCAACGTTGGGGTAGGAGCTGGCGGAAGCTTGGCTATGACGGAAGAGGAGGAAGAAGGTCAGGTAGACGGAAAAGAAGGTCATGAACTGGGCGTGCGAGGATGGCATGCCGTAGCCCTTGCCAAACATTTCTGTAACAGTCAGTCAGTTTGAGGTCCTCGGAGGTCCCGGCCATCACCACTTACCCTTCGGTCGCTCTTCTTTAATGAAACGCTTAAGGGCAAAGTTGAGAGCTTCACAGGCCATCTGGCCAGCAAACATGAGAATCACCTCTACCTCTCTGGTTGACCAGACCAATGTTGCGTAGGATACACATAATGCCTGTGGGATCAAGGCCAACCAGGCTGAAACGAAGGACAGCTGGTCCTCGGGGTTCTAGGTATGTTAGCATTGGCTAATATAGGGATTAACGCGGGGAGACACACGTAATGGACATGAGTCAAGGACAGAGAGGCGAGTGGAGTGTCCCCCATGGTGGAAATATAGTAGAAAGAGTGAAGTGGAAAGAGAGAGAGAAGTGAAGTACAGTCGAAGCCGGGAGATGTTCAGGGTCTGGGACAGGGTAAATCCGGTCCGTGATAAGAGATACAAAGCCCAACGGCGGGGACTTTTCTCAGGCATCGAGTGGGATCCCACTTTCTTTTCTCTTCCTTTTCTCTGTCTGTTCTTTATAGCATTTCATTTTTCAAACCATGACGCAGCTGCTCTCGCCATATTCTCCCGATTTCTTGTTACATCATTTACTAGACCCCTCCCGCTCTGCCGAACAGTGGCCTCAAATACTCGGGGCGCCGTGAACTACTCTGGTTGGTTTACCACTGGATCTCAGTCGCATCGCTGATTCGAAGTGTTCCTGCAGGAGATTCCGCATTTCTGCCCGACCCTGACACTTCACTCCGATCTGTCGCCACACAATATTTCTTTTCGCCGCCTGCCATGGCCTTCCTGTGCTAAGACATATTGTGGGAGACATATACGGTCTCCGAATTGAAACACAAAGCTTTAACGGAATATCACCACATCCCAACTTAAAGTCGACAGAAATCCCGGCGAATCGGTTTCATCCGGCCAAAATGACTGAACTAGAGTGCGCCGAGGATGACCGCTCCGTCGAGCTGTCGTCCATCGCCGCCATCTTCCCGGAAATTCAGATACAACCTGGGTCACCCTTTAAAGCCGCGCTTGAACTGCCAGTTGTCCCATCGTCGCCAATCTCGGTCTGTTTTCAACAGCCAGTCGATCCTGCACTCAACGCAACCATTACCCCTCCGACTTCCTTGGATGAATCCAAAGGAGAACTCGACCAGCCGCCTGTCAAGGACGTCCATATCCTAACATATCTACCTCCTCTCAGCCTCGAGATCGAACTGCCCGAAGGCTACCCTATCGAGAAACCACCAATCGTCCATCTTACGACCGTTTCATCATGGCTGCCTGCCTCGGTTATCGACCGTTTATCTGACGACTGCCGCCGACTCTGGGAAGAATGTGGAAATGATCTCGTCGTTTATACCTATATTGATCACCTCCAACAGCTGGCAGAGACAACATTCGATATTCAATCCGCATCGGGAGAAGTGTGCTTATCGCGGGATCTGAAAGTGGCGCTATTGGACTTCAATATAAAAGCGGAACAAGAAAAGTTTGAACAGGGAACTTTTGAATGCGGAGTTTGCCTCGAACCAAAGAAGGGTGCGCTTTGCCATCGATTGCTGCGCTGCTCCCACGTTTTCTGCGTCGGTTGCCTGCAAGACTTCTACGGAACCTGCATCCAGGAGGGTGATGTAGATAGTGTGAAATGCATGGCACCGGACTGCGAGTACAACAAGAGACTTCCAGCACAGGGCGACGGCCAGACGCCACCCCGCAAAAAGCGCGATCCTAGTATTGGACCTAGCGAGCTCCTTCAGATACCGTTGCCTCCGGAAGCAGTTCAGCGATACGTTTTTCTCAAGCGCAAGAAGAAGATAGAAGCCGATAAGAACACCGTCTACTGTCCTCGAGAATGGTGCCAGGGAGCAGCACGATCCAAGCGTCACCCAAAACCGGAAGACCCAATGACCGACGATTTGGAAGTTTCCGATGATGAAGATGGATTTGATCCTCTCGGCCCCGAAGACCAACTGCCTCCAATGGCAGAACGCGTGGCCATCTGTGAAGACTGCAACTACGCCTTTTGCTCTGTCTGCAAAAAAGGCTGGCACGGAGAACTAATACGATGCTACCCACGGCGCGCAGGCGAGAAAACAGAAGAAGAAAAGGCAACCGAGGAGTATTTGCGGCTATACACTTCTCCTTGTCCCACCTGCAATGTGCCCTGCCAGAAACAAATGGGCTGCAACCATATGCGTTGTTTCCAGTGCGATACTCATTTCTGTTACCTATGCTCAAGCTGGCTGTCCGCCGACAATCCATATCAACACTTCAACACCTTAGAGAGCAAATGCTACAACCGGCTGTGGGATTTGGAAGGTGGCGATGGTATCAATCCAGACGGAGCCGAAGCACTCCACCGCATCCCCGAAGCGCTTCTAGTTTTCGACGATCCACCACCAGCAATCATCCATGAGGAGGCTGAAGAGAGCGACGAGGATCGCCCTGCATTCGAATTCGACAACGATGAAGACGACCTGCACGGCCACCGGCATCCACCTCCACCAGCCCCAGTCCCACCCCGCGTCAATGCCGGTGGCCGACGACCCGGTCGACGCGATCATGCAGCGGCCCGTGCCGCAGCAGCCGAACGCCGAGCCCAAGCTCGCGCTATGGCCGAAGTAAGACACCGCAACAACCGAGACGAGCCCCGGAGGCCTGTCCGATGGGCGGATATTCCTCCAGCTCCTCAAAATCCACAAGGACCTCTGGGTTATCTCGGCCCGCCCCTTGATGACGAACACGAGCCTATTGCATGGGAAAATAACCACCCTGGCCAACGACAGGAAGACGAGGCTCGTGCTGGCCTCCAGCGCTTTCTAGCTCTCGTGCAAAACGACCGCGAGGATGAATGGGATAGCGATGAGTTGAACGATGACTTTTGAAATTACGATTCGATGTTTACAAGCTACATCACAACGATACAAGGAAATTCTGTTCAGCGGATTTCCCAAAAAGCGTCATAATGAGATTGATGCATGTGACGACGATTATGCCTTTCTTTGACTCCTCTATTTAGCTATTTTACGTACCTTCGGGGTATTTACTGCCTCCCAATTTTCCTCTTTTGGTTTCGTTTACCCTACATAACGTTACTTCTCAGCACACTTCGTGTATCCTTCTAGTGTCTTATATCTGGCCATCATATTCATCCTTGATTCCCGCACAGATACTTTCTTCCTCGATGTGTCCTTGATTAAATTATGTTTATAGTTCGACGTTTCCATATGACACCAAGTGTATATTCGCAATCTATCATTTGTTTATTTGAATTTAGCTTCCCAATCTTCAACTTTTTGTTCCAGACTTGGTTGGTTACGTGTAGACCTACACATGAGACGGTTAGAACGCAGGAATTAGCAATAGGTCTTCATTCTCCACTCAGCTTTGTAACTCGCACTGTGTTATTCGGCCATTAGTTTTAGTATTGCGCGTCTCATAAATATGTGTATGTGGATCTTCAATACATAATTACAACATACTAGAATCCGCGTGCTATGACGTACCCGGATATGTTACCCTTCGTTGTTCACTGACAAGACATTGAAAAAGAAAGACTATACAAATATTAGGTTGCAGCGTATCAGGCACCATTGCAGGATCTTGCAGCAAAGTGCGTGTGCAAAGAGTGCAAAATTGGCAGGCGCTTAATAACCTCTATCTGAGTTGATTCCCAATCTTAATCCACCCCGCATCCTACATCATGCACATCATATGGCGAGACTCCAGTGACAGCAAAACCTACGAACAAGCACGAGTGAAGAATGTCTTCAATCTTGATCGCCCTAAATACTTTCCACGTGCTGTAGTCACAGCAACATGCGCAAAAGATGCAATTGCCGCGGTGAAAATAGCACAGCAGGAAGAGTGTCAACTCGCTGTGAGGTCAGGAGGGCATTCAACCCCTGTCTGGAGTCTACAAGAACACTCGATCCTATTGAACATGGGAAGCTGGAAAGAGATCATCGTGGACACCAAGTCAAACACAGCCAAAGTGACGACAAGCGTTACAGGACAAGAATTGAATCGATATCTACAAACGCAACATGGCCTTATGTTCCCTGCCGGGCATTGTCCGGATGTTGGACTCGGAGGGTTTATGCTTCAAGGAGGCCAGGGATGGAATTGTCGAGTATGTCGTTCTTCTTCTGTCCATCCACTGCGTTACTAATAGGTCCTAGAACTGGGGATGGGCTGCCGAGAAGCTACTCGCCGTGGAAGTGGTGACAGCTCAGGGAGAGTCGTTGCTCTGCAATAAAGAACAGCATCAAGACCTCTACTGGGCTGCCCGCGGAGCAGGGCCATTCTTCCCGGCAATCGCGACTATATTCCACTTGCAACTTTTACCATATCCTGTTGGATTTCGATCCTCGGGATATATCTATCCGGTCAAGATGTACCGCCAGGCCTTCGACTGGGTTCAATCTGTTGTTCCAACCGCTGATCAAGACACCGAGATCGTCATGGTGGCATTCCATTCCGAACCCGATCGCGAGGTATGCTTTAAGGTTCATTTCATCACCATGAAAAGTAGCATTGCAGAAGCCGAGGCTGCCCTGATGAAATTGCATACCGGCCGCCCTCCTGGAACACTATCAGAGTGGGTGTGTCAAGAGGAAAGTCTGGAGAACCTCCATCAAGGCCAAGCATTGGCAAGTCCGAAATCTCTTTACTATTACACGGACAATGCCTTCATTGGTGAAGGAGCTAAAGTGACAGAGTTGCTAGAAGAAGGCTTTCTCAGTATCCCCCCTGGGAAATCGTGGGCATTCTGGTCTCCGATGTATCCATACAGTGAACGAGTTGTCTCAGACATGACAATGATCGTGCCATCAACCCACTACTTCTCAATGTATAGTATTGCTGAAAGCGAAGATCTGGCTCCGCAATGCAGGACGTGGGTGGAGGGTACTATGGCTGGGATTAGGAAGTATGCCGTGGGTTCATACTTGGGCGAAAGTGATTTCAATACTTCGCCTGAGTGGTATTGGGGTGCACGCAATGCCCGACGCCTTGAACAAGTGCGCCAGACGTGGGACCCGAGTTCTTTGTTTTGCTCTGTGCATAAACTCTCAAGGAAATAGAGAACGAGATATACACTTCTTCTTAAACGTAATATGTCTAGGGGGGCCTTTAAGAGATTCGATCACTACTATCGAAACTTCTATGGTGCCCATTTGCGAAACAAGTTAGCTGGCCCTTGTTTCTTCTATTTTGCCTACGCGGAGTCTTCTTAATCGCTTTCTTCTCCTATCGATCGGCTATTAGATCGGTATCGATCTAATATTGGTTTATAAAATAGCAATTTATCTACTTACTTAGAGATTTTATACGTCCGAAATAATGAACTCTTAGCAAAATTATACTCCCGAGGTCCCGTGACGGGTTCTATAGTAGTCTGCAGGTAAATTTCCCAAGCCTAGAAAGGTACAATCAGATGCATTGATCAGTTCGTCGAGGACTTCTTTCAGAAGGACCCTTACTTCAATAGCCCCTGTCAAGCTCTCTGGGCTCGGGTTTCCGTCGCCTTATTTTGAGAAAACAAACGAGATTCAAGGCTTCCAGAATTACCCGGCACATTCATTGCTGCATCTATGTCACGCCAAATGTCGCTACAGGATTAGGGTTAGTTTCGGACTGCTCAGGGACGCTATTGCTCGAACGTATGAGACTAAACTAGGCTGCTATATAATATCTCCGATCGGACTCCGCGTCAGCAAATCATATAAATGAGGGGCTCACTTTGTAGACGGAATTCAGCTTTCAGATTCTGTTACAATTCTCGTATAGATACACTTATGAACACTGCAATGTCTCAGTCCCCTTTGAACATCGAGTTCGATAAATTGGTCGAAGAATTGTTGCAGACATGGCATGTCCCAGGTCTTGCAATTGCAGTGATTAATGGTGCTTCTACATATTCCAAGGTAAGCCGCGATATCTCTCTCACGGCACCAGTACTTAGACATTACTAGGGCTATGGACTGGCTGTTCTTCCTGATGTCCCGGTTACACCTGAGACAGTCTTCTTTACAGCTAGCACAACCAAATCATTCACAGCTGCTAGCGTATCACTGCTGATAGATGACGCCGCATTAAATCAATCTACAGAGCAGATTCCGTCAGGTCTCTCATGGACTGCGACCATCTCCTCTGTCGTACCAGAGGACTTCGTCTTACATGATGAATATTCAACATCCCACGTTACCTTCGAAGATGCCTTGAGCAACAGAACCGGTCTTCCAGACCATCTCAAAAGCTTCAGGCCAAAGACAACATCTCTTCGAGAAGGCATTCGATCTCTCAGACACCTTCCGCTCGCCGCAGAGATGCGTTCCAAGTATCTATACAGCAGTTACATGTTCTCCGCAGTCTCATATGCGATCGAAAAAATAACAGGTACCAGACTAGGGGAATTTATGAGAGAGAGAATATGGTCTCCTCTAGATATGACACGCACATACTGGACACCACAAGAAGCAAAAGCAGCAGCAAGCTCCGGAACAACCCTAGCCCACGGCTACGCATGGAACGCATCAATAGAGAAATACACCGAAGAACCAATCCCCGACTTCCCAGTCGTATCAGGCGCCGGCGCAATAATCAGCAATGTTCTCGATTACACGAAATGGCTGCGGTGCATGATGACCCAGTCATCTCCAATAAGTCCCGCCCACCACGCAACACTCATCGAACCACGCATCCACTATCCACAGCAGGCCACAAATCCATTCACGGCTCCGCATTCCTATGCCCTCGGGTGGAGGATTGATAGTTATCGGGGCCAGCGCGTGGTCTGGCATACAGGAAGCTGGATTGGATACGGCTCAACGATGATGTATCTACCTAATCTCCAATGGGGATTGGTTCTCATGGGTAACACGACTGGTACGAGTAATTGCATGCAGACTGCTTTGTATATGCATCTGCTAGACGACCTTCTTAGTACGCCAGCCTCTGACCGAATCGATTGGTCGGCGGAGCTTCTGCAGCGTCGGGATCGGAGGAGAGTGGATAATGGTAATGCGTTGGGTCGACTCTATCCTGATTTACCTTGTCCGGTAGACCCGCCTTTGCTTTCGCTTTGGGCCTATGCTGGGCGATATCATCATGCTGGGTATGGAGATATGGACTTTGAGCTGTGTGGAAATGCACTCGTTGCCTCGCGGCTTCTTTATGAAGTCTCCATGGTGATTCGGATGACTCATGCTACTGGGGAGTTCTGGATAGCGAAATTGGAAATTGTGAACCAGGATCCGCGCGATCAAGAAATTGTTAGGGCGAGGTTTCAGGTCACGGAGTACGGGATCGCAGGACGGGTTGGGTTGGATTTGGAGCCTGCGCTTCAAGGTCAGATGATATGGTTTGAAAGGATAACACCATAGTGTTCGCTATAGCGTCCAATACTCGATCATGGTGGGATGAGTGATAATAAGGTTGTTGGAAAACTTTGTGAGGAGCCAATCAGGCTGAAACTGTTAGAGCCTCAATTAGATGCGCAAGTTGAGGTTGAAATCGTGATGGGAATGATTGTCTTCCTCCGGCAGCATTGATAATTCATCACAAAGGACCAAATTAACATGTAGACTTCGTATGGCTCGATTAAGTACACATGCAATTGTACAATTGGGCGCCAACAGGTGGATCTGACGGTTTTCGGTAAACAATGTAAACAACGGTTCTTTTACAATGCGATCAGCAGTCTCCCAATACTATGATCATTTCCTCCAGTTATGCCAGAACTCATAGCTCATGACAGTATGATCGCAGAACATCAGAAGGAGCCTGTAATGTCGGGATGGGTGCGATCCATGCCAGGTCTCATGGGGTTGATACACATCGGAGGCGTGGGCATGGATTTCAGGAAGTGTGAGATTCGGACGACCATCGAACATGTTCCGAGCACGATTGCTAGTTTGAGATCCTTGTTCTCGTGTGGAGTCATTCTGGCCAGCAGGTGTAGACTTGGTGAAGGAAGCATCTTTGGAAGTAGTGGTGGCTGAATCGTCGCCTGACTGATCATCGTTATCAGGGTTCAGTATGCGGTAGTTGAATTCGAGCCATTCGTTAGGATCGACATCCCTAGGGATACAGGGTACATCTGGCGGGATCTCGAATCCTGGCATAGGGCTCACAGCGATGCCAAGAAGAGGAACCATAGGTCGTTCATCGGCCATTTCCTGTGTAAAGAAAGGGACAATCCAGTCGAGGCGGAAGGAAACGCCAATTTCCTCCTGCCAGGTAATGGTAATGATAGCAACACGGCCTTTTTGGGATGCAGCGACAACAATCCCAAGTTCAGGGACATACTTGACCATGTTGAAGCGATCACAGGCAGCGTTAATCTCCTCATTCATGTAGGAGCGTTGCCAAAGAGGTGCTTTGCAGAGCGTTTGAAATTCGGCGTCAAGTGGGTATGGAGCCAAACAGATATCACGCTCGGAGAAATGTAGGAGGGGGAAGAATCGAGGTTTAGATGCTAAGATCATGGTCAGCACGGTTAGAAAGTGCATGGATGCTCGTTCTTGACGTACGATGAACGGGGATGCGCTCCAGAGTCGGTAGGTCATTTTCCTCAAGAACTGGTGGCACAAGAAGTTCGAATGGGTGGACGTCAGAATTTTTGTTGTCTTCTTCAATCAAATCGGTAATAGGAGGTGTTGCACGGAGCCATACACGGGGCGTAGTGTTGTCCAGGTCAGTTTGAGAGTCTCCACAAACTTGTGGGAGATCTTGCTGTGAACTTGAATAATGGGGTCGAGAGTCAGGCCCAACAAAGCAATCGGGCGAGAATATATCCTCGGGCAGGGGTCTGTGAGTCACAGAAGACCTAGAAAGCCTGAGAGCAAGGGCCACTGACATTTCGCTGATCTGGTCCATTGCAGTCGTTACATTGAGTATCATCCGATTCCGCATCATTTTCGGTATTGGTTGACATCCACATGCATCAATTTTCAGACTGTGTCGTTGAACTCTGCGCGGGTCTATGGGCAAGACAAACCATCCCCTCTGCGGAGGGTTGTTGTGCGGATTTCCAAGATAGGACATCTGGATGGGGCTCAAGTCGTCCCAGACCCTCCATACAACGACCCGGTTGAAAATGTCAGTGCTAACCATCCACAAGCCATTCGGGTCCAAATCAAAGTTGGCAAATGATACGCAAGGAATGTTTTCGAAATGACCTTTGTAGCTCATCCGCAAGTTCCGTTTGCGGTGATTGGGCATTTGGTGTTTGATCGCATTGAGGTGATCCAATTTGTTGACTTTGACCCAGATTTGCTCTTCTCCTTCATCGTCTCCCGATTCCATATTATGAGAAGGGCTTGGGTCGCTATCTTCACGCTCTGGTGCAAGGTCCACCATGGCAAAAGCAAAAACCGTGATATTGCCGGTGTTTGAGCTCACGGCAATCAGACGGGCGAACTTATGAGTTGCCAAGCCCCAAGCACTCTTCTGGACATACTCTGCGAAGAAAGGTTTTATTCCTATCCCATCAAACGGTCTTTTTGTCCGAATTCTGCGCACTGATTAATTTCTGAAAAAATAGCCTCGACGTTGTAGCCAGTGACGTTGCCAGAGTCCGTCGCCAGTAGCAAAACTTCGTCGACTCCCAAATCATCCACAATGATATGGTTTATGATATGAGGTGCCGACGGGTCAATGTAGCCAGCCGCCTGGGGCTGCTTCATCACTGGGTGGATGATCATTTCTGGTTGGACACCGAGAAGCTGTCGGGATCCTTTCGGGATCCATACGTATATATCGCAGCCATAAGCCACAAATAACAGGTTTCGACGTTGCGAGAGTGCAGCCTGTTCGAAGTTAATGGGAAGATCAAATCAACATGCGCCTTGGTAGGTACTCACCAAGTTACATCTCCATGTAGCTATATCCGGACCGTGATTGTCTCCTCTCCTTCGTGCCAGTTAGCTAAATATCATTGGCGCAATGTATCCTAGAACACCAACCTAGGAAACTAGCGCAAGTCAGTTCATAGCTCTCACGTGAGGTCCTTCCAGACAAAGGAACGTACTCGCTGCTCCTGGGTTTCAACATTCAGGGCCTTGAGATTAGGCCTTATCTGTTCAAGGCGTTGTTGAAAGCTTGCGGGACCTGGATCCTTGATATGAGGGGAAGCCATTGCGACAGGCTAAGGGCGGTTGTCCGCAATTGCGGAGCGAAGAGAAGAGTACTTCCTCGGGTATGAGCAGTGAGAGTCGGGAAGCTTAAGCGAAAGTGGTGGTACTGTCATTTCCAAGGGTGTGAAAGAGGAAGAAGGGAAAGTGGTCAAACTGTGTAGACAGGACATCGTCAAGTTGCTGGAAACATTCGATGACAGCGGGGAGAAGTGGATCGGGCAATGATGAAATCCACTGTTCACCGCCCTTGGCACGTGCCACTCTCGAAACGGCTTCAGCTTACACCTCCGCTTTTCTTTCTCAAGTCATTCACAATGGACCTTGTTGCTGGGGTGCGCAAAGAGGGCAGCCGGTAAGTTGATACAAAACTGTGAGACTATTTGAACTTCGCTGATTTATGTCGAAGCGGCGGCCGCAATGAATTCAAATGGTCCGATGTCAAGGACTCCGCCCATCGCGAGAACTACCTGGGCCATTCAGTAATGGCCCCGGTCGGCAGATGGCAGCAAAACCGCGACCTACAATGGTACGCAAAAGGTGACGGTGAAGATGAAGAGGAACGACTGAGAAAGGAGCGAGAGGAGCTCCAGCGTGTCAAGGACGCCGAGGAGGAAGCTATGGCCGTCGCCCTAGGTCTTCCCGTACCCCCAAAAGCTTCTGAAAACGCAAATATGGTTCCTCTTGGAGGGGACGGAAGTAAAAATACGCAACTGAAGGATGAGGAAATGCCGGATGCCGGGGCGAGGGAGAAGGAGCACCGTTCGAGTCGCAGACACAGACATGATCGCAGCCGGAGCCCACGACGAGAAAGGAGACACGATCGCAGTGAAGACCACGGTCGTGAAAAGGATCGCAGACACCGACGACACCACGATGACAGAGAACGCCACCATCGCAGCCATCGACACAGATCCCGGTCACGATCTCGCGGTAGAGATCACCACAGACGCCGGTCAGCGTCCCGCTCTAGAAGTCGACCTGGTCGCAAAGATGAAGAACACCAGAGACGTCGACGTGCGGAGCGTAGCTACTCTCCAGCTGAGCGCCGGCGTCATCCCGAACGCAGAAGGGACCGTGACGATCGTGATCGCCGACATTGAGCTACGACAAGGGATACAGATTGACTACATTAGCCTGGCGTTGGAGGACTTGTTTCACATGGCGATTATGAACCGGCTCTCGCAACGATCACTATATATCTAATCTATGTGACGAGCGTACAATCTTGCACAGGAATAACCAATCCATAACATTTTACCATAATTTCCATTCCACTCCGATCTAAGTTTGCGCCGTCTCACATCTTCGATGCGCATATTCTATATCTGCAAGGACAAAGCGAGAATCTGGCTGGCAGTAAGATTTCTACTGGCTATCAAGATATCTAAGGGCACACTGTATTTCACATCAAGCTCCAAAGTAGCTCACAACTCGTCATGGACGGTCTCTCCGGTCTTGGCCAAATCCGGCATGGACATCATGTTCACCACCATACTGGTCCAGCCGGTAAAGTGCTGCGTGCGCTGGCCATTACCTGAATCAGGGTTGTACTGCTCCCAAGCGAAGCCAGTCTTCTTCCACTCACGGAAGACATTCTCGACCAAATTCTTGCGCAGCTGAGAGTACATCTCCCGCGCCTGTTCCTGGTGGTCACCAGAAGCCAATGCAATATCCTTAATAGAATGTCAGCATTAGACGGGATATAATCAAGATGGAATCACTTACATAGAGATTCTTCAACACCAAGTAGTTGATGTTAATCCAGACAGGGCTTCTCCAATAATTCTCATCGGTGTCGTAGAACTTGTCCTTCTTGCTCAAGCTACGAATACCATAGTCACTCCACAATTCTTCGGGGTCACTGACCAAGTCCAACACGGCCTTGAGGCGAGGACTGTCAGGGCCAAGCATGCCAGTCAGGAAGGGGAAGATGGAGATGTAACCCTTGTGGCAAACATGAATGCTGTCTTCGAAGGAGTCGATTGTCGCATCACAGAATGTTTGCTCCTGCTCATCCCAATGTAGGTCATCAATGTTGCGAGTGATAGCGGTCTCGTAGTAGGCGAACTCTTCGGCATCGTCTTGCTCGCCGAGGCTCTCGGCAATGCGACGAATAGTGCGGGTCATCATGCCCATCCAGCTGATCAGATCAACGTGCAGCTCGCCGGGGTGAGGTGGCTGAGGTCTGGGATAGTCATCAATTCCAGAAGTGAGGATGTGCTGCACCGAACGTCCGCGCCAGCGGTAACCCTCCTTAGTGGAGAAGGCTTCCCGGTCGTAAGACTTGATGTCGCCACGCTGAGTGTTCCTGTACCAGAAGTAGTGCTTTTTCAAGAGTGGGTAGAATGAACGAAGGTATGCCTCAGACAACTCGGGGTGGCGGACAGTAGCAGAGCGCAGGCTGGCGGTCACGTCCTGGTTATCCAGGGTTTCAGCATGGATGCTCTTGTTGCTCTTGACCTTGTCCATGAAGGCTTCGAGGGCCATGAACAGGGTGGGCGGGTTGGCGTAATGAGGGTACTGGACGGTAAACTCAGCGGGAACCTTGCTGCGTGCCTCTGCGCCGAGAATTTGCTCCCGAGCAATCCATCCATCCTCGTCCATAAGGTTGAACCAGCTCTTGATAATCTCAAGCCTGTAAAAGTAGTCAGTATGGGCCAAAATTCATGATCGAATGATGTAGACGTACGCAAGATCGGTATCATATTCAATCACGGGCATCAAGTGGAAGCCTTCATCCCAAAGGAATCCTCGGGGGAAGAACGGCCGAGAGGGTACACAAGTGAAAAGGTCCTTGGGTCCTTCAATAACAGGCTGCGCCGCAGCTCTAGCCTCGGCAGTCTCCTCCCAGAAACCTTCGTTCTCCTCCTCGTACGCAGGGTTAGCGGAACGGTCCACAACGTCGTCTCCGTGGAAGAAACCGATGCCACCGATAAGGTTCGAAAGCATGGCCTTGGAGAATTCCGAGTACTTCGGCGAGTCAAACGGCGCCTGTGGTGGGAGAACCTTGTCGAATGTTTCAGAAAACGAGGCCGAGGCATCCTTGATCTCCTTGGTCAGGGTTTCCGAGGTCAATGGTTCAGGTGCAGAGCCCGAGGAGAACAGAACGTCGAACTCGAACGCGCCTGTGAAGACCTTTTGGACAAAGTGTACATTGCCCTGGCCAGGATTGTGCTTGATGGTGAAAAGCTGGGCAGGAGGCGGCATGTTCTCCTGTCCATATTCCTCGAGAGCTTTATCGACCTCATTTTTCAATTGAGTGAAATAAATCCCTTTTGCCTGCCAAAGCTGTTCCTCGGGAAAAGACACACTGCCCACCAGGCTGTTGGTCAGTGGCCGGTTTGTGGAGCTAGGGTGGTCAAAATGAGGATATTTGTTGCTGTCCGGTCCAGTAGTGATATCAATAGAGAAGTCACCAAGCTCCGAGGAGTAGCCAGTGAGCTTCACGTTGCCCTCGATGCCAGAAGATTCCTCGTTAGTGTCGGTCTCAACACCCACATGGCCCAGTCCCTCAAGAGTGGTATAAAAGATCATCGAGACGGGTAGGTCGGGGCTAGCAGCCTCGCGAGGCACACCCTTGACGCGGAATCCCCAGCTACCTCCGTTCTGACCACCAGGGACCTTAATGAAGTCGATGGTAAGGTCCAAGTTGTTCCCGGCATCGTGAATAGTCTCCCGTCCACCCTTGCGGATATCGTACTCATCCCAGCCATACCCGGCCATGCCTTCATTTTGTTCGCAGGTGTGCCTAAAGTCTTCAAGATGTTAGCTTCCCAGTCCACGCAATACAAGCAAGCAAACAGGGATCAGGGATCAGTAACGTACTCTGTTGAGCACCCATGTACTCATCGACCTTGCCCCAGATTAATCCCGCAGACAAACTCTTTGGAATGCGAGGACGCACTCCAAAGTAGAGGTTCGATTTGTAGGGTCCCCATAGCAGGGACTGGTTGCTGGCGCGTCCAGACTCTCTAATCAAGGCGGACACATCGCTGGGATCCTCACTTGCAACGATCCCAGTCGCAGAGAGAAGCGACGATAATAGAAATGAGATCCCGAGGTGACGCATTGTGCAAAAAGCGTCACTCAATTGGTGAACATTGGATAGTTGTCAGTTTCAGGTCGCGGAGCTGTTGTCCTCTCCGCAATTACGTGGCCCGAGCTCCACCTCTGCAGGCATCTATAAATCACTAAAGTCAATTTTGACAGCCAGAGACACTTAATATACTATATTTTATGGCTATTGACACTGTACCAATGGTCTATCTCAGAAATGGTCGCGCGGATCCAACGATGCTATCTTCGCACTCTTTGCCTGTCCATCAAACACAAACTCGCTCATAAGCTTGCCAGTTCCCGGGGCATTTTGGATACCCCAGCATGTATGACCAGCAGCGAGGTAGAGACCCTTGACACCAGTCAGGCCGACTAGCGGACCACCGCCAGAATCGCAGTTGGGGAGATAGCAAGCCTGGCGCGAGCGAACCTCACCGTCGCGCAGATTGTCAGAAATACTACCCACCTGGTCGATAATTTCCTGGCAGCGTTCCTGGTCTACCTCGACTTCTGATGAAAGCTTCGGTAGAGGGACTATCCTGTCTCCCTCACCGCATGCATACACCGTCCTATCAGGGCGCGCGTAGATCTCTGGCGCGGCCACTGTTGGACGAGACTTCTTCTCTGGATTGAAGTTTGCGGGGATCTCGATATTTGTAAATAAGCAGTAGGCACTGACCGGCTTCTTGGGCTCGATCACCACACTGTGTGCCCGCATAGCTGAGATCGGGACCTCTGGGAGAATGGTATTGGTCCAGGGACCAGCAGCAACAAGCACATCGGTAGCTGCGATGGTCTGTGTTTCTCCGGACTTCTTGTCAGTATATGTCACCGATTCCACAGAGCTCTTTGAGCGATTGATATCTGTGACCTGTCCAAGAACAATATTTGCGCCCTTCTCCTCGGCCAGCTTTGCAATGGAAGTAGTAAACTGGTAAGGATGCACTTGGGCCGTTTCACCAGGCCCGCTCATGCTCTCATAAGCCCGTAGAAGTTCAGGCTCAATCCAGTCCAGATCCTGGGGGATTTTGGCAGACTTCAGCTTGGACAGAGCGGCTGTGCTGCGTTTCTGGAGGGACTCCGAGCTCCCATCCTCGGCTTTCTTCTCGGTGAGAGCGCGACCTCTCACGACCAGTTGTCCACAGTTAACTTCTCTGTATCCCCATCTGTTTATACCATCATGCTCTTTTGCGAGCTCGGCGTGAAGCCTGTAGCTGAGGGCCACGATATTGCTCGGGTAGGCCCATTGCGCGAGCATACCACCTGCTTTTCCTGATGCTCCGCCAGCAATCTCAGAGGCCTCGATGAGTGTAACTCTATGGCGGGCGGGATCGAAGGAGGGGTGTCTTGTAAGATAGTATGCAGAGCAGCATCCAATGATGCCGCCACCTATGAGTGCTCCGGTCAGCGAGTTGCAATAAGCGCGGGGTACAGTCGCAAACAGTGTACACTTACCAACAATAACAATCTCACGGCGATCTCCTGTGGGCGACATTCTCAAGTTCGGCGCTATCTTTGGAACTATAGATCGAGAGGCAGCCACTTTGTGGGTAGTTGGAAAGTGCAGGTTCGTTCGGCGCACACATACGTGGGAATAAAACGGCCTACGTCACTCAACCTGTTGCTTGTCCAGTCAAATTTCGTGTCAACTATCAGGTCCACCATGACCGGTTTGCTACATGTTAAAGTGGTCAAATTGTTGGATGAGGTTGTTATTTTACTATAATTTTGAGTATCGAAAGGGTAATTCCACCAAGGCTTGTGCAGGTAGGGTAAAATGTCAAGAAACCATGCTCCGCAAATGCAAATCGTGCCAGAGAAAAAGAAGAATGTCCGAGAGTTCTGGATACAGAGAAATGAAAGGAGTAGATCTGGGGAACAGCCAAAGACTCATCGCGAGGGACTGAGCGGCCGGTTGAAACCGCCCTGGCGGTTCATGTACTGTCTGTACTCAATCTTCTTCTCCTTCCGCACACCGTAAATGTCGTTTCCGGGAATCTTGGTGTTCTTTGTAGTGCGGAATCGAGTGAATCCCATGGCCTTGCGCATTTGCGCCTCGATCTCGTCCTCGTCCGCATCCTCGTTGATGTCCACGTCCATCTCATCTTCATGGCGAGGCGCTTCCGATGCGCCATTTGCTTTCCGAGGATCCTCTCGCGATCGAGGGTCTCTGCGATCGCTCTTGGGGCCCCGAGGAGGTGAACGGACCCGTGTGCCATACCGAGCGGGGGATCGAGAACGCGAGCGGTCGCGGAACTTGACGCTTTTTGGTACAGTTCCTGAGAGTTCAAAGTCAGCAAAAAGCTAGTAGACCACGTAATCAAAGAGTTCGCCTACCTCGTCTGTCATAATCGCGCTCCCGGCTGATGCTCCTCTTCCGATCCTGGGCCCCGCGCCCATCTCTGTCTCCGTCCCTCCGGTCTCTATCGCGACGATCCCGAGACCAGCTCCGTTCTCGCCTTCTGTCCTTACGTTCTCGTGAGCGTGATCGATATCGGCTGTCGCGTCGATCGTCTCGCGGTGGTGAAGTTCTGCGGTCGCGAGCTGACTCCGGGTCTGATCCGCGGGGCTGGTTATCATTTGAATCCCACATGGCCGCGCTGTCGACTCGACGAGCGCGCTTTGCAGGTGGCTCCGCCATCGTGGAAAGGGCCCGGTCAGGTCTGGGCGGTGCCCCGTACTGTGAGTGTGGTAGACTGGAACGGGTAGGGATTGGCCCTGCTTCGTGGTCGAGGAGAGCTTGTTATCAGATCCAAGCTCAAGTGCAAGAAAGCCAATGGGCGTATGGGTATTCGTGTAGAGGGTATCAAGTTGTCGCAATGGTGAGTCTGCCCAAGTCTCGGGTCCAAAGAGAAGTTTATTCCGGTGGCGGGTAAAGACCACTCGCGCAGTTTGTGACATGGCAGAATTGACAGATGTATATCTGCAGGATTTCTATTTTTAACCACTCAAAAGCTCGGTTTCCGTGGGTTAGGATGATCTGTTTTCAAGAGTTCTTGTCGTTAAGTCTGAAAGCTTGAACCATGATGTCAAACTATCCGATGTTATGAAAAAATCCCAAGGCCCTCCGATATATATTTTGGGCCGATGGACGAATTCCTTCCTAGACTGATATGATCGATGGAGATAGCTCTTTTATGCGCTGTTCATCGATCAAAGAATGTTAAATATGATAAGACGTCAAATTAATAACAAAACCCAAAGCCACTTGACTATACTTTCACTCATATGAAAATTTTACCTGTGAGACGCCTGAGCATATACCAGTGTTGCTGACTGATTTCCCACAGAATATGATGTTTTTTCAGCTCCCACGTAAAGAGGCTTCTATTAAAACAAATATACCCACTAAATTTATGTTGACTGGGCCCCGAATGAGAATTCAGATATATAGACCAGTGCGATCTTCTTGAATACCCAGATAGCTAGTGATAGTAGCCCTACTTGTTTTCGAAACTGAAAGATACTTCAAATGGAAGCAAAGAGACAGGCCACTAGAGCACAAACCATTTGAACAAGATGTAATCGCATCTAAGGAAACTGGATTTGGTGAAACAGTCCATGCATGTACTAAGTAGGCCGATACCCGATACCCGGTACTCCAGCCCACTAAGTACATGTAGCTTGAGCTCCTCCCCTTGCATACAGAAACATTCCCTCTATATTCATAAGCCACATGAAAAAGTAACTGAGACATACTAACTCGAAACAATTCTAAGTCGGTATCTATGAGTCGTTACAAGAAACAAGCTGTAATTGAATGATCATACTTAAGCAAGCCACAGCCCAGTATCTACTTTGTTTCTAAGCTTCAAACAAACAAGGTCTTTCCGTTTCCAAGACCATGCTGAATGAGCCCAAAAGACAGGGAGCGATGCAGTCCGCGGGCCGGCCCGTTGAGCCTCAACTTTAAATTCCACCGCGAAATTTTTGCAGCGCAACCCCACTTCCTGTGCGTTTATCATCCTGCGCCTCCTGAAACCTATCGGCGCATCACCATATTGAATCTTGGTTAAATATGGCACCTGTCAACCTTTCCCACAGACGGACGCATAATTTGCTCTTGATCTCGAAACTCTTGAGCTCGCGGGACACGGCGTCGCCCCTTACCCTTGTCCAGGACTCGCTGGAGCAACCGGCCACGCCCCTCTATAAAGAATACATAAGACGTGCCAAGGTAAGTTGAAAGAAAAATATTGGAAATCTGAAGCATAGATCAGCCAAGTACGAGGAGACAGCCAGGCTGACCAGTTCAATAGCTGTCCAAAGTCCACGTCACACTTATTGCCTTTGAAACCCTAAAACAACCAGACGGGGTCGATGCCTTTGTGTCAACTCGTCGCAAGGGCCCCCGTCGATATTATTAAGGAAGTCAGTGCAATTGCATCTGCCAACCCATCGCGCAGTAAGTCTCATTCATTCAAGCTGCCCATGCGCTTTTACTGATTGGCTCCATAGGACGCCTTATTCTGATTGATTCAATCAACCCACTATTGAGCTCAAGAAGAGCTGACCCTAGCTTTCATCTACCCTCTTTTCTTGGGTCATTTATTGCACCCACTTCTCCAACAGCGAAGGTTGACGCATCACTCGTTGTGACATATCATCAAGATGTCCCCGAACCTCTACAGCAAAGTCCTTATTCGCCGTCGCCGATATCTGTGTTGACGTATCTTGCTACGAGCATTATCACTCTGCATTCTTTCTCGCACATCCTAGCACAGAAAGCTGCTCGAGACCGCAGCCTAGCGCCACCAGTCTTCGGCCTGGAGGAAGAACAGGAAGGCGTTCTACTGGGCCGATTGGACAAATTGGCTGGGACTGGTGCAGCAGAGGGAATCGTGATTGAGCTGGAGCACAGGCGGAAGAGTGGTCGGGGTGTTTTGGAATGGTATCTTCTCCCGCCCGCCTCGCGCTATTCGCCACAGCACCTGAAAGAAGTGGTGACCCTGCTCGATGACAATGTTTTGTACAATCCTCCTATGGAGCGACACATTGGCCCCGAAGATGAGGAACCCACGTCGACCTTTGAGCTGGGTCTTACTGACAGGCAAAGGCGGGATAGAGAGGGTGTGGTGCTGCCATACTTCGATGCACAGCAAGGGAATGGGCCTGGTGAAGGTGGTCGGATTCTTTACGACATGGGAGAAGAAGATGACTTTGACGAAGAAGAGGATGAGATCTAGACATCGAATCCAATACATGCTTTGACAAATCTTTGCATTCTAGAATTGGTGGATTGTATCCCGCAACCACCGAGTTATTAACTATGCATACATTCATACAAGGAGGGCCCAAAAGCAAGGCCCTTGATAAGGAACGAAATCAGAAGAATCGCCAGAAGAGAAGAATGAAAATGACAAGCCCGACACCAGCAAAAGGCCCGTACTGCAAGATGGTCAGCTAATCAGTTGCGATAACACAGTTGCCAAGTATAGACTCACCTGCTTCAGCAACAATTCCCAGTTGATGCGCACAGCCGCCTTTCGATACTTCTTACTGTCCTCACGTAGTCTCCCCCGATAACTCCCCCATACGCTCCAAGCTATCACCACGGTACAAGAGGTCCTCAATGTTCTTTGTCATGACTTTGGTGACATCACGGAGCTCATCATTCAACTTGTCCAGGTTCTGAGATGCGCGACCGTCTTGGTAGAGCTTCTTTGTGCGCTGGATGAAGGTGTCAAATTCGACAAAGGCGTATGGGCGGAGGGTAGGGGAGAGGTATTGTGACGAGCTGTAAGTAGTTGTGAATTCAGTGGCCAGATCAGCAAGATAGGTGAAGGCGAGTTTGCGGGGGTATGATTTGTCGCAAATGCAGAGGAAGCAAAGATCGTCTTGAATAGTGTAGCTGTGAGACAATCAGAATTGTTCCTATCATGGTTCCATGGACGTCCCGTCTATGACGGTGAATGCAGCATACTGGAGATTGTATTGGCCGGATTCAATGCTGGCTTGTGGCGCTGAATTGCGATTCAAGCGGCGGAAGATCATTTTAGCCTGGCCCTTAATCTCAGAGAGCTCCGACTCGGCCTGCGAACAATATAAGCTGGTGATTATATCGATCACCTGTTATCGTGCTTACCTGCTCATCGTCGACCGAGGCAGCCAACATAAGGCCTGTTTTCCCTCACCATCAGCACACAACCTCCTTCAACCTCTTAGAAGACATACTCACCATCCAACCTTGCAATCTGCGTTGATCTGACCATCTTTGCGACTTTGCTCTTTCGTTGCGAAGCAAAGCACACTGTTGTTTTGCCCCCGTGGAAGTGAAGCCAGCATGGCGCCGAGAAAGGCGGTCGCGAGGGGCAGTACCGAACGGTCCAGGTGAGCTGCAACTCCGCGTTTCTTCCGACTTCAGCCTACTGATCTTGTATAATAATGTCCTAGTGGTGCTGCTGCCAGTTCTGCTAATGTAGCAGAACAACTGGGTTCTGCTATGTCAACTCCCACTGAAGGCTCACGAGCCAAGACTCCCCGGAGAGTTGCCGCGAGAGGTAAATGGAGTGAGGAGCAGCTCTTTACTAGCGACAAGTCTCTCCTCATTGATTTTGACCTTGTGGTATGAGTAGTACTTTTCTTACTTGTGGAGATCCAAGCTAATGCCGATCTTCTTAGAAACTGCTTGCGCAACCCGAAGCATGGAACTCCCTTCAAGAAAGCGAGAAGCGGGAGATCCTTGCTTTACTCCCCGCAAGTGTTCACCCCGATGCGGAGACCACCTCGGATGATCCGAACGCCAAGCTACCTCCCATCCCCGACAACTTCATTCGCTACTCGAATAACTGGCGTGATGGTGTTCGTCAATTTCAACTTGATCTACAAAACGGCCGCTACGACCCTGAATGGCTGCGCCAGGCTGAGGATGCCCGACGGAAGCGTCAGTCTGGTGACTTCGACAACTTCAAAGAGCGTGAATTCGAGCAGTTTTGGGGCCAAAAGCAAAAGGCAGCTATGCGTGCATTTGCTGGAGAGACGGCACAGGTGAAAATGAAGACTCTTATTGACGAGGGTGCTTTCCAGCTGGGTGATATCTGGAGGTTCGAATATGTCTACGGCAAGGGCGCGGACAGAATATTTATTCAAAAAGAGACCCGGGTATGTGTCAATTATTTACTCCGAACCTGACCACTTGGTGACTAGGACAGATTCATAAATTTGATGGAGCAAAGATGACCTTTGCGATTCCACCTGGTGAACGGGTATTTCTCCGCAGCGCTTCTGACAAAGCCCGGAAATGCGCCACTCCTGGAAAGGAAGAGAAAACTACAAAACCCGACACCGAAACACAGCTACAGACAGCTACAACAGCCTCCAACGAAGAGACCAAAGACGTCCAGGCACCACAGGAGGCCAATGTCGATTCCAACAACGATGATGCGAAGGTCAATACCGAGACACCCACAGTTCCTGCCGCTTTCAACGGTACAGCCATGGAAGTTGACACAGAAGCTCCCTTGAACGCAGCCCCACCAAACTTGAAAAACGAAGAGACGCAAGTCAATACCGAGACAGAGTCGCAGACTGTCGCAGCAGCTTTCAATGAGGAGGGTTCTGAAATGGCTCCAGACTTCAGCGTTATTATTGTCACCCCCGATGGCAAGAAGAATTCGAATAGAATCAAGCGCCCAACCCCAACTCCTCAGCCCGAATCTCAACCCCCAGCGAAACGCAAGCGAGGAAGACCTCGCAAGAGCCCCACTAAAGTACCTGAGCCTGAGCCTGAGCCTGAGCCTGAGCCCGCGCCGGAGGTGCCGAACGCGAAGAAGGCGAGTCGGCACCCGCTCTTCTTTCCGATTCAAACACCATGGCAGTCGACCCTATCACATCTGTCCCTGACCTTTCTGCATCTGCAGAAGAAACCATCAATGTCGAGATCAAAGATGAGGTAGCCGGACAGCCTATGGAAAAGGCCGATACTACCACAGCAAAGGCTGAGATATCCCCGGAGACTGAGCAGCACGACACCGATACTCCTGCAAGCTCTCAGCAGCAAGACTCAAATCCTACTTCGTCTCAAATCACGGACAATGAATTAGATGACATCCTCGTCCCGAACATCACGTCGCCTAACGGCCTCGCCGTGAAGATCCTGCAGATCGATGGCCGCATGCCCAATGGCCGTGTTGCGAATGGCTGGAAGGACATCCGGTGCATCCGAAATAACCAGGATATAGGAAGTCTCTTCGACGTGCGAGAGGCTTGGTTCGTTCGGAACGAACAGAAATAGGCGTCATTTTTTCAGAATTGATTCCCCCGTGCTCAGCCGCTAAGAATTTACACCATTGGCATTGGACCCAATGCTATTCCCAGTTTCTGTGATTTCGGATAACAATACCCTTTTTTTCTGCTCTTTAATTAATTTTCAGAAACAACCTCCATAGGTTCCAATTTTGCTTTTGCAGCTTGCCAACAATGGAATATTTCCATTTCAACCTCCGATAAACCTATCAAGTCATGACCGTAGAAGTAAAATTTAACATAATAACCGACAACACAATGGGTTGAGAATACTGTATTAGATTATATAGCGATATGTGAGTTTGACATGCTCTATACTAAGACCCTTCATTCATCCCAGGCATAATATCCGAGTCCGCAGCAACATCAACAGCAAAGCTAGCCTGTATAAAATCTTCTAACTCCTCACTAACAGTTTTGAGTTTCTCTTTGACACTCGCAACCCCTTCCTGTCCAACAATATGCCGCGAAGGCGGGTTTTCATGACCACCAATCGACGTGATAGCATATACAGTCTCTGATACAAGTACTTCAAGGTGGGCAGAGCTTAATGGCGGGTGCATAGAGACAACCTCTGGAGCGGAGAATGGCCCATTCTCAATGGAGCTGACTCGGGCACTTTCATCCCGTGTTACACTGGGCGAGGCTGGACTTCCATAGGACCCGGCAGCGTCGGGGAGCTGGGGAACGAGATGATTTAGAATCCCGCGGAAGAGAGGGGCTTGGTTGTTGGCGGGAGAATAGGCGGGGAAGATTGGAGGAACGCTCGTGACTAGGTTCGTGAGGATGCCGATTTCAATGCTGCATTGGAAGATGGTGAGTTTGATGTTGAATGGGGCGATTTCGTACGCCAGACTCTGTGGGTTGATTAGTATAGTTCTGACTTTGGGCAAAAAAGCATGGATAGAGAAACTGACATCGCAGAATCCTTCGAGGGCCCAGCCTGCTGCGCAATACATTCCTAACCCGGGTGTGCCGATATGCGCCGCTGTATATTGTCAGAACTAATCCTTCATTGTCTGGAAAGACGCAAATCTTACTGATTCCTGATAAGATCATAACATGCCCCGAACGCTCTCTTCGCATATAAGGAAGTACTGCCTTAATGATATTGAGGGGACCGAAATAGTTGATTTCGAATTGGTCTCGCACGAGGTTCATGGTCTGGGTTGAAGCCGAAAGCTCCTCAACTGTTCCAATGAGGGCTTTGAAGAAGTTAGCGGCCTGATGGACTATACCGGGAAGACTGGCGTGTCGCACCTTGGCTTGTACAGCACAGAAGTATATCAACCCGTCCGAAAGTTGCGACTGCATCTGCGATAACCGCCTGGCATTCACCCATCATTCTGAGTCATAAGAACCGTCAGCTACTGCGCACAATTGGAAATCATTCTCTGTAGTAGGATGTAGAGGCGCACCGGATATCCAACGGAACAGTCTTCATGCGCCTTCCCCATCCTTCGGCGCGATGCCCCTCCACCTCAGCGAGGAAAGCGTCAAATTCCCCGCGACGACGTTCATCGCGCTCCAAAGCCGTGTGCGCCAGTCCGAGGAACGCATAATCGCCGTGCGCAAGGACGTGCCGCGCGACGGAGATTCCGATGGGTGAATCCCCCGCAGTAATCACCCATACTCGAGGCTCATTATGCGACGGAAATTGCGCACGGGAATCGAAAGAGGGATCCATAGAGTCAATCAACGCCAGTCAAATGCGCTACCCATTGCGCGATCATAAAGAAGAAAGACGTTCACTGCAACATGCGGAGTTGCAGTTGGAGAATGCCAAGGCCCTTCCCGTAGCTACTTGGGGGCTCGGGCCTGGAACTAATGGTTTGGTCTTCTGGCCTCTTCTCTTTTTCCTCCTCTCTTCATCTCAGCTTTTCAGGTATTTTGCCACAATATGCCTGAACAGAGGCCTCGCAGACAGGAGGAGTCCCACGTATGTGTTCCAAGGTTTCGATCTTATCTTTGTACTGACCCCTCTCTAGTCGGGCTTCAAGGGTGCCCTCCAGGGCCTCGGAATCTTCCTGCTGGCACAGTTTGCTATTAGCCAATTCTTTAGCAACAAGCAGAGTGCTTCCCCCAGTGCCAATTCCGGTGGTATTCCTGCTTTCGCAGATCGCCCGCATCCGAGCGAAATCGCCGAGTCTAGTGCCATCCCCGATCTCATCGCTCCTATCTGGCCGTCCGACAGCGCCGTCGATCTCAGCATCTATGTGACACCCTCTATAATCGTGCCCAACTTCAAGTCCTCGGATAGCGTGCTTGTGCTGCAGGAGAAGAACTTCACCATTGGAAACTACAGTGACACCCGCGAGATCGCCACCACCATCAAGGTCCCGAAGCAGGTTCAGCAGAATGGAACTCTTTGGGCTCACTTCTTCCTGGCCCGCACTGGCTACCAATTGGACCCAGCTGCCAAGGACTACAACACCGCCGATGCCGTCCACTTCCTGCGCCCTCTGAACCAATTCCACCCCAAAAGAAGGTCAAGAAGCTGAAGAACCTCTTGGCTACTGCCGAAGAGGCCGAACAGCAGCAGGATGATGACAATGTTCCAGATGTGCAGACAATGTCGTACTACCACCCCAACTTCACCTTGTCTCTGATCCCAGACTCTGGAACTCTGAAGTTGGGCCAGATGCACCCCGCGGCTCGCCAGTACTTGCAGCTGGAGCGCACTGGTGCTCGCGATGCCACTGGAAAGAACGGATGGTATTACCCTATCGCCTTCTTCAACACGTTCTGGCAATTGAAGAGCCACATGACCGAGTTGAACTCCACCGTTGAAACCCTCCCGTTGCGCATCACTGTGAACAACATGGCCAACTGGAAGTTCGGCATCCTCGCCAGTGTTGACGAGGGCTCGAAGCAAAGTTCTCGCCAGGCTGCATACGGTGGCTCTGCCCCCGGCGGTGGCGATGGAACTGAGTGGGAGATGGTCAAGGAGATCTTGTTGGACACCAACATCTGGCTCCTCGGTACCACCGGTGTAGTCACCATCCTGCACATGCTGTTTGAGACCCTGGCCTTCAAGAACGACATTGTAAGTGATTTTCTTCAATGTGTGGCCTCTGATTGCTAACACTGACGTCCTTTTAGTCCCACTGGCGTAAGAAGAAGGACATCGTCGGTACCTCTGTTCGAACTATTTTGGCAAATGTCTTCATGCAGGCTGTTATTTTCCTGTACCTCATGGACAACAGCGAGAACACATCTTGGATGATTCTGGCCAGTCAAGGATTCGGTATCCTGCTGGAGTTCTGGAAGATTACCAAGACCGTCGACGTTCGCATGCGCCCTCCCCCGGCCAACTCTTGGTTCTCCTTCTTGCCCTATGTGATCGTCTTCGAGGACAAGCATAAGCTCTCTGAGACTGAGCAAAAGACCAAGGAGTACGATGAGATTGCCTTCCGCTACCTTTACATCATAGCCGTGCCCCTTCTGCTGGCCTACGCCGGATACAGCTTGGTCTACAACACCCACAAGTCTTGGTACTCTTACATCATCCAGACTCTCGTGGGTAGCGTCTACGCCTATGGCTTCCTCATGATGGTCCCCAGTCTGTACATCAACTACCGACTGAAGTCTGTTGCCCACATGCCCGGCAAGGCCCTGACCTACAAGTTCCTCAATACCTTCATCGATGACCTGTTCGCCTTCACTGTCAAGATGCCCTGGCTCCACCGCCTGGCTACTCTCCGTGACGACGTCATTTTCTTCATCTGGCTCTACCAGGGCTGGAAGTATAAGGTTGACTACAAGCGTGTCAACGAGTTTGGCCAGGGAGGTGACAGCGACGAGGAGGAGGAGCCCACCCCTGCCGTCGAGGACAAGAAGGAGCAGGAGGTCGCTAAGTCTTCTTCCAAGGCTACTCCCAAGTCGGACACCCGCAAGAGAAAGTGAACGGTTTTTTAGATGCACATTTTTTCGGTGTCTGAGCCGATGAACTTATAATTTGCTTGCATAGATGTTGGTTCACCTTGAACTCCTTATGTATTGCTGGCTTGATGTTGGTAACCATCGAATCCTAGTCTCACTCATTATCTCGATGCTTTATAGTTAAATCCCGATTTGGGGTTCTCCAATAAGAAGTGTAGATTATGAATTTCAATATTGATCGTAGCTTAAGGAAATATAGCATTAGGACAGTAGAAGAATAGATATCTACAGAGTTGTTGATGGTTACCCGATTAGGTTTAGGGCGTTTCCCCGTCGCGCCCACGTTCACTTCCCTATGCAACTGCCATGGAGATCTGCGCCAAAGCATCAATTCCTGTTTCGCTGTTTGATTAATTACAAATAATTTCGCACATTGTCTCGTGCTTTTAGCGGCCTCCAACGCGTGTAATTGAAGGCAAGGCGCGCCATCTTGCTGCTACGCGCCAACACCAGACCTCAAAGCAACTGCATGCCAGGACTGTAAGACAACTCAATAATTGGAAATCATCGCGACGAAGCTGGTACAAATGGATACTGGTGCAGGTAAGTTGTGGCCATGTTGCGTTTTCCCAATCAAAACGATGACTGACAATTTTCCAGACAGCCAGTCTAGCAGTCTGCTTGATGCAGTCGAGCACTTGGAAGCCGGTATGGCCAACACACATCCCTGAGATGACAGGACACGCTACTAACAGCTTATGGCAGTTGCATTTATCCCGCCAAAGCAGAGATTCACAGATGCTAGCCAACTAGCCAAAACAATTGCTTCAGACGCGTACGAGAACGGCATTCCTCAGTCAGCGCTTGCCCGCCTCCTGAAGATTCTGACCACAAAAAACAGCCTGGACCAAGGCACAGTGACATCCCTGGTCAAAAACCTGTACCCGCAAGAGAGAATTGCGTCCAGAAATGTCACGCAAATCATTTGCTGTCTTGGGCCCAGCAAGAGCAAACCCAGTCATGCGACACAGGCTTTACTGTTGCGTTGGTTGATTCTTTCATATGATCTTTTCGAGGACAGGTCGCATCTGGCAAAACTCTATGCGGTTCTTTTTAATCATTTAGATATGCTTAGTTTACGAAAGCCATTGTGTCATCTTCTTTCGATTATCACGAGACGAAAACATGTCAAGCCTTTCCGAATTCAAGCTCTGATGGAGCTGATCCAGGTTTCGGGTGGGGATGACAGAGAGTTGATCAGCCTCCTTCGGATCTTCAAGAACTACTACCCCGAAATTATCTTGGGTGATTTCGGCGGATCGAGGAGAAATGCCCTTTTCTTCAAACATCCCGACCCTGAATGGTCAAGCCATGCGAAGGTACTCCAAGACCAGAATGCAGAAAGAGTGCAGGCAGGTCAGCAGTCGGATTTCCAAGTTGTTCATCGGGGGACCGTGAAACGAAGCAGAATCGAGGTGGTTGTTCCGACTTTACAAACTTCACGGGTATCGTACAAGCAGACATCACTTGAGGAGCTTCGTGATGTCGGCCATTTTGTGGAAAAGATTGAAAAGATTGAACTACCAGATCAGGTTATTTCAACCCTAGGTGATGCAATGGCTCAGAAGTATCTCCATCTGGTCCAATCTGAAGCTGCATATCATCGTCTCGATGAATGGCTGAGAAGTTTCTTGGAGGATAAGCTTGAGATGATCCGTGAAGATGAGGATGATGACCCGGAAACATTATCATATGTGTTGGAATTTGTTGTAGGATATGCCACTTACACCAAGGTATGTTCTTCAGATAGGTCAGGTCATTATCATGCCAGGCACTCACTGAATCATAGGATCTCCCATCGTCAATCCGTGCATTTTTGAAGTCCTATCTACAAATATGGAATGGCAAAGATAATCGTGAACACGTCTTTCGGCTTCTTCGATACACCCCAATTACACCCTTCCACTCTCTACGCAGTGAATTGCTGTCACCCCTGGAATCTACTATACTGGATGAAAACCTTGGTTCCAGAACAGCATTACTAGGCTTTTACTCAGCACTGATCAGCCAATGGGGCGTGAGACTACGATCAGAACCTGCAACACCAGAACAATCACATCCTCTGAGCCAGATGATTGTACACGTCGAACTTCTAGCGTCCTCCATCCTAGAGTTTCCCGCGGACGAAGACCAAAAACCCTCCAAGCCAGCAGCAGATTCCGTGCTCGAGTTCTACAAGGCTCTAGCAGACCTCTTCTCCCACGCACCCGAGGACGCTCGATTCCGACTCACTCTCCCCTACGCCCAGACCGTATACACTCTCGCTTTCATACCAAATATCTCCGTGATATCAAGCCTTGAGTCTGTCCTAGCCGTCTACAAAGCCGCATTCGAAGCCTCCCTCAGCTCACAAGTCCTCCAATCACAAGGCACCCCAGCCTACGGAACAGACCTCGTAGGCCGTTTCAACGGGTATGTCATGGACATGTGCAACGTACTATGGCGTAATCGTGCCCTCAATACAGAAGACCCGAACGCACTAGGCTGCCTCATCCCAGCAAAGACTGTCACTGCCCTGACAACCTACGTGCGCGACGTGAACGAGGCTGCCAAGCACTATGACCGTGAGAATGCATTCCATATTGCTCTTACTTCGATATTCTCTCTCAGTCACCACGCCGCATTCTGCAATTTGTCTGCTGCTTGTTTTGCGGATGTTGAAGAAGATCAGGATGTCACGGGTGATCGTCCGAAATTAGGGAAGCCGGCTACTCATAAAGCACTTGTTGCACTTGAGAAGGATGGTGGCGCTAAAATGACTTGGCAGGAGTATCGCGTACATATGTTGGATTGGTTAGATGCCCTTGGGTGTCGGGGTACCGGTATTTTGATGAGGAGTACGATGAAAGCTTTGCGAAAGGAGTAGTGATATCTATTTAATTGCAAGCATTAGCCCCACAAGGAGCATTGTCTATAGAGCCATATTTTCTGCTCTTTAGCGGGCTGAGTATCAATAAACCAATGAATGAAGATGCACAACGCCATTTAAATGCTTGGTATCTATCGCTATATACATTTTGTACATTGCTCGTCCTCGATGTGAGACAGTCTCAGGCTATGCTAAAACTTCTCCGTAGAGTTCAAGTATATATCTTGAACACTGGGCTCTTCCCGCAGACTGCTCAAGAGATCTTCAAGAGCCTTCAGTTGCTCTTCATCCTGGACCTCGACCATGGTATCCCTGTTAGGGTCCCAGAAGATTTCCAACTCCTCAATGCTGAGACAAGATAGCTTGGCAAAGGTCTCACCAACACTCTTCGTCTCCGAGGGATCAGTGAACACCACTAGGCGGCCCTTGTCGTCTGTGGTAATGTCCACTGCGCCAGCCTCAATCGCCTGATCAAGATAGTCGTCTGGATTTGTACCGTCCTTCTTCTCCATAGTGACCCTTCCCTTCTTCTCAAAGAGATATGTAGTCGGTGTCACAATTCCTCCATTGTCTTTGATCATATAGCGGACATCTTGGAGTACGCGCGCCTTCTGGTCAGTTTGGCACTCCACGACCGCGGCCACAGAGCCCGGTAGCATAGCCTCAATTGTGACGTTCTCTAATGCTTGTCCCGACACACTCAATCCCTGTCCCCGTAGGATTGCGGCTTCGATGATAATCTTGGGTATGGAGGCTCGTTTCGCATTTGATAGCGCAAGTGTCAGTCGAGGATTGTACTTCGGATCAGGGCCCCACACTAGTACAGAGAGTTAGATATGTGCATATTGTATAGGTGGATGATGTACGCACTCTGCGTAGCGCTGGCAATTTCCTTGCCAACCATTGCACGTTCCTTGCTTTTCGCCTTGTCATTCCGTGCTTTGTCGTGCTTGATCGTCGACCATTTGTTATGACCGGAGAACGCAATGCTGGATGTACTGAAAAAATGACATGGTTCACAGATATACTCTGGCCGCCGGAGCGGTCGCAGTAACCTGCTGAATCTGAAAGCCATCGTGCTTTGGAGGAAATTCGAACTCCGATACGGAGCGTATACATTCCCAACGGGCCGACTGTTTGTCCGACCTCCGCGGACGGTGAGGCCACACGATAAGGAGATGTTGACGCAACTGAACTTCACTCTCCTCTCTTCTCCCTGTTCTATTTCTCACATGGGGCTACACTTGCCCTAATTTTATCCAATGTCTGCCTCCGAAAATACCCCCGCGCCACCTCCGAAAAGCGCTGTTCCGGAGCTCGACATCCCCAAGCTCCATGCGCTCCCCTCCGAACAACAGGACCTCTACATGCTCACGTTCACCTCCGACCTCGTACAGTATATTTCCGGATTGGAATCAGCTGAGGTCTCATCCCAACAGAAAGATCTCAAGAAGGAATTGTTCAAGATATTAGCCCTTCCCTCTCCGACTATCACTCGAGTCCTCCGCAACAACCTAGGAAGATGTTTCGGCGCAATACTCGACAAAGGGGATCGCGGGATCCTCTTCGAAACAATCACAGACCTGCTGGGAATTTTAAATGCCAGCAAGAGTGAAGCGGAATTGAAGACCAAGTTCGCAGCGGCGCATTGTCTAGGGGAGGTCTTTGCGACGGTTGGCGAAAGTGCATTCATGCAGTCGAATGTTGCGACCTCGGGCATGATAAAGCTCCTCAAGTCTGCTAGCAATCATACTGGTCTTCGTGGTGTTATCTTTGCCGTGCTGCGCAAGATTATTGTTGGAATCGGTGTCCCGCTTGATGAAGCCACTGCGCGCGACATTTGGAAACAGGCCCGAAATGCTGCTATCAGTGATAAATCTACCTTTGTTCAAGTACACGCCTGCCGATGCTTGGAGCAATTGATTGCCATGGAACCCTTCTTCGATAATGCAACCGACCTTGAGAACCTCAAAACACTTGTATGGAAGGTCATTGACAGTCCCGCAGCACCGGTCCGACATGCCGTGGCTGCGGTTCTTGGTCGGGCACTTGTCAAACTGCATGCGACAGATGCGCACATCACGACTGCCCCAAAGCCAAAGCCGAAGAAGACGAAGCGGATGTCCAAGAAGCCTACTTCGGGGCTGGATGACGAGGAAGAGGCAGAGATGTCAGAGTCGGCAGCCCCCAAAAAGGCCGATTCGCGTCTCTATTTCCTTCTCCCAGATCTACTGAGACAACTCTCAACCCAATACTTGAAGAGCACTACTTCGAATCGCACGCGTGCTGGGATATGTATGTGCTACAAGTACATTGTGCGCAATTTGGGGGATAAGATCATCGAAGAACGCTATGGACAAATTGCAACTAACTTGTTGGTCGAGTTGTTGAACCATCCGACGGTCACATACAACCGATACCGTCTACTCATGACCAGAAAGTTTATCAAGAGCATCTTGGAAGATACTATCGGACGTGAATTGCTGCGCGAAAACAGTCAGCTGAGTGCGGCGAAATGGTTGATCAATGACATTTTGAAAGACTACCCCCAGGTTATCCAGGAACGCCGCGAGCCAAGCAAGTACACATTGACCAGTTCAGTCAGCGCCTTGTCCTCATTGATCCAATCGCTTGGTTCCGCCTTCAGTGGTCATGCAGACGGCTGCCGCGATGCTCTTCTCCAAGTCCTTCCCCATCCTAGCTATACCGTGCAAGTCCATACTGCGCACTGTTTGCGCAACTTTGTTCTTGCATCTCCCCATCAGCTGCTATCATGTGTTACGATCTGCATGAACAGTCTCAACAGAGAAATTGGGCAGCTCGGTACACCGCGCCAATCACCTCGACGGTGTGTTGGCTATGCAAATGGGTTGTCCGCAATGCTCAGCACTTCCCGTCTGCAGCCGCTCTACGGTGCAGTAGATGTATTCGCGCGCGTTTTTACGCAGGCAACCGATCTCCTCAAGACCAGCAGCACTTCCGAGCTTCGTGTAGCCAGCATCCAAATCCAGGTGGCATGGATTTTGATTGGAGGTTTGATGCCTCTTGGCCCCAGCTTTGTCAAGATTCATCTTTCTCAATTGATGCTTCTCTGGAAAAATGCACTGCCAAAACATCTTGGCAAGGAGAATGCTGCCCAACCGGGTAACCTCGAGATTAGCTTCTTGGCCCATGTGCGAGAGTGTGCTTTGAGCTCCTTGCTGGTTTTCATGGAGTTCAACAGCAAATTGATCACGGCAGACGGCGCCAAAAGAATTGCTGCCATGTTGCAGAATACCGTTGAATTCTTGGATGATCTGCCGAAGCCAAAATCTATGGAAGATATCTCACAGCGACTTTATCCTTCCCTGCAATTGCAGGATTATACCACTATGGTGCGCCGACGTGTCTTGCAGTGCTTCTCGAAACTTGTGCATGTCCACCCACCCAGTCATGGAGACATTATCTCGCAGTCCAGTCTTCTCAGTCTCGCTATTTCCTCTTTTGCAGACCCAGACGCTCAATACAAGCAAATTGAAAGTTCAATTTCCGGCTCCGCTGGACAATTTGACGGTCTATGGGATCTATGCGATAACTACGGCTTTGGTGTGACGGGCCTGTCCCGAGAATATATTCGTCTCACATTGTCTGGGACGCAGAAAGACGAGAAGGGCCCCGCGTGGTCTGCGCTTGACTCTGTGGACCAAGCTGTTGATGATGCTTTGACCTTCCCTGTCTGCCAGGCTAGCGAACACGACGCAGTCCTCCTATATAGCTTGCGCGATGGAGACAACCTCGCTGTTGATCCGCCAACAACTGGCGTTGTGAACTCAGCGATCGAGTTGTTCTCCGTGGCTCTCGCTCTTCATTCGCCTAAGATCCAAGAGAGCAGTGTGGAGCAGATCGCCACATTCCTCACTTCTCCAGGATTGCAGAGGAACCCTGGAAGGAAAGCAGCATTGGTTGTCAATATCTCCGTTGCCCTTCTCCATGCTTTGAAGGTTGCTGTTAAAGAGACAGACTTTGTGGCTGGCAAGCTGAACCCATCCACCGATAAGATCTTGCAAGAGCTTCTCCAGAAATTTGTCACGGACGCCGATCCGATCGTTCGCACTATTGGTGTCGAAGCATTGGGACGTCTTTGTGACAGCGCTGGAAACACCTGCACCAATACACTGGTCAACTGGCTGGTTGATACTATTGTCGAGAACAGAGAGCCCAATGCTAGAGCTGGATGTGCCGCTGCTTTGGGATGTATTCATGCGCAGATCGGTGGAATGGCAGCTGGTCTGCATCTGAAAACCATCGTAGGCGTCTTAATGTCTTTGTGCAATGATCCTCACCCCGTTGTCCATTTCTGGGCTCTTGGTGGGTTGGAGAGAGTTGCCAACTCGGCTGGACTGACATTCTCGCCTTTCGTTTCTGGCTCATTGGGAATGCTAGCCCAGCTGTACAATGCCGATACACATAACGAGGAGGCAGCAGCATTGGCCACCTCTAATATCGAGATGTCATTCTTGACGCCTGTCGTTATCAGTCGATGTGTGGACTCTCTCATCAACATCCTTGGTCCCGATCTGCAGGACATTGCCAAGACTCGCAATCTCATTCTGACCCTGCTCCGTCAGTTCCAACTCGAGGAAAACCCTGCCCTGGTCACAGAAAGTTCCAGGTGCTTGGATCATTTGTCACTCTATGCCTCTAGTTATGTCGACTTTGCTGGATACGTGAAGCGACTCCAGACCGAGCTTCGCGCAAACAATTTCCTCATGCGAGATGTGGCTGTTCGCGGATTGAACAACCTAATGAAGCGAGGCGCTGCCTCTGTAATACAGACAGCAGGCCAGTCGCTGGAAGATGACATCTGGCTTGCATTTGACGATGCGCCAAACAATGCATCCCTCAGGTCGATGATCCAAGATTGGCTGCAGCAGACTGCCCTGACTGAAACCGAGGCATGGATTCAACGCTGTCAGAACATTATGACCAAAACACGCCACAAGGTTGAACCTCCACCTACCACAGCTGTTCAGGCTGCAGCAGATATCCCAGATGACGAAGTTGCCGGGTTTGCATCTGCCGTTGCCGGGGAAGGACAGGGTGACATCGCAAATGATAGCGTCTCTGGTCAAGAATTGCTTAAGTGGCAGACACGCAACTTTGCTATGAGCTGCCTTTCTGAGCTTCTGGCTACCGTTCAAGAAGCAATCCTGCCAGACTCGGCCATCCCGGCAGAGCTGGCTCTCCAGCAGAAGGTTGGAGACATTGTCCGAATGGCTTTCTCGGCATCGACTGCCAATGTCATCGAGCTGCGCGTCTGGGGTCTGAAGATCATCGACCAGGTCCTCACAATGTTTGGCAAGACACCTGATCCAGACTTTGCCGAAGCCTCGCTGCTTGAACAGTATCAAGCCCAGATCGGATCAGCACTAACCCCCGCATTTGCAACCGATTCGTCAGCAGAGCTAGCCTCAGAAGCGATCAATGTCTCTGCCACTTTTATCGCCACCGGAATCGTCACGAATGTCGACCGCATGGGCAGAATCCTGAAACTTTTGGTGCTGGGCCTGGAGAACTTTGCAAAGAACCCAGGAACTACTGAAATTGGTGATCTCAAGGGTTTGAACTCCAATGCTCGGGTGATGGTGAAACTTGCCTTGTTCTCTGCTTGGGCTCGGCTGCAGATTGCCAGTATTGAGCATGAGTATCTGAATTCGGTGGTCCAGCCTTATCTTGCTAAGCTCACGCCTCTATGGCTGTCCTCCCTGCAAGAATATGCTCGGTTGCGCTTTGAACCTGATATCTCTGGTAGTTTGGGCACGAGCGCTAGTGGGGATTTGGACGAGGTATATGCTGCCTTGAACCGCGAGACTTTGTTGAACGTAAGAGTCTCCCCACGGCCTTCTATTCCGTAGTTAGTCCCTTGATCACTAACAATATTTTTAGTTCTACCAAGACACATGGCTGTACTTGGTTGATGCAATTGCTGGCCTTGTGGAGAAGGATATCGATTTCGTCTTCGATGCCTTGGATGGCAAATTGCAACAGCCTGAGGAGCCGGAAGAGCCCAGTGGCGAGGACGACAAGGAAAAGGAAGACAAGGTTGCAAAGAAAGAACCCGAAGACAAAGGACACGATATCAATTACCGCGAGGAGCCGGTTGCCTTCTTTTTCGTCCTGTTCGGATTGGCCTTCGAATCTCTGGTTGATCAGGGAACTTCAGCATCACAGCGCCTGGAGATTCTACAAGCTTTGAAGAGAATCCTAAGACCGGTCATCTCTGGAAATGCTATCTACCAAGACGCAATTTTCACGGAGACGATGGACACGTTCGACCGTCTGGTCTTGACGGAGACCACTCCCATCCAGACTGTCATTGTCGAGATCGCGCAGAACCTGTCATTGGATCACCCTGCCGCAAAGGGTGACCAGGAACGCAGTAACCATCTTTCGGATGATATTGAGCAACTCTTCGAGCTTACAAGAAGTATCATCTTGGTGCTTGCTGGAATGCTTCCTAATCTCCGCGAATCTACCCCTCTTGCACGTTTCAACGTCACTTCAGATGAGTCTCTTACTCTAATTCGTCTGGCGCTGCGTTCTCTCGTCGATGTGGCATCAGTGTTCCCGTCTATCATTCGGAACGATCTCCACGCTTGCATTCTGCACATCTTCACCACCATCCTGGCCACGGGAATATGCCAATCAGGTGTTGTACCCCAAGCTCTGCCAATCTTCCGGCAGTTCATCCACGCCATCACAAATACAACCGAATCGCCTGAAGACATCCAAGTCGTGTCATTCCAACTCCGTGGATGCCTCAAGCGCTTCCTGACCATTCTCACTATTGCCCAGCGACGAGAATCGGACATCTCCATCCCCTGCGCCAAGAACACGCTCCTCGCTATCACCTTCCTCCTCACTGCTGGCGGACACGTCATCCCGCCTCAGGACCCTGTCCTTACCCGAGTTCTGGACGAGTTCCTTGACTGTCTTCAGGACGTTGGGCTCGCTAACGTGGCAGCCAGCTGCATCCGCTCAATCCTCGTCAAGCCAGGTTCTCGCTCCATCACCGACGATGTGATCAGCCGATACCTCACCCCACGGTTGATCGCTTTCCTCGTCGCCTGTCCCCTGGACAACGGAGATATCCCCAACGACCCCGAAAACTCACGCACAGTGATCGCCCGCACATTGGTCTCGTGCATTTCCAACGCCACCTTCTCTGCCTCGGAACTCCCTGCAGCTATCTCGCTTGTCATGTCGGCCTTGCTGGCCCGTGCGAAACGCGAAGGCGAGCCCGTGCACCAGGAATCCGCTGGCTATCTCCTCGAACTCGCAAAGGCAGATCAACTCGCCTTCCGAGCATTGGTTGCTTCCATGAATACAGACCAGAAGGGACTCCTGGAAGAGGTTCTCCGTAGTGTCGGCGTTGGAGCTGTTCCTTCAAAATCTGGTGCGGAAGCAGAAGATAATGCCCCGCAGGCTGCGCCTAGTATCGCATTGCGCATGGATTTCTAGTACATTCTGAAAAGTGTATACGATATAGACCAACGAAATGTTTATGATATTCACATATTTCCATTGTAACGCGGAATGGCGCTTATCTCATCCCCGCAATCAGGTGACATCCAATTAATTTCCCTTTGACCTCAATTTCCTGGCTTGACTTCGACCTCATTCTATGAATAAATTGATCTCATTGAATCCCTGAGCGATTTGAGGTCGATTTCAAGGTCGAAATGCCGCCTAATCGGGGCCGTGCCTCGCGGGCATGTACCTCATGCAGGAAGCAAAAAACCAGATGTTACGAGCCCGGTATTCCTGGGCGAGCCTGTCTTCGCTGTGATCGACTCCGCCAACAATGTTCACTTGTCCAAATTGATGTATCGGATGAGGAACCTGTAGCCCCCGCATCCGGTACGGATGTTCGGTATGCTCACGGCACCCATCTATGCCTCCGATCTGCCCCCCATATACTAATATACCTTTAGCTTGGAACGCCTGGAAAGGTCTGTGGCTGCATTACTCGATCGACTTGGAGAGGGCCCTCCAAGGACCCCAGGCCATGAGACCAGCAGACCTTCCACCGCACAGACGGCCGAGTCTGAAGTGCCATACAAGGAGACGGAATCTTCCGCGGCTCCAATCATGGTCATTCGCGATCTGGCGACGGATACCGGCCCTAAACCATCTTCCGACATCCGGTCGATGAGTGCGGATTTGGATGATCTTATTGCGCCTGATCTTGCACTTACGCTAATTACTATGTATGCTGCACCGTCGTTTACAAATCGGGCTATCAATAACCATTGTCAGTTTCCTCGAGTATTACGGTCGATGGGTTCTTTTTGACCCTGACTGTGAGCCCGCTGAGCTTCTCCGCCGAGTAAAAAAATCACCCTTATTGTTTTGTGCCTGTTCTCTGATCGCTGTCCGGCATACTTCCGAGGACCTGGCTGTGAGCCTTGCTCCTAAGCTCTACGAACATGCCCGCTCTCTGGCCTCGACTACTCTTTTGATAGCGCCACAACCAATTGAGTTCTTCCAAGCGGCCCTGATTCTTTCTATGTGGTCGACGACAGTGGGCCAAGTACCCTTGAGCATTGATAGCTGGCTTTTGAGCGGTTTTGCTCTGCAGCACTCACAATCAAGTCCGCTATTTACTGTAGTCACAACCCAGTCACACCCTCCAAATAGGTTGGACGAGGCGACTATGGATCGTTGCTATTTATGGAACCATCTTTGTCTTGCTCACATGCATTACTGTGTTGGTACCAGTCGTCGATCTATGTTGCAACCCTGGCAAATTGAAAGATGCCGCGCTGTCATAGATTCCGACCACGCGATTAACTTTGAAGTGCGCATGGTTGCTGAAATTTATCTCTACTGGACTGTCTACGAGCACTTGATACATGAGTCAGTCGATTTATTAAAATCAGTCGCAGCTTTACAGACATGGAAGAGGAAATGGGAATTCGTCCTTGGTATGTTGGTTTTCACTCTTAATGATTATCTCTCTTTTCTAACACAGCCCACTCAGACCAGCCAAGATCGCAATTCTTATCCATGGGCTTCCACTTCTCCCACCTCCTTCTATATGAACACGCCCTAAAATCCAAATCCGCCCGAGCCAGGGAATCAGTCGTTTCAGAAATGATCCGCCATTCCACCGCGATCGTCCAACTAGCCATGGATACGGTAGATGAGCGAACCCGCCATTTGACCGATCACATCTACCACATGATAACGTTCGCCGCCATTGTCATCTGTCGCCTGTCAACTGCGTACCAAGAACAAGTCGCTTCAACCCATAACATCGATGAGCTGGACTCATTGGTGCATGATCTCGTGCAATGGCTGTACTGCATTGGATTACCGTGCCACGCAGCACATACCCTAGGCAATATTATCGCCAAGGTTCATCAGAAGCTTAGACCTCGTGTAGAGGCATCGCCGCCAGATGCACCACCCGACGAGATGCTGAATGACTTCAATTATTATTTCCCCGAGTTTCTTGGGTTGGGGATGTCTGCTGATGGGAATTGGGATCTTCTCTCTAATATGGGGCTTTTCCCGCAGAGTCCAGAGAGTTCAAGGCGGCCTGATTGATGGGGTTGCTTCTTGCCTTTTTCTATATTCTGTGTAAACAACTAGTTTCAAAACCAATAATAAGTTTATCGTGTGATGTCGATCAGATGGGTATCATGCCATACTGAGACTGACCTTTGTAGGACTCGACGCTATTACTTCCATGGGCCAGCACCGACTTGACTTGATGCTCCAACTGCTTAAAGGCGATTCCCTGCACAAAGCAAGCTTCTTAAAAAGTACTGCCACGAGATCTACGAGCTCCTTCTATTTTCGAACTATGATTTTATGGGGCTCAAAATATCAGATATGAAAGTAGGTCGTGTCCTCTCTAGGAAGTGTTCATATATGCACCTTCTATCCAACTTTCTTTACTCAAAGGGAAAATAAAAGGACCGCCTTTGAAAGCTATTCGGACTCCTATCCCATTTGTGTAACCTTATCAAGTAAAGCGTAGTATTTGTTTTACCAACGTCTACTGTGTAGGTACAAAGTGCCTTCGAAATCCGGCGTTAACGAGGCGACGATCTGGCCCGACGTTTGGGATATTGTACTCTCAACCTCCCTCTCTAGAGATTCTATATCTACCCCATCACCATGAGACTTCTGTGGTGGGTGTGCTCCCTGGCACACTTCACGTCTCTTGTGAGTGCTGAAGGTGATTGTACCGGTACGTGGTGTGATACATGTCTACCTGTGACGATTCACGATGCACCTGGGGTTGGCTTCGATCTGACACCTCTATATGGATAAGTACATTGGGCCCCTGCTTGTTACCCAGAAAACTATCTGACGGCATCGAGGACGGCCGTGGTGCATTTCTACAATGGAACTGTTTTCGAGGTTGCCAAGATTCAGGGGAGTCCAGAATACCTCGAGCTTATGGCACGCCTGGCTACATCTAAGCCATCACCGCAACCAACTCTCAATTTCATGCGCGAAATTCAAATTTCATCTCGTTTAATGGAATATCTCTTCCCAAGCAGGTCGTCGCCGTGGAGAGACTGGTGGCGTTGGCTCAACATGAAAATGGGCCGACCCATCAAAGCAGACGATGTCGAAATCATTAGTGATTTGCTCCAAGAACTAAAAGTCGCCACTGAAAAGACAATCTTCCAGCCTCTAGATAGGGTTGCCGTTACAGAGCCTGGTTTCCAGTCGCTTGACTCGGAGACGACCAACGCTGCACTTCGAATCCTAGGTCTACGCACATGGGTACGCGATAGCGTTTATTACACCTCACGCTTAGTGGAAGGAGATGCTGTGTATGCAGCGAACGGTTATGGACTATGCACCAACTACGAGGATCGTTTCCAATGCTCGGACGAATTTGAAGGCTCGTCGATACCTACCGTTTTTGTGGTTTCCTACAACCACAATCTCTTATACACTAGTATTATGGACCTTATTAGTGGTGAAGCTTTCCCCTACGGTTCGACTCTTGAGGCGCAACTCGTTGACTACGAGCTTGGCCTAGATAGTCTTCTCGAGAATGATCAAGGCCAACCCGTATTAGTGGATCGCCTCCGTTCACAACTCCAGATCCTTCCTCGGGAGTCCAAAATATACGGTCACGCATATCTTCTTAGCCGGCGAGAGCGTCACACACCCCCGTTTCCTGGCTACTCTCAGGGACTCTATGTCCGAACTCTCGCTTGATTCTGCCACTGCGAAAATTCAACTCGCAATAGATCCAACTTTTGCAGCGGCGCGGGGCGCAGCACTTTACGCACGAAGGCGCCAGGAGGTGCCGAGCGAATGCTATGAGAGAGGGGAATGCGAAGAGATGAGGATGCACGAGCGATTACGCACTTCAACGCGAGAGGAACTTTGGTAAAGGGGAGGTAATGGCCATCCAACTGCCTGCAGATGTCTCTGATGGTCCTGGAATTCAAAAATGATAAGGTCAACTACTAGCTTCCCACATATATTTCAACATTCCATACTTGGACACCTATATGAAGTCCTACAACTCAGAGCGATGACTTTCAACTTTCGTCACCGGCCTCCACGGCGTTTCTCAATCCACCGAAACAGTGGAAAAGCGACACCCGAAAAAACAAATGTCAATTCATGCCCAATATTTGCGCCTCTGCTACCAATCAAAGATGCAATTGGACCTGAGTACCATGCCAGCTTCATGCCAAGTGCCGCACCCAGGAAGCCAAAGCAAAATGCTCCTATGGCTGCCCATCCAAACGGCAGGCCAGCGATGCTGTTCCAGGCATCAAGATCATATCCATTCCATCCTCTCCGAAAAATAAAATGCTCTTCCATGACCAGTGTGATATGAATCACAGTCCAATATCCGATGACACTAAGCAATGTTTGCAGAGTATCAGAGAAATATTTAGCTGCACAACAGCCAATGATCACCGCTGCGATGGATCCGAATGTGACTAGAACCACACGGGGGATACGTATAGCCCATGGCCCCATGTTCTGTGCATGGAGGGCAAAAGAGTAGTTATTTGGGACATTGTTCTTCAGAAATTAGCAAACATATAAAGAAGACAAGGACGTAAAATGGCATGTCCACTTACTGGGATAGAGCTTAACGCTGCTAGAACCATCAAGAACTTACCGAATCCCCCAGCAGGCTCCAATGCCATCTTGAGAAGACCACCAATAGAAGAAGCTGTATATGCCTCCTTCCACGCTGCATCAGTCACAGTCCCTGTATATAATGCAGCTCCAAGGGTCTGAACAAGAACAGTAGGAACGAAAATGCCCACATAAGTAGCACTAAAGATATGCCACTGCGGCGTACCTTTAGGCATGCGCACATTATAATCCGCAGCACAGTTCACCCAGGAAACAGAAAAAGAAAAGATCGAAGCTCCATAGGTCAGTATAGCGGCAGCCTTATCAGATCCTTTCAGACCGACATGGTCATCTCCAGTAAAGTGAGACGCACCCGTGCCAGCTACCACACACCACACAATCAAAGGGGGAATCCAGATAAAGGTATCTAGTCTGTGAATCCAGCTAATACCCAATATACATATCACCCACACCGATACACATATAACAATCACTCCGGCCCATGTAGGGAACCGGCCGTTAGAAAGGGCGTTGAGGACGGCGGCGCCGGAGATGGAGTTTATGGCGTTCCAGCCTGTTGTTGCTATCATTGAGAATATGACAACGAGTATATTTCCCCAATAACCGAATGAGTACCGTCTAGGGACAGGTATCTCGTTAGGACATTCTGTGTGAATGATGAAAGCGAAGAATCACTCACGAGAAAGTTGTCATGCGCAAGCCCGTTAATCCAAATACCGCTGTCCATGCTGGAAGCAAATCGCTTGTTGTGTTTACTACCAGGATGACGATGAAGCAGTCCCAGAAGGAGAGGCCCAGTGAGCCTCCTAGGGAGCCGATGTTGAGGGTAGCCACAGCCATATTGGCACTGAACCTATATATGGAGACGATGTATTAGTCTGGTGTATCTGGATGTATAATTAGAGGAATTATTTTACCAGAAAGTAGCAGCATTCCAAAACTTAGTTGTATTCTGCAGCCGTTCCTCATCGGTGACCCGTTCAATGCCACCCTCTTCAATGGACAATTTTCTATACCATGGCTGGACAGACTGTGCAGACTCTGGCTCAGACTGAGTCTTGTGAATGGATTTACTATAGTTGTTCATTTTGATAGGGTATTCCAAATGTAGAGCGGACTTGCCAGGTAGAGAGATCCAGCCGGGGACACCTTCTTATTATACCTCTATTTTGCCCATTTCATACCTACAATACGTACTCCTATTCTCCAAATAGCTTTAAATAAGCTGATAAGCATATCCTGGGCATATCTGACGCCATATCGACCGTTTCTGACTTGATACTTATCCCCGCGGCATACCGCGGCATGCCGGACCGGGATGCCCTAAGAACAACAGCTATGTCCACTTCCCCCATTTTTCGCCAAATATAAAATCCGCTCCATCTGAATTTGTTTCCTCTTCTTTTCAATTCGTGTTCTAGTCATTTCTAAGTCAATCAAATGGAACAGCACACATTTCGTCGCCGAGGTCTAGGCCTCCGAGGAGTCGACAACCAGCGCGTCTCACCAGGCTACGTGCTATACGCACCTCTAACTTCAAACACGGCCCATCTAGTTTCAACTGCAGGCAAAGAAGTGCACCGTTGGACCCTCCCCCACAGGGCAGGCCGACACGCCCGCATCCTCCCAAACGGAAACTTAGCCTACAACGGCGCACACCCAGACGCACCCCGACTATTCCCAATGTGGGCGAAATACCGCGGCGGCGTAATGATGCAAGTGAGCCCAGACGGCGACATAATCCGCCAGTACTCGGACCCGCTGGCCCATCATGACCAGAACAATCTCGAAGACGGCACCATCCTCTACACAACGCTAGAGCCCCTCAGCAGCGAGGAAGCATCGCGCGTGCAAGGCGGCATCCCAGGAAGCGAAGCACCGAACGGCATCATCTACAGTGACTGCATCAAGCTCGTCCAACCCTGGGAATTATCTACCATCTCCTCATCCGCCGACTTCGACGGCAGTGGTGGAAACGGTGGCGCAAAGCTTCTCTGGTCATGGCGGGCAATCGACCATCTTGACCCTGCAGTCTTCGCGGCGCACCCGCACTACCCGCGCGAGCATTGGCCGCTGATAAACAGTGTTGCCTTTGACTCTGAGGGGAATATCATCGCCTCGTCGCGGAATGCATCCAGTGTATTCGTGATCAGTCGTGTAACAGGTGAAGTATTGTGGCACCTATCTGCACCGACGGTCAGTCAGCAGCACTGTGCCCACCAGATCAATGACGCGGGTGATATACTCATTTTCGATAATGGGGTTTTCAGGCCAGGGCTCGCGGTTCCGTTTTCGCGGGCGATTGTCGTTTCCCGAGAGAAGGTTGTCAAGTGGGAATATAAGGATCCGTCGACCGGGGGCTGGGGTTCTTTACGCCGTTTATGGGATCAGCGCAAAAATTGAAGAATGGGAATGTGTTGCTCTGTGAGGCTGCTGACGGGCGCATTATAGAGGTTTTGGAGAGTGGGGAGATGGTTTGGGAGTTTGTTGTCCCGCAGTTGGGGGATTATAAGAGGGTTATGGGGAGGGAAGAGTTGGGCGAGATGGAGAGGATGGGATTTGATTGTTTGAGTAATGCTGTTTTCAGAGCTTATAAGTATCTTCCCGAGGAAGTTCCTTGGATTAAGGATGAGTGATGGCTGCGATGTTTGTTCATATCTCTGAAATTACATTGATTGACATATATCTTTGTCATGGGGTTCTGTATTTGGTCTATTTGTGGTGATACAAGTGTTGTACGCTGTACATGGGCCAGTGCATAGATACATGGAGGCAGGCCGAGACAAAAGAAAGGAAACAACGAGTGGTTGGTATGTATAAGTAGAGAACGTTAAGTGTTGAGGATCAACCAAGGGGTTCACCTAGGTGGGTTTCAGAAGTTGACGGGATAGTCGTTGCACCGTTATCGTGGATTACCCTAGTTTCTGTCGCGATCTCTTTGGTAACGACTGGTTTCTCGACCTCCTTGACCTTGGTGGGCTCAGGGACCTTGCGAGTGGATGCGTACTTCAAGAAAACAATGATCATGACTGCCAAGCTAGTTAGTGACGGAACGCCCAAATCAGGTAAAGTCAAACACTTACAGGCACAAATGGCGACGGTCGAAGCCGCACGTCGTGTCAGAATCCATCGAAGGCCTTCGATCTCGCTCTTTCCATCACTGTTAAGCGACACAGTGATCTTGTAGTTTAATTCCTGAACCGAGGTGTCGATACTCCGCTGCTGTTCGCGCGTAATCATCTTATGATCGTTGAACATGCCCTTAATCTCATCTCTCATGCCCGCCAGTTCCTGGCTGAGACGCTGCGAAATGATATCCGTGTCATGCTGCAATTGCGTGCGTGATGAACGTTGATGTTGCACTTCCGAGTTGCGGGCTGTTTGCAGCGATGACTGAAGCTCAGAGCATGCTGCTTTGAACAGATACTCCTCATTTTCGACGTCGGATTTGGAAGTCAGGCTCTCGTTCGCAAGATCAAGATTATTCTGTAGAATGGCTCGCACGGCCTTCATGATGGTAATCGAGTGCTCAGTGCTAAATCCTCCTTTGGAAAGATCCTGGACTAAGGAGTATGTATCGAAATGGTGTACATAGGGTGCCGGGGAGAGATGTGGCGGGCGATCGTCAGAGGAAGAGGGTCCCCCGGAAGGGGTTAGGTAGACGGACGGAGAGGGCATATGAAGGACTTCATCGAATGGTGTTTGGCCTGAGAATGGAGAAGATTCGGTATTCTCTTCAGGCGAGCTCCCAGAAGTAGATGTTGACGAAGCTGAGGTCTGCTCCTGCTCAGGACTGTCTTCCTCTGCTGCTGTAGACTCTTCGTGTGGTTCCCGATCTGTCGGAGGATCATCTTTCTTTTCTTCGAAAAATTCTTGCTGGTCTAGATTCGGTCTTGGGGAGGAAGGAGTGTTTGCCGCATCCTGCTTGTCTTGAGGTGGTGGGTCTGGGTCCGATTGTGACTGCTCCGGAGAAGCTCCCTCCTGCTCAGAGGTATTTAGACTCTCATCCTCCGCCGGTGCGTCCTCTGGGATCTGATCAGAGGAACCTTTCTTTAGTCGCGACGCTGGGGGAATACTGGGTTCGACAGCCGGACCATAGCGCCGCTGGTAGGCTTCGCGCTCATGCCGCAGACTGGTATGGAAACGGCGATTGGGAGCGTATGGGAATCGTAGGGAACGGTATGTACTCGGTTCGCATGATCGGACTGCGCGCATCAAGTTCGGATACAGAAACGGGAGCCTTGGCGTGGCCATGACGCGAAGTTGAGGCTGCGTTGAGGTATGAAGAAGACAAACTATTTTCCCGCGGACGAACTTTGGGTGACGTTGATCCCCCGCGGGAATGGTGATGAGTCAGCATTAGGTTGGCACCTATCAAGTGGACAATTGTCACGTCTTCTACGGAGTACAGATGGACAACATTAGCTATATGAGGATAGACAAGAACTAACTAGAGGGATTGAACGATTTAACATCCATTCCCCTCCTTAGCAGATCCCAGAAGCGATAATGCCAGGCTACAAAACCAATTGCGGTACAACATATATTGTCTGAAGGGTACTAGAATAGTCACCTGCTCTGGCAGGACAGTCTAGGGAATGCTACCATGGTGAACAGAAGAAGCATCTCATGGGACTTACTAGTGTACTTACAAGTCACAGGATCATTTAAGACGATCTTTCCACAGTCCATCATGGATAAGCAAGATGCTTAGCCCTGCAAGCCCACGTTATGGTGCAAGCTCTGGAAATGGAGAGCCAGGTTCAGCAGACAGATAATTCACATTCATATGACTCAAAAGGAGCTGGCCATGTCTTGTTAAAGGAAATATTATCATTGTTGGTGATGGGTTTGTAGATGTGTCATTCTATAATGGAGCCGCATTTAACCGGCGATTAACCGGACTATAAAAGGTACGTACCGGAGCTCATGTTTATGCCCTCCCATTATCAAATGGCCCAAGTAGTGACTTGAGGCATATGGTTTTGGTTCAGGGCAACAGACTAAGATAAATGGGCTTACGTTTGGCCTCATATTACACCAAAAGGCGCGGTGTCTTTGTTGATACCGATGCATTAAAGAACATAATAGACATGCTGCTTTTAAAGAGCAACTTGGGTCAAGGAAATAATAGATTGCCTACACAGTGCTCAATTGATTCTGTAGCAGATTTCCGTAAGATCATGCTTTGGTGGTGGTAGCCGTGTCGTGTTTGTTGTTTTACCGTTCGAGCTCTCTTCTCTTTTCCTCTTCTCCCCTTCACCCCCCCCCCCCCCCCCCCCAATAATCAACCCGCTTCTTTCTATCCCATCAAATCCATCGTGATCCCCCTTTTTCCTTCATCTACAATCTTCGTCTTGTCGTCTCGTTTGGGCTTTCAACTCCTGTAATACCCGGTTTGAGTCCTAAGCCTACAACAGCCTGACGAAGCAAGAGTCCAAAGAACACACAAGAGTCCCAATTTCCAAACTCACCCTAGGTTGGCTCAGGATTACCTTCCTCTCCAAGGCTAAGATGGGGTCTGTACAGACCCCCTGGACCTCGATCCTGCTGCAGGAAAAACCTGGACTGCATGAGTACAATCATGCCCTTCTGAATGTTGACAAGTACTACAGCCGGCTGAGTGCCGCCATGCAAAGCGAGAAGGTCCGGGACCAACTATGCCTCAACCCAGATCAAACACACTCTCGCCTTCTGAAGTCCTTCGAAATACTTCGAGTCAAGCAATTGCCGGGTCCCGTTGCGGAGGAAATATTCAAGGTCATGGTTCTCTCATTTATCAATGACAATATCTTCTCTCCGGCACAACTCATTCAGCTTGTCGGTTCTGCCCTTCCAATTATTACGAAACAGTCCTCCCAATCCCAATACATGTGTGACGTGGTGGAGGTGCTACTTGCATCTCAGGGCCTGCTAGACCACTTGGTGGCTAACGAGGAATACTCCGCGGTGTTGGAAACATGGATGTCACCAGGAAACAATCTCCCGGTTGCTGTCCTCCGGCAGGTGGGTAATAACGTTATCTCCATGTGCAATGTATGTTCCGCAGACCATGGAACTACCACCATCTCAGAGAGTTGGGATATCGCAGTTCAATCGGAGACATCTCTCAACTCCCTCGAGAAGTCTCACGAGGAAGAGCTCAATCGCGTGACAATCAAAAATCTGCCCCCGCTGGAGGCAATGAAAGTCCTTCAATTGGATGACAAGAAGTCCAATTCATCCCAACTCAACAAAGACCCCAAGAAAAATCTCCAAATTCCAGACGAACTTCTTGCACATCTACATCGATTCGACATAACTGCACCATTGTCTGTTCGTGGGATTACCTTGGCCCGTGAAAAGATTCAAAACAAGATTATCCCAGAGCTCCTGCGCTCGGCATTAGAAAGCTTTCCATGCAGAATATGCCTGGATAGGCTGAGGGGGAGCCTAACCCCTCTCATGGTGGCCGTTCGAACAGACATGCCCTCTGGGAACCCAAAACAATTTGATGATGTCCAAGACATCTTTGGCAAGCGGATTGGGGTTTGGAAAGTGTTACTCTCCGATACTGCTTTCAAAACTGCAAGAATGCTCGCTGGTGAAGGTAGGTTTGATACTCTCTTTGCATACCCATGATCCGTGGGCCATTTGCGCATGAGCTTCTGACAGAATCTAGATACACTTCCCGCCGTGGTCGAGGCACTCAAAGCCCTTGCAAGTGGTGAATGGACAGGTAAAAATCTCTCTCGGCCTGTGGGATCTAAAAAGCAGAAGAAGGCGCTACAGGTTCCCATCATGGCTGCTACTGTGAATTCGACTGTGTCAATCTTATGGCAGATTGATATTGGATTTTACGATGAGCTTCCGTGGATTCAGCAGCATGTCATCAAAGGTAAGCATTTTCCCCTGAGAGAGGAGACAACATGCATTAACTTCTACAGTTTGGCAAATCGTAACGTCGGATCAAGAGGTAAGTTGTGGTTTACAAAAAGCAGTCAATATGCTAATTTAATATACAGCTTGAAAAGGCGATTGATCAGCTTATCTTGATTCAAACATCCTACTCCCCTGCGCTCAGTGCACTTTGCGTGACACGGCCCATGCAGCAATTCGATGGAACCTGGATCCCGCATCAATTTGACAGCGTGAAAGGCTCTCACCCAAAGCCACCCGATCCCAACCCTAACACAGATCAAGCTTTGATTGGGATGTCAAGTACGGTTTCCATCCACAATCCACCTTTGACCTCGAATGAACCACAAGCTGACCTGATTGACTTCCTAGACAAGTTTTACAATTTTACCGAGCCACTTCTCAGGTCCCTTCTCGATAGACATGAAGACGACGAGTTTCCATTTGAGCTTTCGGCCCAGGAGTCGGAAGTTGTTAGACACTTCAGCACCTCTACATTGATCTTGGGACGAAGTGGTACTGGCAAAACCTCATGTTTGTTATTTAAGATGCTTGCCAGGCACATGTTGAAGGAGTCGGCTTCGGACGAGCAGCAAGCTCGACAGGTATGTCCATTTCCTCTCACAGGTTAGCAACAGGAACCTGATGGATTATATAGCTCCTCTTGACCCGCTCGTCTTACTTGGCTTCGAAGCTGCAGACCTACGCAAAGACTCTTATTGATACTCAAGCCACCGCTGCATCGAAACCTCCAGATCAGGATTTTGATCCAAAGCCTACTTCATTCTTTGCTTTGCGTCGTGGGAACTTCCCGGTCATTTGCACTTATGAGGCCTTCCTCGACTTCATGGAGAACACACTTAGGTTTGAACAATGTATTTTCGCTGTTTCCCAAAAGTCGCTAACATACCTTAGGATGGCGGATCGGAAAGACTTTTTACACGACATCACCTCCAACAAGACGAAGAAGAACATTGACAGTCAAATGGACATGCCCCGGAAAGTTGACTTCAATATTTTCAAGACTGAGTACTGGGGTTGTTTATCCGGACTGGCCCCAGCCTCTTGTTCCCCAGAACTGCTCTTCGCCGAGATCATGGGCGTTATTAAGGGCTGCAATATTGTTGCAAAGCGATTAAAGTCACTACGGCGTGCGGAATATGTCTCGAAGAATGCAAAGGCTTCCCCTGCCTTTGCCTCCGAGGCTGACCGCGAGAAAGTATTTGCGGCTTTTGAACGCTACGAAAAGCAGAAGAAACAGCGCAAAGAGATTGATGAACTAGATCGCGTTACCTCACTCCTCAGATCACTTGAGGAGAATCCTGCGATTGCACAGCAGGTCCGGCGCTGTTTCGAGGAGATCTACGTTGATGGTATGTCAAAACTCGCTTTCCCTCTTGTTTCGTCTAACCTGTTTAGAAATTCAAGATCTTCGCTGTCTTGACGTCGTCTTGCTTCTGGGTTGTCTGAGCGACGCCCGCGGAATTCATCTCGGTTTGAATCCTTTCAGCATTGTGTAACTCGAGTGCTTTATTGACTAATATAATACGTTTACAGCTGGTGATACTGCTCAGTGTATCTCGAAGGATTCAGTTTTCCGATTCCCAGAGATAAAAGACTTGTTTTATGATCATTACGAGGTCACTGCTAAGCAGCTGAATCAACCTCTGTTGGCGAAGCCAGTTCAGTTCTCACTGTCAAAGAACTATCGTTCGCACCAGGGAATTTTAAGCTTCGCGTCATGGGTGATGCAACTGCTCTGGAATGGTACGACCACTTTTTATCATCTTTTTTTACTGGACTTCCTCTTACTCTTTTTGTATAGGGTTCCCTGAGACCATTGACAAATTGGAGCCAGAGATTGGCGAGACTGGAGGACCCAAGCCCATTATATTTGGTGCGCTTGTTATTCATCCAAGGCGTTGAAATCTGACTACTGACACTTTGTTCACATAGCTGGGTTTGACGCTTCAATCCTCTCCGCCAAGATGATAGGGCTAGTCAAGCTCAATGACCAGGTTGCTGATTTTGGCGCTGAGCAAGTCATCATCGTCCGAGACGATTTAGCGAAAGACAAACTCCAGACTCAGATCGGCAAAATTGCTCTCGTGCTCACTGTTCTTGAGAGTAAGGGCATGGAGTTTGACGACGTATTGATCTATGACTTCTTCGGCAGCAGTGAGCTGGGTAGCAGCTACCGTTGCCTCCACATGATTGCCACTCCTTCGCGGGCACACTTTGACCCTCAAAAACACGCTGTCAGTACTCCCTGGTACATATAGTAACCTTTCACATTATGATTGCTAACATGGCTGGCAACTAGGCCCTTTGTTCCGAGCTCAAGGTAGATTCTTTGGTGTCAGATGTCATAATCTTTACTTACAGATAGTGACAGCATCTCTACGTCGCCGTCACCCGAGCACGAAGGCAGCTTTGGTTTATGGAAACCCAGGGGAAGAGCATTGGTCCCATTCTTGAAGCCCTCTTGAAAAGTGGCAGCCTCGAACTCGCTGAGTTGGTCAAGCAAAAGGACCCGAATGTGAGATTTGTTCTGATTTAGAAATGCTTTACGCTAAAATAGTGACAGGTTGCTGAAAAGGTCAAAGTCCTGCGAGCTGGAGGCTCCGTGGACCCTGAAAGATGGCTGAAACGAGCAAGTCATCTGCTGAATCAGAAGAACTTTGCAGATGTGAGTTCATCTTATCAGCAATTGTTCAGGTCAACTGTGGCTAATAAACATTTTCAGGCATTATTTTGCTACAGGAAGACCAAGGACGTTCCAGGAATTGCCCGCTCACAGGCTTGTTTACATGAGCAAGAAGCAAGAGCCTACAAAGCAGCTGGTGATTACGAGAATTCTACCGCTTGCTTCGAGAAAGCAATCACACTTTTCCTTGAAATTGGCTTCATCGATGAGGCCGCATCCTGCTACGAAGTTCTTGGGCAATTTGACAAACTTGCAGGTTTGTTACCACGCACAATCCGAGTTGAGAAGATATTGACACAGTCCATAGCAATCTGGGAAAACCGTGGTCAGTATGTAAAGGCTGCAGGATTCTATGAGAAGGGCAACATGTTCAAAGAAGCCTCCTTGTGCTACCATTTGTGCACCGAATACGAGCAAGCAGTGGAGGTTTTGCGCCGCGGTGACCAATTCGATGAGCTCATCCCATATATCAACCGGTACGTATGGCGCAAATTCTTCCCCTTCATTCAAAGATGCTATGCAGAAAAGAAATCAAACCCTCTTTCCGAACGCCCTTCGGATAAGTTGCAAGGCAAAGTTAACATTTCATAGAAACCGCGAGTATCTCAACGAGGCTACGCTCCTTCGTTACTCAAGGCTATGCAATATTTTACTCAAACAGGGACGAGTCTCTGCCAATTTGAGACTAGCCACAATCAACATGCTCGGAACAGATGCATCTAAGGTGGCTTTCTTCAAAGAGTTCGAGATGTGGGACCAGCTGCGTGGCCTTTTCTACACCAGTGGGAGATGGTTTGAGTATTATGAGCTGTCGCTGGCAGTTGGCGATATCTCTGCAGCTCTGAACACAATGCTGCGGTTCGGACTTTTGCCTGCAGCTGACAAACAGATTGCTCAGATGCTGTTTCACTACGCCATGGCAGAAGCCTTTTATGGTCGCAATAATCTGTCTCCTCCTATCTACGAACGAGATAAGATCTTGAGGGCTGTTAAATCAACCTGTCTTGAGCAATTGGGTAAACAATGGGGTGACTTGCACAAGTTTGGTGACGAAATTTATGACGAGAAAGCCTCGATGTCAATAAAGAGACTGCAGAACGGTCTTCTGAAAGACTTCTTTTGTCTTTATGTGGGTTTATAATTTCTCTCTAATTTTAATCACCGAGCTAACCATGTCTAGGCCGTCACCTTTGAGAAAGGTATTTTCCATCGAGCTAACGGATTGCTTCTTCCAATGGACATGATCTCGCGAGTCGGCCGGCTCCTGCAGGATTTCGATGCAAATATCAAGTCTTCATACAACTGCCTAGCCCTTGTTTTTGGTATCTTCGCCGATCCAAAGCAAGACACGCTGTCAATTGTGCTTGACTGGTCCCCTTTGAGACATATGGATTCCACAACTCATGCGCTTCCGGAAGGTTCCTCGATGCAGGATATGCTCAACTATGCGAAAACTATTGTTCAAGATAGATTCAGCGCAGCATTTGCCCTATTCCATGACACCGCTATGGCTCGCATGAAAATGGAACTCCCGATTCCATGTCTCAATCAGCTTTGGAGAGGTATGTCATATAAATCTCGACACTTCAAGCTTGCTCACCAAATTTAATTAGGTCACTGTCCAAAGGCCGATGACTGCACATACGACCATCAAAAGGTTACGGATGACATGGTTTGTCAAAAGTTCAAGGTGAGTGTGACCGAGGCCAATTTAACTGACGGTTGAAGCTAATAATGTCTCTCTTCAGTATCTTCTCGCCGTTGCTGAGGTTTTTGCGAGAGCCACACCCCTTTATCGAGGAAAATACCTCAAGGAGGACTTCAGTAGACACTTTTGGGGGCGCAGTAAGTCCAATATGGTCCCCAGCAACCACTTCAATACAACTTCGCTTGCTCTTCATATCTGACATGTTCTACAGGGAGATATTGGGTACAAAAGATCCAAGAGGAGCTGCTGCTCATCAGTTCCATGGATCAATCAGCCCTTGCAATTACACAACTGCGGCACATTTTGTACAACAACCCAGAGTTCATGGCAACTGCCTATTGCCTCGAAGATTTGTTTTATCATCGCATGCACCACGAGTGGAGAAGCTACTGCACTCTGACCTCTTTCTTGGACAAAGTTCAGCAAGCTCAAACTCTCGGTAAGATAGACCCACCTCAAGTTTCAAAGATAGAAGTCCGAATGGAGAATTGACTGGGACTGAATAGGACCTCAAACGGCGCAACGATTCCATCGACAAGTGGTGCGTAAGATTGAGCAAAACATGTCTCAAAGCGAACGCAGCATGGGAGGGACCAGGAAGTCGCATCATCCACTCGCAGCACCCCTGGCCGGATTGAAGACAGCCGAGAGGATTCGCATTGCAGTTGAGAGGCGCAGTTCCGACTTTGTAAGATACATATCTTCGCTCTCTGTGAAGCTATACGTACTAACTTCTCACAGCCGAACGCCGTCAAAGAGTTTCTCCAGTGCATCGACAAGGGCGCTGCATCTTCCCTAACCCATTTCCATGCATTGATTTGTGTGCTCGAGTTGGCAGCCACATACATTGTACGTTTATTTGAAATCTATGCGAACAGCTCCAGCTAATAATAAGTTTCCAGCTTTCTATTTCAAGCCCGGATAATGCAATTGTAGTACCCTGGTCCTGGGCTCTCTTGTATCTTCCAACAATCATGCTGTCGTCAGGCAAAAGTCACTTCAAAGAAAGGGGGAAGCGTAACTCCACGCAGCTGCTCATTTGTATGGTCTATACACTATGCAGGGTTATAGACACCATCGAGACTGCGACCAGCTCGACCGAATTTAGCTTCCAAGGCAAGGGATCGTTTAATACACCGTCGGTTGCGATGAGACGTCGCTACACTGATTTCCTCACGACCGTGCTTCTTAATCTGCAGAACTGGCCCAACCCGCCAAAGGGTCTCAAGGAAATGATCACATTGGTTCATAAGGTATGTTTCTTTGCTTGCATCTATTCAAAAAGCCGTTAACTCATGGAAAAAGACACTGCGTGCCTATCTTCCAAAGAACATGCATATCGGTCTAGTCGGCCATGACACGTTCCGACAGACTTGCATTCGTGAATACGACGTCTACCACCAGAAAGATGAGATTTGCGTCATTACACTTGACAACAAAGAAACTGCTCCTTTATTCCTGCGATCAATGGTCCAGAGTAACGCCAAGTTCTGCACGCTAGACGATATTCTACGCGTCTCTCACGCGGTGGAACAAACATCTGCACAGCCAGATCAGACAGGAGAGACCTCCAATGTCGAAGAATACACATGCTACGAGATCGACATGATTGTCAATCTTCAACGGCGCTGGCGGAAGGTGATGAGAGTATTCGAAGTCAACCGTCGCTCACGGGCGACGCGTGAAGGGAAATTGATCGAACGCTTGCATGATATTAGCTCCAACATCCTTCCAGCAGCTGGCTGGTCTGCCCTGGACAAAATTCACATACGCAAGGTGCTCTTCACCGATGGCATCCGGGTCGTCCGCGATATGGAGGTTCAGCTCGCTTGTCTCCAGCAGTTGAACAATAAGTGGCGCTATCAGTTTAACAACTGTCAGTCCACTATCAAGCTGGAGGAGCTTTCTGCTCTTCGTGGCGACATCCTCGGTCTTGAGAAGAAGCTCAACTACGTACTTGAGAATTGGTCCCTAAGAGGCCTTGAGAAGGGGCTCATGCAGCTGGCCCCCACGCCCTCGGTGCCGGTGCTCGGGATGCCCAGCGTACTCTTTTGGCTGTTCAATGTGATATGGACATGCTCATGTCTCTGGTCCATGCGATTGCGACCAATAGTCGCTAAGGCGGTTTCTTCATATTCCGTCTAATCAGCGAACCCATTCGAAAAGAAAAAGACAAAAAAAAAAAGAAAGAAAGAAAGAAAGAAAGAAAAAAGAAAAGACAAAAGAAAGGAATAAGAACGAAACCAAGAAAAAAGGAACACCACTCTACTCGGGTGCATGTCAGGATATGATCTTAAGTCTGCTTAGGTTACCTAGCTAGCTACGATTGAATGAAGTACTTGTATGAAATCTTGATATCATATAAAATATCGTTCCTATTCTTCTATTCAAGACGAAGAAATAGAGGGAAAAGTAACTAGTCTTGCAAGTAATCCGTAGAACTATCCGACGGTCGAAATCTTGAGCTTCAACGTTCCGCCAACAAGCCAAAAAGCAGCTCTGTCCGAGCCCAGTACTCGTTTGCAGATTGCCTAATCGTTTTCACAGCTTCGGCGCTAGGGTCAGCACTCTTCTGAGCACGGGCAACAACATCAGCCAGCTGATATTGCTCACCGAGCATCCTGGATAGATATAGAGAATCAAAGAAGAGTTGCATCTTCCAGTCCCGCAGGGCGTCGACTTGGCCTTCGGTATTGTATTCTGCGGGCTCCTTCTCTTGATCCTTGTCACCGTTTGTGGCAGGCTCTTCATCATTGGTCTCGGACTTGCTTGGGGAGTCTGGGCTTTCGAGATCATCAAGAGAGGATGTAATAGCAGTCTCTAGTTCTTTCTTCAGGGCTTGTTTCAATGCTTGCACCGTTGACGGATCCCACAGATCTGACCCGCAGGTGTCCATCGTTGAAGTAAGACGACGCAGGAACTTAAAAGTCGACGCAGAGGGCTGAACTGGTACGGCGGGGTTGCCTTCCCATAATGACCGACCTGGTACCATCTTGGCTTTGCCTGTTTGTGGATGCGTCTTCGAAGATGGCAACATCTTCAAGGAGCCGGTCTTGGCGACAGCTTCTGAGGCAAGCAACTTTTGTAACTCCGGAACAATATCACTTGAGAAGACAAAGTCCCCTGCCACAAATCTGGCCGGGATATCACGCCGGACCAATCGAATGAGTCTCAGCAGGAAGGTGGCCTTTTCGCTCGAATGCGATGAGCCGAATGATTTGAATGCGCTACTAAATGATGTTTGTAGGTTGTTGAATGACTCTCGGACTGCAGAATGCAGAGCATCAGACAGAAGACGTGGGTCATCCTCGTTGAGTCGAGGCGTAATGTCAATATCTTCGTCCTCAACCTCCCCACCAACGAGAATATCGGTCCACCGCATGCGACGCAGAGAGTCGATAGACTCATTTACTTCTTGGATTGATGTGAGCCACGCTTTATACGTAACGAGAACAGTCGACACGTCTTCATCACGGCCAAGAAGTCTGTCTGCCACAGTTTGTTTAAATGTCTGTGCGCCATTTGAGTACTCTGCGACAATGAGATCACCATCCCACAGAGACCTAACAGATTCATGCTCTTTTTTTCCCAGTCCAAGACAATGGAACAAGCTCTGCCTCCGACCTCTTCCAGACTCAGTGCTTGCACCTTTAGGATTCGTGATAGCTGGTCATTGAAGATCCTCCGCAGCCTCTCCAACACATCAAGTGATCCATGGATGATGGTCGAACCCCAAGACGAGAGCCATAATTCAATAGTTTCCGTACGCAGGGAGAGAAGCTCAGAGAAGTCGTTGCTGTGAGCCAGGTCTTTCTGGCAGCCTTCAGCGAATTTCTCGAACGCCTGAAGTGACCACTCTTTGATCGAATCAATTCCATCAGTCCTATTTAGCTCACTCAACTTGATCCAAGGCGTGAAGTTTTTGACAACTGGAGCCACCCATCGACCCAGAACTTCAACTTCTAGTCCATCTAGACTGCGAATCTCTGGATCGGCGAGAATCGGTCGAGCTTTGAGTTTCGAAAGCACCTCTGAGAACTGACGGTGCCGCAGGACCTTCGAAGTCTGCAGTGTCCGGACAAATAGTTGAAGGGCCTTTGGGATGTTCTCACGAGACAGATCCAACTGGCTTGCAATGACATCCAGACGCACTTGATGGAAATGGTGGATCGCATCATCAGAAGAAGAGCTAGTTGCGAGACAATACGCGGCCAACGACTCGATGATATCATCTTCCGTTGCGCCGGTGGAAGCAAGGCGCTTTTCAATTCGTTTGAGAAGCGTTCGCCATAGGGGTGCCAATTGATTCCGCAGATCGTCAAGGAACGGAGGAACTGATTCGTGCTGCGATAATGTCTTATGTAGTAGTCGGGAGACAACGAGAATCTTGGAGATTAGCAGAAGGGATGCACGGCGTCGTAAAAGTCGTGTGATAGATGTGGTACACCTATGTAGGAGCGCAAGCTGAGCGCCGAAGGCGTGTTTATCTGCGTCTGCAAGCACATTAGTCGTCAATTCCTAACCCTTTGGCAAGCACCATACTCTTCTCCACATCACCACTCTTGATTTGTCTAGCATGGACATGCTTCCTTTCCACCAGTCGGGGGTTGCATCGGCGTCCAACATCGGCGAGAACGGTTTCCACGTCCTGGATATCGCGGTTCATAGCCACAATTGTCTCGGCAGTTCCGACCAAATCACGGTATCTCATTCTATAAGGACGCGCACCATATCAGCATCTTTCTAGGCACTCCGCAGACTCAATCACTTACCCCACGAGAGCTCGGAGCTTCTCCTTATTGCTCGCAATGTCCCGGCGCAACTCCTGTTCCACACGGCGAACCGTGGGAATCGGATACTGAAAGGCATCATGCCATGACTTCAGGCTTTGAGGATCAGGTGCCTCGGGGGCCATGCTGGCGGGATGTACAACGAGATGCGAGCTTGACACGGAGAACAAGTAATGCCAACGCGATTGATGCCTTGGCGCCTGAGTTCCTGGTTACTCAGCCTGCCTTATCAGCACGTGATTCAGAAAAATGTCCCCGCGATCTTCCCCTCGGCGGTTGAACTTCTGTTCATGCAGAAGATGTCCAATATGCCGTCGATTGATCCCGAGACTCTGGTGGAGTCGTCATCTAATGACCTACCGGACCGCCTGCCTTTCCCGCCAACAACCTACTCTCACATCCTCCATTGCTCCTACCACGACTGGCATCCCCGGTATGCTTTTAGATATGACTCAATGCAAACTGATCTGACTGAAAGTACATAGATACCGCACACTCGTGCCTAAATCGCGCTGCATTCCTTTAACAACCGCTTTCGTAAAATACCTCCGCGCCGACGGCATCGTCCTCCCACCCGAAGCCGCTCCTCCAACCGACGATGATAACCTGGACACATTCTCCGACTCCGGCGAAGAGGAAGCCGATCCCTCCACCGAATGGGCGGGGATTCACACCCAGATAAAGAATACCATTGCTGAATTTGGCGGCATTGTCACCCCAAAGTTGAACTGGAGTGCTCCTAAAGATGCGACCTTCATGGCCGCCACAAACGACACCCAATGCCGCACCCCGAATGACATATATCTCCTTCTGAAAAGCAGCGATTTCATCACCCATGATCTAGATCACCCATTTGATGACTGTGTGCCGGACACAACAAATGACGATACACCCACGTCCACTGTTGACTCTCCCTTGCCGGAGGTGCCATATCACTTGGTCCTCCGTAAGTATGTCAACTTCAACCCGTCCCTTGAATTCCGCTGCTTCGTGCGCAACCGCGTACTGCTATGTATGAGTCAGCGTGATCAGAATCACTTTGACTTCCTCTTCCCTATGCGCGACATGCTCCGGTCCCGGATTCAGTCATTCTTTGATGAAAAGCTCAAGGACAGCTTCCCCGAACCTAACTTCGTGTTCGATGTATATATCCCCGCACCTCACCAACGTGTCTGGCTGATTGATGTGAACCCGTGGGCACAGCGGACAGACCCGTTGCTTTTTAGTTGGTTGGAGATCCTGAACATGAAGGATCCCATTGGTGTGCAAGAGGAAGATGATGGAGCTGAGGAGTTTGTGAGAATTTCATTCCGTGATGGCAGCATCATTACTTCGGGAACCGCGGAAGAGCTTGACGATGGAGATTCAAGCTCCGCATCGGAGGAAGAGAACGATGACCCCGAAAAGGACGATGAACAAGCCCCCTTCCTCCCAGAATTCCGTCTTATCAAGAAGGATGATCCGGAAGCATATGCGTTTAGCTCAACACAGTATTCGGCTCATAAGGTGCCGAAGGAGTTGGTGGATGCTTCGCTTGCTGGACCTGGCGGCATGAGCGAGTTCATGGGCAAGTGGCACGAGATTCTCAAGCAGCAAGAGCAGGAGGATCAAGCCGCGGGTAGTGACTCGGATTAAAACATCTATGTCTCAGGGCGTTGTCTAAAAGCATTATGGCGTTTGGCTAGAGTAGGAATATGACAATTATGGCATTGCATCGTGAATGAATACAACAATTTACGAAATTTCCTCATGCAGTATATCCTGAAAAGAATATATTCATATCCGAAAGTATAACCCCTACGAGCTATATACAAAATCATACCATACCACCTCAAAGCTTATGCTTCTTCTCGCCAGTAGCCAACTTCCGGAACTCCTCCTGCGGCAAACCCATCATAAACCGCTCAAGCCCCATAAACGCCTCAAGCCCATTCTGACGATCCAAAAGCTCCCTCTCAGGCCGCCTAACAAGTTCCTTAATCTTAAGCAAACTAGACTGATTCAAATGCGTCCCAAGCCTCTCCTCAACCTCTTCAAGAACAAGCTTCAAGAACCCATCGGAATCTTCCTTATTACCACTAGCCGGCGCAAACACCTTATTAACAAACCCAGCAGCAACAAGTTCGTCACAGGTAATCCGCTTGCTCATGATAAGCGCCTCGTTCGCCTTGGCAATACCAAGCCGCTCGACGAAAGCGCGGCTGGCGCCGCCTTCGGCTACAAGGCCGAGCGAAGAGAAGGGTGTTAGGATGAATGTGTGTGGAGCTGCGTAGATGAAGTCTGCGTGGGCAACTAATGCGGCTGAGAGTCCGACTGCCGGCCCGTTCAGGGCGACCACTAGGATCTTGGAGTGGGTGTAGAAGGTGCGGGTTACGTCGACGTTGTTGGCGACGAAGCCGCGGACCAGTTCACGGCGGCCATTGCCGCTTAGGTCGCCATTTGGTCGGGAGCTGGTTACGTCGGCGCCGCTGTGGGTTGGATGGTGATGGTCAGTTTATTATACTTGTCAATTGGTTGTGGTTGTGGATATTTGGGTGTTAATTGGGGTACATACGCTGAGAAGAATCGGCCGGTACCGGTTAGGACAGTGGTGAAGATGTCTTCGCGCTGGTCGATCTCGCGCAGACGCTCGGCGAGTAGGTAGTAGAGGTCTTGGTTGAGGGCGTTTAGCTTCTCGGGTCGGTTGAGAGTCACGATCGCAACGCGATCTTGGTAGGTGACGGTGATGAGCTGTTCGTTCGACATTATTGTAAGTGAGGAAGAGAACAGGAATTACAGTCCCGTCTAGATATAAATGTACTTTCGGTATTGATTATTTTGCGGGGAGCCGAGGCCCGCGGTATGAATGGCGCCTGAGAAACGAGGTGTCCGTTTGTTCTGTTTGCTCACATAATCAGGCCCGTGACTGGCTGTGGTGCCACTCAAGTTGAAGATCATCGCAAATATTTGGTGCTTTCACTTGATAGCAGAAGATCAATTGCAGATTGCAAACGTCGAAGCAATCTCATCGACATCCAATTCCCTCACCTCCGCACCATCCGAATACTTAATTCCGTCTAGAAAAAGCACATCAGCAAAACACATACCCAAAACCCGCTATGTCACAATTCATCCGCAAGCTGCAAGGCGGCAACCTGGAAGTCTTCAAGGTAAATAGCAGCCAAGCACTAACTCCAAAGAAAACCAAATCTCACACATCCGTCTCGCTAGTTCGGCATGTACGTCCTCTTCCCAATCGGCTGGATGTATTATTTCGGCACGAACCTCGACGACCGCTTCGCCACAAAGAACTTCTGGCCCACTGCCGAGCAATCGAACAAAATTCCGCTCGATAAGGAGGAGATTGATCAGGAATTAGCGCGTATGCGGATGGTTGATTCTGTGCGGAGGGAGCGGAGGGAGGCGCAGGCGGCTCAATTCGCCGCTGCTCAGGCACAGGAACAGGCACAGGCACAGACACAGCAGAATGAGCAATGAGTACCGCAGTGCTGAGGGTTATACTAGGTGGTATGGGTGAGTGGAGTGGGTGGCATGCACTGGGATATGACATGCGCGCGCACTATCAAGGTCTCTGGGAAGAGTTGGGTCTTGCAACGCGGCAATTGGGACATTCCCTCTCTTCGCTGTGAAATGACCGAAGGGGGACTGGCATCGCGCTGGGAGTCACGTGTGCTGATGGGAGTTAGCGTTACTTGTACAACACTCTACTCTGGGCATCGAAGGCGTTCTGGGGTTCTGGTTTTTCGTCATGGTTATATCAACCATCTACATATTCTGTATATCATCCAGATGGACAAGTCTGCAAATACCAACTTGAATCATGATCACGTTCCAATGATAAGATAAAGGTATCAATCGGTCACAGGCGTAATCCAAGCCAGGCAAGGCAAGTCTATCAGCCCGCGGCACGAGAGACCCCGAGAAAATAAACGACAAGAATTATTAATAATGCGATGTGCCGCACTGCGACAATGCAAGTTATAGGAATGCCCCTAGTTCCCAGAACACAAGAACTCCAAGAAGCGCCAGCCAACTAGAAAAGGGATATGCAAGGGTTCCCATGAAAGTGTAGACATGGGCCTACACCCAGGGCATTAAGAGCATATCCACTCTTAGCGGCGAGAGAGAATGCAAATGCAGCAATTTCCCTTATCGGGCTCACAATTCAGCCATGCGGGCAGTCGTGGCTGCGGCCGCGTTCTTTGCGGTTTCGTACACCATCTCTCCCATTTGTGTGGCGGTCTCTCCGAAGATGGAACTGACTGACAACCGGCTAGAGCTGAACAGGCGCTCGCCGGCCCAGTAGTAGTAGAGGCGGCCGTAGATGGCGCGGAGGTGGTCGGGGAGGTAGATGTAGATTCCGGCGGTGATCATGGTGATGAGCGTGAGGAGTAGTGTGTCTGAAAAGAATAGAGGGTTAGTCTTTCGTACTCGAAGATATCTGGACGGTGGTGAGGGACGCAACGTACTGAAGATGAGTTTCTCGATTGGCGTCAGCATGTAGATCGCAAAGGTCACCTCATACTGGTAGATCTTGAGGCGCACCCATCGGATGAGAGTGGCAATGGCCCAGATGATGACCTCCATTGTTGCGGGGTTATCGAGGGAATTGGAGGATGGCCTGGTCTTTGGTGCCTGGCGCGAAGAGGATCGAGAAGCGGTTCGTTCGATTTTTCCTGGGTTCTCTGGATCACCAACTCACGCTGCGTATGAGCGTGCGGAGTAGATCAGGTGGAAGTCAAGGCAGACACTTTGCAGTCTGTGTTGCAAGATGGAGTCTCGTGTCGTGCAAAGAACGATGTTTTAGTCAACACGATTCGGGGAGGCTGAGGAAGCGGCCGAGACCACCGGAGATCGCGGAGAGGTGAGCGGGTACTCAGGGGCGATTTTAGGATCGGAGAGTGTGTGTGTCGAAAAGCCGACGTGAGAGGGGCAGGTTGCTATATAGGTGGGTTGACGATCATGAAGAGATTCGAGGTTGGGGGAACTGCAAAAACTTTCCCCTGTCCGTAGATCGTGTGCCATGTATCTTGTACCTCGGGTTCCCGCCACTATCCGCCTAACCGCCAGGTAGTTAGTACTTGTTTGAGGTTGACATCTCACCAATTACTATAATTTGGCCAACATATGTGACCAAGTTTGTCCACGGTCATTATTTAGATCAATCCATTCCAAATAGTCTACTGCTTGTCAATTGTACGTGTACCTGGAGCGGGTGCCTCACTTTGCAGGCAGGTTTCATAGATTGACTCTCGAGTTCTTCAATACAACCAAATCCAATTGCATACGCGGCTCTGCTAGTACTAAGAGCATAACAGTGCAATCAAATATATATCTAGCAGGTAATGTTAGATCTGTTTCAACTTCCGTATAAAGTGCCAAACTTCGCGATACTCCCTTATCGCTTATCAGCCAACCTCAACCTCAATAACTTCACCTCCAACAACCTCCAAACAGCAACAATGCTCCCACGCCTCCGGGGCTCAGCGTCCCAAATAGCAACTCAAACCCGCCTCTTCAGTCAAACCCCAATAACACCCGCAAAGAACCTCCCCCCACGTCTAAAAATCAATGACGCAGACCTAACAATATCCTACCTAAAAGGCACAGGACCAGGCGGACAGAAGATCGTACGTTCCCTCATACAACTCAACGAACCCCTACAAGCAGACCCAAGTCCAAAACAAACCACACCAAAACCAACACTAACATCCCCAGAACAAAACCAACTCAGCCTGCCAAATCAGCCACAAACCCAGCGGGGTAGTAATAAAATGCCAAGCGACACGGTCCCGAGCCCAGAACGAGAAGATTGCGCGGTCGTTGTTAGCGGATCGGGTTGAGGCGCTGTTGAAGGGAGATCAGAGTCGGGTTGCTATTAAGGCTGAGGCGGCGAGGAAGAAGAAGGCTAGTAAGTTGAAGAAGACTAGGCGGAAGTACCGGGAGCTGGGGGGGAAGGAGGGAGATGGGGATGGGAATGGGAAAGTAATGGTGGAAGAGGAGATACTGGAGGAAGAGGGGGAAGTGGGAGAGCAAGGGAAAGAAGAGAAGAAGGTCGAGGTTAAGACTCGGATTGTGGAGGAGTCTAAGGGGTCTGGGAATGGTGTGTGATATACCACTTTGCTTTTTTGGGTTTTGTATAGTAGGTCTACTGGGATACTGGAATGGTGTCTAGGCGTTTTGATAGATTAAGATGCTCTCAGGAAACTGCATCAATAAGCATTTATTTCATGGATCTAGGGTCTCATAACATGCGTGGGGTGGGGGTAACAGGGAAGATTTGCTCGATTGAAGAGAGCACAGGCGCATAGATGGAACTTTTTTTTCGTTTCTGAAGCGGAAGCAAAGCAACAAATCAAGCCCAATTTACGAAATGTAGCTACCCAACACCTTACGCGGCTCGTCTTCGAGACGCTGTTGGGCGAACTGCGACACACGACCATTATGCTTGGTGTCGGCATCCTTCAGGTATGAACCAACCCAAGCCTTGAGGTCGGCACCGGTCTCGGGCCAGGGGTCCTTTTGCTCGGCGCGGATGGTGTTGAGAGGGGTGAAACCAACACCGAAGGACATGTCCTCGATGTCGGCATCGGCAATCAGATCATCTCTGCCGACAGGCAGTGGGGGAAGCTCGAGGAGCTTCAGCAAGGCCATGCAGGTGAGTCCCCATCCCTTCAGAGCATAGGTAGTACTAAACTCTTGCGAGTTGGCGAGGGTCTTGGTGAAGGATATGATGGCAGTCTTGCGGTCCAAGGGCCGGGCAAGCTTCTGGGTCTCGGGCAGAATGACGTGGAGGTAAACCTGCTTGAAGAGTCTAGAAAGGAGTTAGCATTAATGCGATTTGAGAAAGGAGGATACGCACCCTGCTTGAACCTTGTCTGTGACGTTGATGAAGAAGTCGGCGCTGTAGCCCTTGTCGTCATGTGCCGAGATAAAGTGGAAGAAACGGACAAAGCGCATGGTGAGGTTCTCAGTCTTGGAACCTTGCAAACGCTGAAGAACGATCTGCATGATCATAATGAAGTAGTTCTCGAGGGCAGATCTGGGCAGATGTTAGTTGGTTGTCGATTGGGGGGCTGTAAAGGTACGTACGGTGGGAAGTTTGCAACAACTGTCTCCAATAGGTCAAATCCAAAGCTCTCGTTGGCCTTGGTGGAAACCAGCTTCTGGAAGATACCAAGTATGGGCTCAATCTGATTGTGCTCCATGATGTACTGCGAGCCACGGGGAATGACCGAGGAAAGCAGGCGGACCAAAGCAGGGATGTTTCCCTTTGAGTCCCACATCACAGGCATCAGGATGGGACCAATGAGCTCCTGGTAGTAGGTGGGAAGGGTTGCAGACGAGTTGGCCTCGAGAAGGGCCGCGAAGAGTTGGAAAACATAAGGAATGAATTCTTGCACATCTTCCTGCAGGATGCTGGCGAAGGGGGCATAGAGAGCCTGTTCGAGCTTGTCTGGGTTGGCAGGAGCAGCGAATCGGATGAAGGCACCCATAGCCTCGAAGTGGAAGTAATAGAATCGGGGGTTACTAGGGTTCTTCCGAATGATCTCAGTGATGTTGATGAGTCTTTGAAGAACGACATCCGCGAAAGGCACAACGCCCTCCTTGACAACGACCAAGACTCGCATGACACATCGCATCAAGAACTCGTTCTCTTGAACCTTCTCAGGAGCCGGGTTGTTCTGGATAAGCTGGAAGATGTGCTCCAGGAGGTCCTTGGCCAGCGGTGTGATCTCAGCGGGCGAAATCACGGGCTGTCCCTGGCCATCGCTGAGGAACAGCACACGCTCCAGAGCAATGGCAGCGTATGTGTAGACAACAAAGTTAGATGATGCCAAGTGGTTCACCAGCACAGGAAGAACCTGTTGCCACTGCTCCTTTGTGATAATACTTCTGAAGCTGTATAGATACTTGATGGCATCGACCTTGAGAATAGGGTGAACACCAGTGTCGGAGATCAAATCAGCGGCAAGGTTCTGCTGGAAGTAATCGGCAATGCTGACCAGCGGGTTGGTGACAGTAACGCCGTGTGTCGAGGTTGCAGTACCCTTGGCAGCGATAGCAGAGTAAAGGTAAGTCGCAGTGTCCTTGGCCTTCCAGTTGGATGGATCCTTGGCATATTCGGCCAGGTAGTGCTGAGTGTACTTCAAGACAACCTGGGTCACTGAGGACTCAAACTTCTCCGCCAGCCGTCGTAGGAAGTCAGTGGCAGCCCGGCGTCTGGTCTCACTGTCGGATCCTTCCAAATCCCGACGAATAAACTCAATGGGTTCATCCTCAAACAGCTCCTCATCAGACTCACGCAAGCTCACGTTCGGCAAGATGACCTTCTCAACGATCTCAGCCTGGACACCCTCGGCTTGGAAAACCTGAGACTGCTCTGGCATGCTTGCGACAGAGCTCAAGAAGTGCAGTGCTCGGCTGACCAGGATATCGTACTTGGTCTCCTGACCAATGGTTGTGAGGAAGCTCCACGAGCTCTGAATAAACTGCTCAACGTGAGGCTGGAACGCATCCATGTACTTCTGAGCGTAAAGGGTCAACGCCTCGAAAATTCCAGCGCGGACATATTCCAAGAGACCAGCCTCAGTCTCGTCATCCGTGTGCAATAGCTGGTTGTCGTAGGTCAGGTATTTGAGGAAAATCGCGGCGATTCCAGAGATGTTGTCTTCGAACATGGGAGGGAGATCGTGGCAGGAGAGATCGTAGAATAGCTTAACCATCAGGTTGAGCTGAGTGAATCCTTGGGTCAAGTTCTCTTTGTTGGAATTGTTTTGTACAAGGTAGTTATCCAGAGCCTAAAAGATTGTTATTATCCAGTCCAGTCGAGCAAATGGGAAGAAAATGGGAGATACCTCAAACAGGGCCAGGAACGGAGTGCCAAACTTGCCAAGAACATGGTTGATCTCCGTATAAAGCGCATCGGACTGGAACAAAGGTCTCCATCTCTTGAAAATGGAGTGCGCGACTTGGAGCACACCAATGTTGACGGTAGGGTTGGTCGGCGACAGCTTGGAAACGAGATCCTAAACAGGCCAAAGGGTCAGCATTGCATCACCACGCTAGATTGGACAACTTACATCCACGAGAGTTTGCCACTGCTCCCAGAAGTCACTGTCGGCGATCACACTGATGGCCTCACCCAGCTGGCTCTGAATGCCTGGAGGGACCGAGATCATCAAGGTGATCAACTCGCGCTTGAGGGTCTCGACCTCATTGCTCTGCAGCTTGTGGTTTCCATCCTCATCGGTCCAGTTCCGCTTAATGAAGTTCTTGAAGCAAAGAGCACTAGCAAGGCGTGTGTTGTAGGGCGTGGCATCCGATGCGGTAATGTGAAGAAGCTGTAGCGAGAATCCAGGTTTCTGTTCTTCCTGTCGAAGGGCGGTCTCGGCTGGAGTAAACGAAGATCAGTCAATACTGCTTCCAGCATCCAATCGGTCTGCCCACTTACCTTCCTTGTTCCTTCTGGGGTCCAAGCTTGCCTCTAACAGAGCTCCAAGACCCTCCGCCATCTTGTACGTGGGGTATCAACAAAAGTGAGGGGAATAAGAAAAAAGGGCAGGAGAAGAGATGGCAGAAGAGGTGGCAAATGATAGGTACTTATGTATGCCGAAGTGGAGGAGAGATGGCAATCACAGACAAAAAAGTTATCGCTCAAAGGACAATAATAAATAACTGATAATTGTACGGGCAGCCCACATCAACACCCTAGGCCGGATCTGGTTTAGCACGTCACATGCTTGAGCCTCATGCCTCAGGCGTACATTTGCGTAACGAAGTGAAGGTTAGTTACACATTTCTACTTAACGTTAGTTGTTTGATTTGTTCTTTTTTGCTTTTCGACTTCCTTCCTGTCCATTGTCACTACTAAAAGTAAAGTCCGCCGGTAGTACTGTCAAAATACCAGAGAACATATATTTGCCCACCTCAATATCCTTATCACTATAAAAGCAAATGAGTTTAATATATGAGAAACGGTATAATCCATCATATCAGTTCACATGTCCAGTTTATGTATGATTTTTATATCTTTCAATGGTTTTTACGTTTCGGTTGAGTCCTCTTCATGTTTTAGAGTTGGGAGATTTCCTAAGCTAAAGCGAGCTCCCTCATAAACCAATGGAAACCGATGGAAAATTACAGTTAGATTGCTATGTATAGCTTCACATTATTTAGGGACATCATGAAAGTAAGTGAGGTTGGGTCACATAAGGATGGAGTATCAATGGATTCCTTATACTTGGTGGGGCAAAGAAGCTATTGATCTTACTATGGCAGCATACAGTATATAAAAGTCAAATGCTAGTAGAACACAGCCTTTTATGGCTAAAGTGTACACAAAATAGGTTCAGCTGTATGTCGATTCAACCTTTTGTTTGTAGACACTCCCCCATTAACGTCACTTCATTTTTCCTATTGAGCGTAATTATCATAAAGGTATGTACACATGGGCTAACTGGATAACCGAACGGGGTTGCAGTTTTTGATGCAACCTAAGCATTTTCCTTCAGCTCGACTATCACCTTTTCCTCCGGCCTCGGAATATGCACACCTGGCACATCTCCCTGTGGAAGCTTCCTCGCCATCGACACAATATGCCAAGGGGAGGGGGCATCGCGGAAAACGTAATTCAAGGCCTCGAGGTTGCGACCCATTGTTTCTGGGTAGAATAGATATACCGTGACAGGAATACACGCCGAGATAACGGCGTAGATGATATAATATTTCCATCCAATCGTGTCGAGCGCAACAGGGGTAATCATCACGACGATAAAGTTCCAAAGCCACTTATTTGCCGTCGATGCGGACGACATAGCAACTCGCAAACGCATTGGAGCGACTTCGGTGCAGTAAAGGAAGTTTGCGCCGGAAAAGCCAATTGGGTAGAACATGTTGAAGAGCCAGATGAAGGCTACGGAGACGATTGATAGTCCCTTGGAGGCATTATCAAAACTTGTCGTGATGGCCAACACTATCATACAGAGAGACATGCCGGCACCGCTGACGATGAATACCTTGCGCCGGCCTAGACGGTCAATCGCGAAGAAGGGAATGAAGTTGCAGACGAGTTTCCATGTCAGTGCACTGGCGCCGAGAATCCGAGACAATTCTGCGCCTAGATGCAGGTTCTCCTCGAAGATTGTCGAGATATAAGTAGAGATCAAGTTGCCGCCACACATCTGCTGGAAGAATTGAATGACGAGGCAGAGAGTGAATCGGTATAGGAGCCGTTCCTCATCACTTCCTAGAAGTAGCTCTCGCAATGTGAGGCTTTTTGACTGCGCCGTGAGTTCCAGCGATGATTCTATAGTGGCAATCTCCGTCTGCACTGCTTCATCATCTGCAGAGAGGCCTCGGTATGCTGCTAGACTTTGTGCTGCTTCGTCCGTCCTAGATACAAAGACCAGCCATCGTGGTGATTCGGGTAACAGAAATACAGACCCGAGAATAGTCAGGGGGAAGAGAAAAGACAGTGCTAATGGAACACGCCACTGCGTTTCACCAGTCGCCTTGCTGAAGCCGTAATCCACCCAATTGGTGATCACGAAACCAAGCACCATGCAGATTCCATCGACCACGACGTGTTGTCCACGATGCTTTGCAGAGCTACATTCGGCTTGCCATACCGGAACAGTAGCGCTGAGTTGCCCGATGCCAATACCAAGGATGACTCGGCCAAGGGTAAACTGAATGATATCGTAGGAAGATGTCTGTAGCAGTTCCCCAATGATAGTGATGATAGCAGCCATAAATATGGTCTTCCGTCGGCCAAGGCGATCACCAAAGTAGACGCACGAGAGTGCTCCCACGAGGGCCCCCAGTTGAAGAGATGCAATGACTGCACCCTTCCTTGTCGAGTTTGTTTTCTTGATTGCACCCTTGGTGTTGAGTGTGTCAATCTCCGGGAAATGGGTGACCCTAGGAGTTGGTCAGTCTTGTCACTTATTCCAATGTCAATTTGCCGAAGAATATTACCATGACTGCAAACTAGCAAGCGGTGCTACTCCAGCTTGATTGTATCCGTAGCTGATGAATGCAGGTGCTACAGTGAGAAGCAGCTGCGCGAGATGAAGCGTCTTACCCCGAAGCATGGTGTCGGAGATAGGTACAGGCAAATTGTGATGTCAATCCTTTTGCTCCAAGGGCGATCCCCATTTTATATCTTTACCTCAATCCAAAAATCTGGGGACCCCAGAATCTATTTCCTGGAGACAAACTCAATTCGCCACACGTGTGGGTTGTTGACCTTCCGCGGAACATAAGATGCCGTGGCTCGAAATGAGTCACGAAAAGCCAATTCCGGGTTCTATCGAGTCTACTGTGTTTATTTCCCTTTTTAGCACGTCCTATCCCATTGCATACTCGGGTGTCGCGCCGAGGTCGGCCCTATACCGATGCCTGTGGTCATATCAGCTACTAATAGAACTTTAACGTTAACGTTATAGTCACCCCCGTCGCTTTGAACACCGTCAGATATCAGTATTATATCATTTTAATATCTGCCTACATTGCAGTCCCAGTATATTTTTACTACCCCCGAGATCATAAACCGCAATGTAGACGCTGTTATCTCTGTGGCTATGTCTCACGATACACCTCGCCGTGGCATATCGTTGTTCTGGTCCGTACTCTATCCCCAGGGAAAATAGCTGGGGTTTGTTTTGGACAACTTTTAAAAGAGGAGAAGATTTGAGCAAAAGTCGGCAATGCATGAACGGGGAGAGGGCAAACCAGCGCGTAGATATCTAAAACAAAGTAACCATATGCAGGTCAAATCAACCAGATAGTTTGCCAACCAACTAAGCATCTATCCTTCAAATTTGCCTTTCCTATGGTCACTACCAATTGCCTGCACAAAACTTTGAGACCGGCGATCAAGAGAATATAGGGGAACGGGGCCGGCCATGGTGTACCGTATCCACGGAATATGAGATGCCGCGGGTTGGCTTGAGCGGGCACGGAAGTGACAGACGGAGCTTTGGCAAGAGAATGGCAGAGGCAAGGCGTGAAAGACAGAAAATGGTATAATATTTGGTCAAGCTATTTATCGTGGCACTGCCCGCTAAAAGCCAGAGAAACCACCTATGCGAGGGACCCAGCATCTACGTAACATCATGACTAGAGCAACCTCATTCACTATCACGGAGCCTCCCGTGCTACACAATATCCATCAGATCAATGGAAAACTTTCTTCGCCATCAAGAAAGGGATTTCCTGCGGTTTGGATGAGATCTGGCACTTCAAAGGGTCTCTTCATCCACCAGAAAGACCTCCCGGAATCTACTAAGCTCTGGGAACCAATTCTGGTATCTGCCATGGGATCTGCAGGAGGAAATGCGAGACAGATTGACGGGGTGGGCGGTGCTACATCTACAACTTCCAAGGTAGCAGTCGTTGCAAAATCTCAAGACCCCAACGTTGATGTCGAATACACGTTCATCCAAGTAGCGCCAGATCAGGCCAAGATTGACATGACTGGAAACTGCGGCAATATTGCCTCTGGCGTGGGACCTTTTGCGCTTGACGAAGGGATTGTGAGGGCGACTCCGGGACAAACGGAGGTGAGAACATCTGCGCTCCAATGGACGTCGGTCTAATTGCAACTTACTGATCGATGTATTCAGATCGATATTCGGATCCTCAATACCAACACTGGGCAGACATTAGTGGAAACAGTCCAAGTGGCTCCCGGCGGAAGTTTTCAAGAAGATGGCGACTTTTGTATTCCCGGTGTCCAAGGCACATCGAGTCCTATAAAGGTCGCATTTCTAAACCCTGGGGGCAGCATGACGGGTCGGATGTTTCCCAGTGGGGTACCGCAGGAGATTCTGACTGTTGATTCTCTCTTTGCGGGAACATTTCAGGTGCGAGTTAGTCTGGTGGACGCTGCAAATCCCTTTGTCCTCGTAGACGCATCTTCGATTTCCATCAAGGGCTCCTTCTCTTGGCCAAACCAAGATGAGCCTGCTTTCCTGTCTATCGTCGAAGATATCCGCCGTGCAGGGGCTGTGCAATTCGGGTTGGCTGAGAATTTAGAGACAGCGGGTCAAGTGCGAGGGACGCCGAAGATTGCTTTCTTGTCTCCGACGGCTGAAGAAGACGAGGATTCAGATCTTCAGGTCCTTGCTTTCACCATGGGAAAGCCCCATGCAAGCCTCCAGTTGACTGGTGCAGTGTGCCTCGGAGCGGCTGCATCGATTCATGGAACGGTTGCGTGGGACTTGGCAGGAAGGAAAGGAATGAACAGAGTGCCGAAGCATGGGATGTCTTTGAACGGCCATGAAATTGCGTCTCCATTGCCCACCGGCATTCGACACCCTGCTGGGGTAATTTTCGTGGAGACAATGTTGGGAATGGATCAGAAAGGGAAGGTTAACGTGGATAAAGTGGCGGTCTTTCGAACGGCGCGCCGGCTTTTTGAGGGCAACGTGTTTTACCGAGAATAATAGAAGGAATTACTGCTTTAAGCTGAGACCTATAGCGTATAGAATAGCTCCACGCATTAAGTTTCAGAGAAACAAGAAGAAGGTCCATTGAGAGCAACTGTCCCAGCAGAAGCCCATATCTTACATTCGAGTCCGTCCACGAGGAAAGAATCCGGGTCCAAGATGTAAATTTGACGAGGGATGAAGCAGTTCATTTGATCACGCTACATTTAAGGAATTATGGACGTAATTTCTCCGAGCTGGTTATTCCATGGCTGCTTTCTCCCTGGAGCAATACCGTGGAGAAAACTTTATGGAGATTTACACTGTCCTATTTCATGATTTATCTGTAGATTACTCGATAAAGCCACTGCCAGCATAAATATCCGATCTATTTTGTTCTGCTTTCTATAAATTTCTAAAATCATCTATGTGCACCGGGAGACAATATGGCCGATACTTCTTCATAGACAGAGAACACGATGCCACCGCTTAAAAGGAGCCGACCAAGTCGCATAGAACTGCCCTTCCAGAAACCACGGACCCCATAATCGCGAATCACACTCCGGGAGGCCTCAACGACCCCAACTCCCTGGACACCCTGAGCTCGTGTCTTGATCGTATCAAACGGTTGCGTGGCGTAGACAGTAACCACACCTGCCACGGCACCGATGCCAAAAGTCGTGAACACATTCGTCTTAACGTTCTTTGCTTTAGCAGTCTCCTTGAGGACATTGTACGTCCCCATACGAACTGCAGATGTGGCAGATTGCTTCATCGCTGTGGACAAAAGACCTCGATAAAGCTCCGTGATACCATGTCTTTGGACCAATAGTTTGGTCGCATGCAGACTAGATTTAAATTGTCGAGCCCCTTTCGCATCGTCAATTCTGTGTTGAAATCAGTCAGCGTGGATGTCAATGTCTCTCAAGGATACAGAGGATCCATGATAGGGGGCCACGGACAGTGCGGTCTTGATTCTCTCCGTAGGTGTCACTGCCAGTACACTTTCTACTGCCCCTGCAAACATTCCAGCCAACATACCCCGGCCGGGTGAGAGGACACCATGGTCATCAGTGAGGGAATTACGGATTGTATCGTACGACACAAACCGGACAGCAGCTTTCGCCGTGGTTCCCTAATTTCAGATCAATATGAGGTCAGGCTCGAGGCAAGATTCAAAACGGACGATAACAAGAGTTGAACAGCCCGTGTACAACGCACCAACACCTTCCTGCTTTGCAACCTGGAAGATGAGGCGTAGTGGATTAGACGTCCGAACAGCGCTGTTGTCTAACAACTGAACGCGAGTCTTGGAGTACTCGAATGGATACTGCGAGGGAAATCAGTGCCGCACAGGCTTGCGTGAGACTAAACACTGACCGTGATGGCTGCTTCCACTCCGCCTGCGATTCCTCCGGCCACGAGAGAGACCCATTGGGGCGTGTGAACCTGGACTGGGTTAATCGGGGTATATCTTTCCCGGGCGTGGGGTTATTTGATGAATTACCCGCGGTTTCTTTGTCTTGGGTTGCTCCGAGTGAGCAACAAGCGCAGCCATAGTGTGAAAAACGGCAACAATCAGCCGAATAGTGAGTGTGTTTGGCGGCTGTCTTATAAACTTCGGGACTTACTAACTTAAAGACGTTGGTTTGTGGGGAATTGTGGGGAACGGAAGGAGAGTTGCCGCGGAGTAAAAAAGCGACATTTCTCGTATATTCCCGTCTCAGCCCGCGGAAGACCAATTTGACGACTGCTTCTAAGATGGAAAGAAAGTCTCCGCCTAAGCGAAGGGCCGCCAAGGCCTGCGCATTTTGTCGACGCAGAAAGGCAAGCCGACTGAGGTGTCTCATGTGCCATGAACTAATGCAAGGCAGTTCCGTTGCGACAACGAACGTCCGATATGCTCCAACTGCAAGGCATACGCGCAAGAATGCGCCTACATATCAGGACCCGACAGGCCCAGGTACGTCATCGAATATACAGCCTTTAATACTATGTATCACTAAATGTTTGAAGACCAACAAAAGCTCGGCTATCCCAACTTGAAGCCGAGAATGAACAGCTTCGACGGCACCTTGGGCGCGTGGATCCTCGCTCGGAAGACAGACGAGATGTCACCGGAGGCAGTCCGTCTCAGCCACGACAGCAGATACAACATCCGTCAGAGATTCCGAGTACAGAAGCAAGTGCCGATCGATGCCAGTCAGCTGTATCGCGGATATTCATTTCACCAAACGGGGACTCGAGTTATCATGGACTCACGAGCACATTGTTCAACGATGCATCAACTGATCAGCATGGCCACCCTCGGTCTATAGATCCGCAGATACCGGTAGAGCACATTCGAAAGCAGTTGATCGGAGAAGCTGCTTACCAACGTGAGATCCCTGACCCGTGATTTCCAGGTCATTGCCACCGTCTAACAGCCAAATAGGGCAATTGGAAACATTGAACTTGCGACAAGGAAAACTGGACTTCGATGGAGTCGACCCGGAGCTTGGAATGCACCTCCTATCTCTACATTGGAATCGCCAGCATCATTCCTTCTTGATTACCTATCGCCCAGCGTTTATGCGGGATATGGCGACGGGTGGTCCCTATTTCTCCAAGCTCCTGCTGAACGCAATTTACTTCGGCGCGTCAAAATTCAGCAACCGTCCCGAAGTTCGTCGAGATCCCGATGATGTTCGCACTGCTGGATGGACATTCCGCCAGCGAGTTAAAGAACTTCTCGGTAGTGCTTTAGATCGAAGTGAGATCACCACGATTCAGGCCCTGTTGGTGATGACTAGTTCTTTGTTCGCATTGGGAGACGAACGCAGCGCTGCGTGGCTCTATGCAGGTACAGCATTTAGAATGATCATCGATCTCGGCATGCACGTTGATGCTACTATGCTGAGAAACATGCGGCGCCTCTCGGACGAAGATATTGAAATCCGTCGTCGAGTGTTCTGGGGTGCCTTTGTCGTGGATAAGATTCAATCTCTTTATCAGGGTCGTCCTGCAAGTCTACAAGAGTTTGACACGAAAGTCTCCCTGACACTCTTGGACCACTACGAAGAACTTGAACACTGGCAACCCTTCGCGTATACGGATGTACAGTCATACCCAGGGTCGCCCGCATACAGTGTCTCGACCTTTACCGAACTGTGTAAGTTATCGTTGATCTTGAACTGTATCCTGAACAAGGTCTACTCGGAGCGAAGCTCGAACCGGTCATCCCAGGAGTTGGTCACCACACTGGATGCTTTGAATGCACAACTCGAGGCATGGCATGAAAAGCTGCCAACACATCTACGGTTCGGCCCTTCGTCAACACAAATCACGCCACCACCTCATGTTCTTTCTCTTTTGGCACTTTACAATGTGCTGCTCATACTTCTCCACCGACCATTCGTGGCGGAAGGGCATCTCCACACGACCGATCCGTCCGTCGCCATCAGCTCGTTCACTACTTGCACGGCAGCAGCAGCTCGCATAATCCACATCCTACAAGCTTACGACCACACATTCTCCATTAGACGCGCACCCTATCTGATTTCCTATGCGACATATGTTGCCGCAACGATTTACGTTCGAGTTGCTGCCCAAAGGGAAGCAAGCAGTCGAGCGCATTCAAATCTTTGGACATGTCTTGACATTTTCCAAAAGAACCAAGCGACCAACTGGGCTGTCCGCCGGGCAAAGAATGTCATCGTGCATCTAATGGATCGCATGGGAGTTGATCTGAATGTCCGGCATAGGGAATATGAGGAGGCTCGATCGGATGATGACACCAGCGAGCAAGGACGGGCTTTACAAAAAGAGGTTTGTGCCAATAATGAGGGTGTCAGGCCGACTCCTTTGCCTACTCGGATGACACCACCGGAGACAGAGGTATCGGAGTTGGATATGGACATGATTATTCAGAGCTTTATTCGACAGCAAACGAGGACAAATGACGAACAGATGTTCGATGAGTCAAGTTACACTGCTTTGTCTGGTTCTGCAGTTCCTCTGGGGACGCCTAGTGTCCTTGCACCCTCCGTTCTTCCGGGGTACAATGATGCGTGTTTTGATGCACAGTTTGATGATGATATGTTATTTGGCTTTAATGGGTCTGTGCAGGATAGTATGCTGTATAAATAAGGAATTATTATCATTGTGTTATGATGTTGAATACCAGCACCCAACACAATTTACTTGCATTGCTTGTTATCGTTGATCGGGGGTCAACAGGCTTGAAGCAACTTTCGCAAAGACGAACCGTTGTGGCATAAGCCAGGGTCATCCAACTTTGATTATCTTACAAGTCTATCGTGATAATTGTGGTAATCAAATAAGTGTTGATTTTGATTGTATTCTCTATAAACGTAATATTTTGTCGTGACAAATACAGACTCCCATAAAACCATCAATATGCTTAGATAATAATGTTGGCAACGCCGTTAGCCAAGTCCATCTCCTTCGCCTGCGACATGTTCTTGACCTGATCAAAGCAACCAGCCGCAGCAGAGACGAAGCCAAGGAAGGGCTTGCTGGGTGCTAGAACACGAGAAATGTACTCGGGGTGGAACTGAACACCCACGAACCAGGGGTGCTCTTTCAGTTCGACAATCTCCATACGCTCACCAAGGTCATCCTTGCCGATGAAGTGGAGACCGGCATCCTGCAGCTTCTCGATGTACTCAGGGTTCACCTCGTAGCGGTGGCGGTGACGCTCATCGATGGAAGTACGCTCAAGTCCGTAGAGAGAGCGAAGCTTGGACCATTCGCTGTTCTCCTGGAAGAGAGTAGGGCGGGAACCCAGGCGCATGGTTCCACCGAGGTTCACCTGGTCGATTTCGGGCATGTACACCACGACTGGGTGGGAGGTACGCTCGTCGAGTTCGACAGAGTTGGCTCCCTCAAGCCCGAGGACATTGCGGGCGTATTCAATGACAGCAATCTGCATACCCAGGCAGATACCGAGGTAGGGCTTGTTCTTGGTACGGGCGTGGTGGGCAGCGCGCATCATTCCAACGGTACCTCTGGTACCGAAGCCTCCTGGCACCAAGATACCGTTGGCAGTGTGGACGTCATACCAGGCCTTGTGGTATTCCTTGGAGTTGGTCTCTTCCCACTCGGTCTCAAGGTGGGAGGCATCAACCCAGATAATGTTGAGCTTGCGGCGAGAAGCCATAGCCGCGTGCTCCAATGACTTGATAACGGACAAGTAAGAGTCGTGAAGAGACACATACTTTCCAACCAGAGCAATGTTGACTGTTTCAAAGGTGTGATCTTGCGCAGTCGTAAGGGTCTTCCACTGTTTCCAAGTGCTTTGACCCTTGGTCAACTGAGCCTGAGGGATCTCCACCTTGCTCATGTTGAGGAGGCTGCCCAGGACATTGGGGAACCCTTGCTGCTCGAGGAGCAGAGGAACGTGGTAGGTCGAGTTGACATTGTGCACGCCAATCACCTGCTCTGGCTCAACCTGGCAAAACATGGCGATCTTGTCGATGGTGGCCTTGTCGAGAGGCCGCTCGCAACGGCATGCAATCAGATCCGGACTCAAACCAGCTGAGCGAGCGTCCCGGATAGCCTGCTGGGTAGGCTTGGTCTTCAGCTCATCATGAATGACAGGAACCAGGGAAACGTGGATCTGGACAAAGTTGTTCTTGCCAGCGCGACGACGCAGCTGACGAAGAGCCTCAACAAAAGGAGCACTCTCAATGTCACCAAGAGTACCACCGAGTTCGATAACACAAACATCAGGCTCCTCATTGGTATCATCGGCAGGGGTTCTTGCCACACGCTCGATCCACTCCTGGATAGCGTCCGTCAAGTGAGGCACAATCTGGACCGTGCGTCCAAGATAGTCACCCCGGCGCTCCTTCTCGATCACATGCTTGTAGACCTTTCCAGTTGTGATGTTGTTATCTCTTCCAAGGGTTACTCCGAGGTATCTATAGTCGACCAAACTATCAGGTTCTCGTCGCTTGACTTCGTGTAACAGGGCAACAACTTACCGCTCGTAGTTTCCGAGATCGAGATCCGCCTCACCACCATCGTTCAGTACGAACACCTCTCCGTGCCTAAATCGCTATCAGGAACAATATTCAGAGATCGAGATTGAGAATCCACATACTCAGTTGGGGCCATGGTTCCCGCATCGACGTTCATGTAAGGGTCGATCTTGATGGAGGTGACTCGGGCTCCCTGAGTCTTCAGCAGCAAACCGGTACTCGAGGCTGCACATAGTATTAAAAAGGGGTTCTTCACTGCTCGATTGAAAGGATCGTACCAATCACGCCCTTCCCAATGCCACTGATGACACCTATAATACGCATATGAGTTACTGTTTCTTCAAAGGAGAATGAGTCATAAATACCTCCGGAGACCACGACGTACTTCATCCTGACGATGAGGTGAATAAAGCGGTCGAGACAAGAAATATGAGGACTGAGATTGATTTAAAAAAGAATCACGATTGCCACTAATAACCCTTGGGAAAAATAAATGTAGGGTGCCGTTCCTGGCTTCTGCCGGGGGGGGAAGAGAGAATGAAAATCGAAAAAAATGAAGCTGTAAATCGCTACCTGTGGTTCACCGCCCCCCACTTTGCAGATTTCCGTTCTGACTTTTTCTGCCTGCCCGATAGGCGGTGAGTAGCTCACGTGACAAAGAAGTGATGCACCTCACCGCCTAAAATTTTATAACCACATACATTTGGCGGTGAGATAAGTAGCATCAGGTGACTTTCAAGGTTGGGCTGGAATAACCTCATTTCCGGTGATCCCATAGCCCGCCCACCTGATTCCCCCTCAGTTGGCATCACATTACTTGCTTGTCATCGACCTGGTGGGGCTCCGGTGATATTCATCCTTTGTTCTTCACTGCCGATCAGTGTTGTTTGCTCTCGATACCTTCCGATTCTCCACTTCCAGCTCGTCAGCCGTTTCTGTCTATACATGTGGGAGTTCTGTTGCTAGCAGCTGCCCATGCGGTAAAGCGCTCTTTGTCGATTTGCAAAGGTAAAAGCCTCCCAATAACGCCAATGGAGGCGGATAATTTATCCGCCCATCGGCTCTACCATAAATGATGCCATATATACTGACTTGGTTCCTAGTTTAGACTAGACACCGCGTACACCTGAACTTATATCATCTCTGCCATTGGGCAGATGTCTTCCGAGGATGTTCCACCAGTACCTCAACACAAGCCCTCGTCTACTTTCGCAGATGTCTTCAAGACGCTAGGTGTCGGCCGACCCAAATCGCATTCCCCGGTTTCCTTGCAAGAAAGCAGTAGCGATTCGCTATCACATACAGACAGTCGCGGCGCCAATCGGCTTGTACACGGTCTCGAATCAATGCATCGTGGCAGTGTCGTGTCGAGTTCGTCGGACACTCCCAGTGGCCCGGACTTCGACACGTCCTTCCAAAACTTGTCGCAAACCCAAAACTTGACTCGGGCGATTGAGGAGGCCGAAAATTTATCAAAAACCCTGCCCTGGTTCAGCTCCGAGCAGTCCGTGGTGCTATGGGAAGCAGCCGAGTATCTCTTGCGTCATGAACGTGACTTGGATGCCCAGAGAAGTGGCGCCCAGTTACTGGAGGCAATCGCAGCACGTCAGGATCTGTCTCCAGCAGCTAGGCGCCAGGTGTTTGAATCGATAGCCGCCCCGACTGCGCCTGATGTGATTTCTGCGCGCGTGCAAGCCTTGATCTCTTTATCCGATCATGGCAGGAAATTGGATTTCACTAATTCTTCGATCCTCCATATCATCTCCTCATGGATTGTTCCTCTCTATGAAGTTATCGCATCAGCGCGATCGAAGGCAAAGAAAGGGAAGGTCATCAAACTGAACGGTATCAGTCAGGATGAAGCAGCCTTGGGAGATCTATTCCAGTTTGCAGTGGACCTGATCACTCTGCAGCGGAAGAAGCCAACTCAGGAGGAGATTGAAATGCTTCTCACAGAGTCGTTCACCACATGCAGGAGAACCAGCGTCGCAGCCGACATCAAAAACTCTTTGTCTGTATTTGATGCGGTGATCATGTATGCCGACGTACCTGATGCAAGCTTTCCAATTCTCCTGGAAGTCCTTTGCAGCATTCACGCATCGGTAAAGTCACTTTCTGGGCCCACATCTCGAGCGGTGCGCAGTCTAGCCAAGTCTCGCAGACAGGCAGAAATGGTGAACACTCTCCACAAGTTCTTAAGGGAATCGTGTGCTGTTGAACAAACTCGTAACATGAATGTGCTTCGTGGCACTGTTTACGTGTTCTCTGATTTTGTCCGTGCCTACGGTCAAGATGGCATGCCCCAGCTTCCCTTTGATCGGCTAATAGAGTCATTGCAAGTGATTGCCCAGAAGGACGATAGCCGGGTGGATTCAGACATCTTGGATTTATGTCTGAACATCCTAGAAGGAGACTATCTTCGTGTTGCCTTGGCACGTGATTGGAACGCGTTCGCCGACCTTCTCATATTGTGCTCTCGCAGAGTTGTGGAAGAGTCAGCCATATCTCCCATTTCAACGAGTTCCAAACCCACCGACGACATCAAATCCTACATTCTTACAAATCTCAATCTGATAGCTTCCATTCTTGAAACCCAGTGGGAACAACTCAACCAAGAGCAAAAGCAGCACGCTGGTCGGTTCCTCATGAAGAGCTACCAGCATATTGAGCCTACACAGGCTGAACTCATCATTCACTTGATGAGAGAGGACAAACTTTGTGAGCCCCGCGAAGATTTGGCCTGGGTTCGGCATTGCCGTGAACTTATTGAGCGATTTGTTCAGCCTCGTAAACAAAGCTCGGACATCCGCATTCTAGCCTTGGACACGCTGAAAGGAGCTCTTTCGGGTCATGAAGCTTCGATTTTCTCCCAGGAGCACGGTCTTCTCAACCTTTTGCTGAGAGATTTCTCGGCGGAGCATGATCTTCTTTTCCTGGAGTCGCTGGTCTCGTTGCTGACTGACCCGGCCATACAACATAGCGATGACGAAACGTTCAAGTTATTGATCGGCGTTATCGGAGCGCCAATGCAGGGGGACTCGAACCCAGACGACCCACGCGATACTTCAAGCTACGCATCTCCTCCCCGCCGTACATCCACCACGAGCGCGAGTGTTTTGGAGTTAAGTCTGACAAACGTCTGCGCTGTGGGTCTTGTGAAGATGATGCTTCGTGCCTTGAACCACTCTTCCACCAAAGCCGTGATGGTATTTGAGGCGCTCCTCGATATTGCACAGTCTGCAAACCGCCCGACGGACTCCCGACTCACTGTCCTGAAGCTACTCTTCCGACTGCGATGTGATTCGGCCGGGTCTGTGACAGTCATATCCACCTCGGAAAGTGACTTCCTGATGAACGTTTTGGGTCGAAACCTCGACGGTGGTTCTAAACTACAAGCCCCCGGCGATAGTCCTACCCGCGAAGCTCCCCAGCACGATCCATTCCCAGGCACTCTCAGCGGAAAGCTTCCAACAAGAGAGACATCGATATCGAAGTCGGCTCCGGGGCGTGGTTCTATCGCTGCCCGTGGATCGAAGCTGACTGCTCCATCGTGGACATATGCTCTCCTACAAGTACTTCCTGAGCAACCACCTGGGGAGTCCAGCCCTGTTGTCTTTGCATACACGCACCCGGAGGCAACCAGTCCGGAGTCAGCCAAGTTGAATGCGCCAGGACTAGGTACCACAGGAGTTTTGAAGGTCAAGATGTGGCTCGAGGTTGTAATCAGCCTGCTACAACGAGAGACCGACTGGGATGTCTACAGCTATGTTCTTACTCATCTGGGTCCTCAGCTTGGTAACAAAGACTTTTTCAGAGATGCCATTCCTCAAATCACGCTCTTGCGCAGCATTCTCTGTGATCAAGTCAAGAACGGGACTTTCCATGAACCTCCTGAGATCACTGGGTTGAAAAAGAGCGATGTAGCTGCATGTATCTTTGATGCGCTTTGTATGCTCGTCAGTTATCATCAGCACTTTGCCAAGAGTGAAGAGGATGATCTTGTTCGTGCTTTCATGCAGGGTATCATCGGATCATGGGGTGGTACCTCCCGCGGTTGCATCCAAGCCCTGTCACTCTGTTGTTATGAAATCCCCATGTCGGTGACTAAGTCACTGACCAGCATTCTTGATAGAATGTCCAAGGTGATCACCATGTCGAACATCGCTGTTCATATCTTGGAGTTCCTGGCTTTGCTTGCACGGCTACCAGATGTGTACGTCAACTTGCGCGAGGAAGAAGTCCGCACCGTGTTTGGAATTTGTATTCGCTTTTTGCAGACCTCAAGGGAGCAGCGATACAAAGCAGCTCAGTCGTCCCAAACTGCCGAGACTGCCGAACCCTCTCCGCAAGACGGCATGTCCAAATACATTTCCAACCTTACCTATCATGTCATGGTCTTCTGGTTCTTGTCTCTGAGACTGCAGGACCGTCCCAAACATGTGAACTGGATCACAAGCAGACTCATTTACCATGACGAACACGGCAAGGAGGTGGTTGAAGAACAAAGCCAAGTCTTGATTGATCTGATGCAGCGAGTTGCTTACTCGGATCTCGGAGAGACGATTCCTTTCGAAACATTCCCTCCTTCGCCTGAGGATGGTCCAGTTGCGAAGAAGTCCTGGGTTGTCGGTATGAGTATTGTCACTGTGGAGAGTGCTGGAGTATCTGGGATATCCCAAATCACAAAGCGCCAGGCATCAGGAACTACATATTCCGTCTATCAACAGCGAACTGCCCCGGTTCTGCCGCATCAAGTGCCTCCAACACTTGACGCCCATTTACATTCCGACTCCATGCATACAGCCGTCCTTCCAAGTCACATCATGCTCCAATTGACTGCGACTGCTTTCCCTACGCCAACGGTCATGCAGCCCATCCCGGTTCCGGAAGACGACATCACCCGCCGTGCGATCAGCAACTTTGATCGAACTGACATTGTGGATGGTCATCGTATCGGCATTGTCTACGTCGGTAATGCCCAGACAAAGGAGGCGGATATCCTAGCTAACACTGGGGGTTCTGCGGACTACGAGCATCTGCTGTCCGGGTTGGGAACTAAAGTGTCTCTTCGAAACCCTCAATTCAATCCGCAGGGATTGTATGCCGACACTGACGGAGAAGTCACCTACGCTTGGCGAGATCGTGTCACCGAAATTGTGTACCACGTTGCGACGATGATGCCTACGGACCTTGAGCATGACCCAGCTTGCATCAACAAGAAACGAAACATCGGCAACAACCATGTCACCATCGTGTTCAACCGATCCAACCTGCCCTTCAACTTTGACACAATCCCGTCCGAGTTCAACTCCATCAACATTGTCATCACCCCGTCATCTCGTATCGCTTACGACGAAGATGGCAACGCCAAAGGCGAAACCGACCCGCAAAAGCTCTTCTACAGCGTACATGTCATGAGCAAGCCTGGATTCCCTGATGTATCGCCCGCTGCAACACCGAAGGTTATCTCCGGAAAGAATCTGGCAGCCTTTGTGCGCATTCTTGCGCTCAACGCGTCCGTCTTCTCGCTTGTCTGGAATAACAAGGGTGGCGAGCACACCACCTCCTGGCGCACTCGTCTACGTGAAATCAAGAAGGTTCGCGAGCGTGCTCTCACAGCCCAGGCGCAACCCTCTGAACCCGCCGAAGGAGCTTACCCTGGCCAGCGTCGTGGTACCAAGGCCAACATCTTCTCTGAGGAGCTGCCCTCGCGTGCTCCCCAGGTGCAGACCGACTTTGCGGCGGAGTGGAATGCAGCGGCAGACACAAACATTCTACAGAACCTGGACTTCTCCCGATGGGCCCGCTGATTTGCCATTTGCCTGGAAGCCCTGAAGTCAACTTCAACACTGATTAACCGATCATATTTCTCTCTTTCCCTCCCTCCGTCTCTCCAAACACAAACCCCCTCCCCCTTTCTCTGTCCCCTCTCCTTTCCACTTCTTTCATTTACCTATCTACCCTATCTTGAAAACCCCCCAACACTCCCCACTCACCATATCCCTTCCTTCCTCTAATCCTTCTTCCCCAAGCACCTCCCTCCCTTTCAAAAAATAAACGACAGAACCACTCTCTATGAAAAATGACCCCAGAAACGACTTCATGTACATCATATTGTGTTTTTTTCGTGATGTCAGACAATTGTCGCATTTGTGAATACCCCTCTGCCCCAAAAGTTGTTGTTTTGTTTCTTCTGTCCCTTTTCCTATTTATGTTCTGCGAGCGATTGTCGCGATTAGGATTAGGATAGGGCTTTTTAGTTTGTGAAATCTATTCATTTCTTTATTCATTTTCTATATTTTCGTGCGTCGGTGAGATGTATGGAGTCCTCTCGCTAGCTACCCACATATTTAGAGTTCATTATGTTCTATGGATATTATTATCTTTTTCCTGGGATATAGATGACATGTTGCCTGTCTACAAAATGATTGTGTAAGACCACCTTAGTTAGAATATGTTTAACTTTTCAGACAATGATCAAAGTTATAAATCTACATCTACATCGATTTTCTATCTTGACAACAATGTATAACACAGCAAGGCTCCTCTGAACACCAAAAGGTACCGCTAAAGATCTGACCGGGGGGAAACAGCAATGTACTAACTCATATAACGTTAGTCCTCAATTCCAAATTCTATGAAGACCGACACATCAGTTCCGAGAGAACACGGAAGAAAGACCCCTGGAAAGCGTTGCCATAGTCCCGATTGCCCATATTATCAATGGACTAAATTGCAACAGCGTAAGACTAGGTCCGGAAATTCCACTTGCTCTGATAGCTTTGCCAGAAAAGTGAGAGGGTTAGATACGTAGGTCTTTGCCAATTGCCATTTTAGAGCCATTGATTATACAAGCTTCTCTGACTCGTCATCGGTGGTGGCTGAATGCATTGGTCGATAAGGTATACATAGTGCTCTTGCTAACTGTTCAGACATTTAGAGGGTTCACATTGTAGATATACTATTTTCTCGTCCCTGGAATATAGAAAATCAGTTGCCTATGTACAGAATGGCTATGTAAGATCTACTTATTCGGGGGTTATATATGACTTTTCTGACTATGATTATAGTTATAAATCTATAGGTACCAACACATAGTAGAACCAAATGATAAAGAAAGAGATAAGGTAAAGAAGGAAGGGAAGGGATAAGTAGGTAGGGTAGGTAATACAAGATAGATAGGAAAAAGCGCATGTACACAGTTACAGCGCAGCGCGGAAGCAGAAGCGCGCCAACACAGAAGATGGGAGGGATCAAACAGAGAAAAAAGAGAAGGAAATTGAAGTGATACGATATGACAGTGGCAAGGGGGGAATACCAAGCGCAATGCTTTTTAGAAGAAATGCAAAACGGCAATCACCATCAACATCACCAACCAAAGACCTCACCAACGCTAAGCGTACTCCAACGAACACCACCAACAGCAACAATCATCAAGACAGCATCCACAACCGCCAAGACAGCCGATCCCATCATAAATCGCGGATTGAAGATGCGGTAGAGCATCAAATGGCGACGGAGATGGCCAGCCCACATAGTCGTGGCGAGATTGATCGTTGCCAGATAGAGGATATGGGTACCAGCAGCTTGAACGACATCGGAGAGGAGCCGTGTAGCCGGGTTTTTGGACGGTTCAGAGGCAGGCACGCGGTCGTGAGTTTGCAGGGGACGTTTCCAGAGGACGGTGAGGGGGACAGCGATGGCAGCTAATATTTGAGCGCCGAAGGTGTTGAGTATAACGAGAAGCGGGGACCAGGGGTATTTGATTGTTGAGAGGGGGATAAAGGCCGTTTCCCATTGGATGGAGCTGAGGGTTGCTTGGTGGCCTGTTTTGAAGTAATAGAAGGAGCCCAGAACGCCTAGGATGACTGGACCGATGGAGGAGTTGGACATTGTTAGGGCGTTTGTGTCTAAGATTTCGAGGAGGGAGAGGATTTGACAGAGGAGGAGGGCGATGGCGCCTTGGCCCATTGGCTTTTGCATGAGGATGACTGCCAGGGCGAAGTTGATTACTAGGAAGAAGAAGCGGGTGCCGTAGACGTTGCCGAAGCCGAGAATTGTCACTGTTGTTCGGGGACCTTGTTGTTGGCCGGCGATTATGGGGGCCGGGGGGCATTGGGGTCTTCGGTTGCTTTTGTTACGTTGATGCTGACGCAGGGCTTGGAGTAGAGGTATGCACCTGTGCCGGCGGCGAAGGCGAGAGCTAGGACGAGTTGGGCGAGGAAAACGCGCACGGATTTAAGGGTTTCTTTGCTGAGGGGCAGCCACTCGCCGTCGTCGGCGCCTTCGAGCATCCAGAAGAGGGAGGTGATGAAGAGGCCGAGGCGGAAGGCGAAGCCGATCCAGAGAGAGGCGGCGCCTTCGTATGACTTGGAGCCGGCGTAGAAGGAGCGGACTACGCTGGGGAGGAAGAGGGTAACCAGGAAGGGGATCGCGAGTTGCCAGGGGGCGGAGATGGAAGAGGTCGAGGAGGCGTAGTAGGTCGAGCGACAGAATGGCATTTGCTCCTCACGGCAGAGGCGAGAGAAGGATGCAATGCGGCCTAGGATCACGAAGAGGACGGAATGATATACACCGAGGACGCGATCTGTGGTCTGCTTCTGGCGCATGGACGAGATACCCGCGCATACACCAAAGGTAGTAAGGAAGAAAAGCAGGATCTCATCTTCCCAGATGGTGTATGAGTTGGAAGCAAATCCAATGGACTGGGAGACAGTGAAGAAGAACGCAAGCCAACCCCACATGCCATTGGGAAGTGGCACAGTCAGGTTCGCGGGCTTCTTGACAATGGCCGGCAGAGCTCCAATAATGCTTCCAGCCGCAGCCAGAAGCACAGCGGAATCAATGATGGTCATCTCAGTCAAACCCACCAATGCCAAAACAGAACCAGAAACGGCACCGACACCAGCACCAGCCCCCGCGAACGAAAGCAAGCGAGGAGTGAGCTGGGTCCGATCCATCTTCAGGCCTCGTGCATAGATAACCAGCAGAACAATTCCCGCGAAGAGAATCACGACTCCCTGAATCATACTAGGCACATCGAACCGAGCCCATAGGCCACGGCAGACATCCAGAGTGTGCCGCTGGTGTTTGCGGTAAAGCTCATTGCTAGCGCGGGCAGCACTCGACTTAGACGAAAAGCTCTTGGAAGCAGACTTCCACTCCTGTTCAGCAGCAGAATAAAGCAGCATAGACTCCTCGTCATCACCAGCACCTCTGGCAATGCCATACTGGTGCTGATATCTCTTAACCTGAGCCGAAGTCAAGCGGTTAACAGTAGCCAAGTTGGCCCAGTTCTTACCACCAGCGCCGGAGAAAGCTTCTTCGATGGGCGAGCCCAGGTTATTGAATGGGATGGGCATTCCAAGGAGCAAGGACAGTGTGGGAACGAGGTCAATTTGAGGCACGAAGCGATCACGAGCGAACTTGGGTGGGAGGACTGTGTTCTGGCTCGTTCGGCCGAAGATACCACGCTTGGAGTACATCCACAACGCAGCCTCGACCTCGTCATCAGACTCGCCGCCATGGTCGCCCTTGGCGTCCATACCGTGGTCACCCATTACGACAAGGAGAGTCTTATCATCAAGGGCTGCGATAATCCGCCGAATAACACGGTCCATTTCCTGTAGCTTGGATGCCATGGCAGCATGGTTGGGACCGTACCGATGGCCGGCATGATCCACACCGAGATAATGACCAAAGATCACATCCCACTTGGTACTATTCTCGGGATGAAGCAGTGGGAAGAGATGCTCTGTGACGCCATTGTCGACCGTATGTAGATCCCACACATTGAACGAATCATATGCATGTGTGAGATTCTCATTGAAGTAACCTGGGAACAGGGAATGCCAAGTATCATCGCCGAGGTGGACTAGACTCTTCCCGGCGTGGTGCAATTGAGCAACGAGATTGTCCTCATCAATGGCTGTCCCAGCGAAGTTGGATCCTGCGTCGATGAAGGTGGGCAGGGTACCCGTTGTCAGGCCTTTCAGGCGCTGCAGGGTTGTTGTCGGGGGGTCAGCGATGAACGGGAGAAGAAAGGCGTTAGCCGGGTTTTGGAAAGCCGTCTCGTAGAGTACTGGGATATTGTCGTGGAAAAGGTGGGCAGTTTCACTCTCGTCCTTTGAGGCAAAGGGCACGGTAAAGTCGTAGCGAAGAGCATCGATAATGATAACAATAGCTTTGTCAAAAGTTTTCTCGTGCCAGCAACCCTTTTCCTGTCTATTTCCCAGCGCGGTCGAGTGCGGTTGAGCAAGGACTTCTTCGAAGGGTAGAACCTCGCATGATGATTTATTCTCCAAAACCATGCGCGTGAGAAGGAAACCCTTTGTGAACAGATATATACCTGCAACATGCAAAAGCCTGCAGTTACCCAATGTCAGCTCAGCATTCTTCTCAAACTCGTCCAGTTACAAGCTTGAAGCTCCGCCAAACCTGGAAACAACCCACTCACATTATCCACGCCAGAACACCCAGCACACCAAGGTGCTTCGTCTTAAACTCATCCTCCAGCGCCAGCGCCTTCTGATCTAACACTCCCGTTTGTTTGCGCCTGGACTGCGCGGCCGGGCTTCGAGGCCCAGAAGCCGAGAGACCGTGTTTGGAGGCATTGGGCTTCGAGCCAGTCCCCGCAGCCCCTGAAGCAGGATTCGCAACCATTTCCACGGTAAAGGGCGCGTTCGAACGTCTGAGATCGGGCGTAAACGGGGCGCCAGATCGCGGTCTGGTATTGTGAGATAGAGCCAACGGACACTAGAGGCTAGAGTGGTCCGGGAGGGGGGACACGGTGTCCGAAGATAGTTTTCGA